CACACACATGTATACACTTGATGCTACGCTGTAACATCTCCTGCGGCACTTGCAGGCGCTCCTGATGCTACGCGATAAGATCTTCTCTGGCACTCGCACACGCAGAGTTGTTGGAACAAAGTGCGCAAAGTCGCCTTGGAAAATTGTCAAAAAATGGATTCCTGACACCCTGTTCAAAACAGGTCGGTTTGGTAGAGCAATCCACCCACACTTTTGGAGTTACGTTACGAGGTGGCAGTGGTGATCTCAAAGGACCAATGTTTCCCTAATTTGCGCAAAACTTTGAAAACCAAGTGCACGCGATGAACTGAAAATCGGAGACCCCTCTTGGAACATGGATTTTGAAAACATGCGCGAAATGCAGGTTTTGGAAGGCGTTGTGCTTTAAAAATGTGCGACGCCCTCGTGGGCATTTCCTTTTGGTTGGTTTTGGTGGTTGGTTTGTTGTGGCTGGTGGTGGCTGGTGGTGGTTGGTGGTGGCTGGTGGTGGCTGGTGGTGGTTGGTGGTGGCTGGTGGTGGTTGGTGATGGCTGGTGGCGGTTGGTGGCGGCTGGTGGTGGCTGGTGGCGGTTGGTGGCGGCTGGTGGTGGCTGTTGGTGGTTGGTGTGTGATTGGTGGTGGGGGTGAAGAGTGCAGGAATGAGTGCTGGAGTTGGTGGGTGGGTGTGCTTAGGGTGGTTGCGGTGGTTCGTGGTGAGTGGTGGTGGGTGGTGGGTGGTGGGTGGTGGGTGCTGCGTGGTAGTGGCTGGTAGTGGATGGGACTGGGTGGTATTGGGTGGTACTGGGTGGTATTGGTGATATTGGGTGGCAGCGGCAGTGTGTGTGGTAGTGCGTGGTTCTGGTTGTTGTCTTGGAACTTGGCTTGGTTGGTGTCTTGATTGTTGTCTTGATGGTAGGTGTGGTTGGTGATGTTTCAAAGTTATGGTGGTTACCTTGTCATCTTGTTGTTTTGGTGTCGGTTTTGGTGATGGTCTGGGTGGTACTAGCGATGTCCAGTTTGGTGGGTGTTTTTTTTTGTGGTTGTCTTGGTAGTCATTGTCTTTGCTGGGGGTTGTCTTGTGGTTGTTGCTGGTGGCATGTGGTATAACTACAGTATTGGGTTGTCTCGCGCGAGTCTGGTGCTTGGATGTGCTTGGTCGGCTCCGCTGTCCGAGGTGTAGTAGTGTTTTTTTTGTTCAAATTCTACCCTGATTTGTTCTATGGCAATTTCATGGGAAGAAGGCTGATTGACTGATTGACAGTGGATGTAGAGATTTTCCCATCATTTTCAAACAAATCCAAATCATGTATGACTATATTTCCATCTCATAGCACTGCAAGCAGCCGTGCCGACCACAGAAGCAGTCCGCGTGATATCCCCATCTCATCCCCCTTTTATTAGCCCCTAAAAAAGACAGAACAGTTATGATTTATGAACATCTTTCTTTTTCACTATACCCTATATGGTTATTGAACATAGCCATGGAACATGGCCCATAGAAATAGATGCTTTACCTATTAAAAATGGGTGGATCTTTCCATGGCAAACTCTTAGTCATAACCAGATGGTCGTAGGATTCTACGATCCAACCGTGACTGGTTGGTGGTGACTTAACCATCTTGAAAAATAATGGAGTTCGTCAATGGGAAGGATGACATCCCATATATGAAATGGAAAATAAAACATGCTCTAAACCACCAACCAGTTTATATATATATATATATCATGTTCATATAATGTGTTGAGTGTTGATGTTTCTCGATGGGTAACATTTGCGACCGCGTCAGTAATACGAAAACGCCATAAGACGCCATACTCAGCGCCGCAGCGCAAGCGTTTTACGTCCAGGGTCATTCGGTAACGGAAGCGAAGAATTTCCGTGTCGAGGAGTTTTCCTGCGTTTATGGGCCTTGATGCAGTCGTAGTTCGAACGAACAATTGTGAGAAAATAAACAAACATAAACGAACATATGGAGGTTTTTTTAATGGGGGGTCCAAATCATCCAAAATTCGACTGTTGAGTTTTTGATCATTGAAACCCCATGTTTTTGGGGAATCATCCATTTCAGGAAAGCCCCCTTTTTTCTGCAAAACACCAAATGTCCAAAGACAAACATCGACCGTTCGTCCATCAAACCAAACCAAAAAGACAGGCAAGGAATGGCAAGGACAAAGATTTTTTGCGACAAGGAACCACTTCTTTTTGGAAGGAAAAGCATAAAAAAAAAGGCCGAACGACCAACAAAAACACTTGATTAAAAAAGGATCCCCCGATCCTGGTTAAAAACAAAGGCATCGTTGACGTTCTTAACTGTTCTTGCGTCGTCGTGGTTCTCAATATCTTCATGCGTTCTCGCGTCGTCGTGGCTCTCAATCCCCCGTCAGAGGTAGCTAGAATAAGATTTGTCGGGACCCTTCCCTTCATGATAAAGTGGTGTCCTATTCCTGAAAGAAGTTGTTTGGGGACCACCAGAATTCATGTGGATCGTTTAACTAAATCAGTCCATGGTCTGTCCAAAGCGATATCTTTGCGTTTTATCATCCTGGGCTCTAATGGCCTGATAAGTGTGGCCGGCCATGGGTACAATGATATCAGAAATTGACACAAACATCTCCAAATTCTGATTGTATCTAAACTCAGATGAACACTGAACAACTGATCATCATAGAATTCACGGCTGTTTTCTACTTGTTTCAGCACAGGGACAACCAAAAGCCCACCGCATCAGCTGCGATCATTTTCTGTTCGCTCGCAGCAGCTGCTCTTTCGCACTACCGCTGGACCCTGAAAAATGGGACCCTCATAAAGAGCATCAACAGTTGGGGTCTCTTGGATCTGCCGACGTCCTCAAGTGGTGCTTGCTTTTTAACTTCAACACTTGGGGAGGTCAAATAGCGACAAACAAAAACATAAAGGATTCAGGTGTAGAATGAAGTAACTTCAAAAAAAATGATTTGTCATCAGTGGTCTTTGCATTGCTTTGCACCTGGCCCTCTAAAAGATGTGAACATCTTCGTGAACCATGTCAAATTGAAGAGAGACAACTCGAGAGCATGACATACCCATCAGCAAGCTTCACCTGTGGTCGGATATACCATCCCTGCTGTGTGCCCCAACCCTGTGCGCCCTCAGTCCATGTCATCAAAGTCAGGATCACCTGCCATGACCAGGTCTGTTCAGATGTGGTACCCCCCCAATTTATAGCCATCAAATGAGCAGTGTTCAGAACCACTGTTGGTTAATGATCATATAGGCTATCATATAGGGGCCATGGTACCCCATTCCATCAACTGGTCCGGTTTAGTTAACTAAAAATCATGATCAACAGTTACTGACTTTGACCATCAAACATGTGAACCTATGCGAAAAGAGGTGATGCCCCAACAGTTTCTTCGTATCTACAATAGACATCAATAGACAATGGTTTTAGTTGGGCGTGCCATGGTTTTGTTTTATTTACGTCATTTATAGATCATGTTCCGAATAATCCTCCAAATAAGAACCATATGCCCCATGGTGCTGGTATACATACATGACTGGGCTGGAGAAAAGAGTGGCTGCTGCTAACATGTAGGTTTGTCTGAACATTGCATCAAATTCCCATTTTCAGACACCCTCATGCTGACGCAGGTGTTCTTTTTCCCAGCCGCCACTCTTTCTGCAGCATTCCACGGGGAATACCAACAAGACCCTTTTGCTTGTACAACTTTCCATCTGAAAATCGGGTACAAAAGGCTGATGGTCATCATGATTCACCCGCCATTGCTGGTACACATCCATTTTCACAGCCACGTTGTGTGGCGACAACTCCTTTGTTGCACAAATCTCCAGTTTCTGAAGTGATGATCTCAAAGAATTGTGGTACCCTCTGGTAATTTAACATAGCTATTGAACATGGCAATTTATAGTGAGTTTTCCCATTAAAAATTGTGATTTTCCATAGTTATGTTAGTTTACCAGAGGGTGCATCTGATTTTTTTCGCCATGTCCAATAGTGGATTGAATGGATTTCCGTGTGAACACATGGCAGCCACCCTCCATCTTTGAAGATAGCCATGACCGGACAAGCTTTGGATCCACATCTTAGATGAACATCCCTACAATGTGGTGCCCCATAGTTATAAGTTGGTTTATAAGCCCCGGTAACTATAGTTATAAGTACCATAAACCATAGTTATTGGAGTTATAAACCAACTTAGCTATCTTGGGGGCCTCACATTGTATGGATCCACCCTGTGAGAAAGGCAATGGAGGTACGTTTCAATGGATCGGTTCAAGGGAAAATTAAATTTACAGGAAAACCCCATATTTTTATGGGAGAAATCGATGGTTTCCGGTTAAGATTTTCCCTTAAACCAGTCCATTGAATGTTTTGTTTGGAGAGGACCATACGTCCTTGGAATATACTTGAATGATTGCCTTCGGAAAAAAAATCAGCAGGACACCATGTAAGGTGCAAGGCATCAAAGCGTATAAAACAACGATAAATAGGCGATATATATCACCGATTTTGAGGGTTAGTTGAAAGGGCTTACTAACATTATTTTTGGGTATTGTCATTTTTAGATTTTTTAGGCTTATTTATGGGGTTAATCAATACCAAAGTTGTGGTTTGTTGACCCTCCCCTACTACGGCCCTTACTAGCGGGGCCCCAAAAGGAATTAGATCCAACACGAAACCAGATTTTCTAGGGCGAGTATTTAACATTAGAATACATTAGATTAGATAACTGTTATCATCCCACTTTTTATATACCTTGCCAATTTTAACCAGGAAGGTTTTTCAGTGGGATGGTTGATTGGGGATGTTTTTTTTTGCATCCTGGATCCCACATCACTTCATCTTTACATATATAATCATATATATATATTGTATATATAATTATATAATATAATATATATATATATATATATATATTATATATTATATATATATTATTTTATATACATAGTAACCGTATAGGGATCAAAAGGTGTCAATTTTCCCTCTATCTTTAGGCTTTGGATGCTACTCTTCTGCTCACTGAAAGTCCGAGTAATCGGAGCCGGAGCCGAATTCGCTGAGGCTGTCCGAAAACTCCGCGTTTTGCCTGGCGGGCCACGGGGGAAGCTGTGGAAAACCCGTGGGATTTCAATGGAATTCATGGGGACGAAGCTTTTTTTTTTTGGTTGATAAGTTGGATGTGACCCCAGCTGGTTGGTGGTTGCTGCTAACCCCTCTGAAAAATGATGGACTGAGTAACAGTTGGGATGATGACATTCCCAATCTGATGGGAAAAATAATTCAAATGTTCCAAACCACCAACCAGCCAGTCATATAGTCAGCCATATAATTTCACCGACCGACTTTTTTTGCCAGTGGAACTGCACCTGAAAAGTAGGGAAACCAAGTTCTTTGGCGTGTGAAGGCATGATCAAATGAGTCAATACTGACGTGATTATATATATATAATTATATATAAACTCCTTTGATCATGTAGTTATTGAGTTATTTTATTGAGTTATGAAGTAGTGACATGCCAGGCGGCATGACCGGAAGTTCGATTAAAACGCTTCTGACTGGGTGACAACTTGGTGATGCTCAGGGTGTGAAAATCTCTGGGATTTGATGAAGTCAACCCATTAGTCAACCCATGAATCAATGGCCATGCAACAGGAACCGATTGAGGAAGGAGGTACCTACTATACCATATATTTGTTGCCGATTTTTTAGGCCTATGTAAGGGAATATCCCCACAAAAAATGGCCTTATATGGTAGAGTACCTCCATTTTAGGATCCTGAAATTTCCATTGAATTATTAAACCCCAAACGCTTGTTGAATTGGCTGGCTACCAGTTAAGTATCAGATAAAATCACTGCTTGGTGGTTGACCTACCCCTCTGAAAAATGATGGACTTCGTCAGTTGGGATGATGACATTCCCAATCTATGGAAAAAAAAAATCCATGGTTCCAAACCACCAATCAGATCACTATTTGGGCAGTCCCTCATTCATAAACCGGTGATCTTCACCCATCCACTTGGATGCCCAAGTGGAATTCCATGGCTGAGAGGACATTCCAATGGGAATGATGTCGCCTCCATCCCCATGTTTTATCGAGTGGTGGTTTGAACCCATCCCACAATTTTATGTAGCCATCTCATTCAATCATCCCAAGTATGGTTGAAAACCAATACATATGTCAAACCTCCAGCAATCATTGGAATATGGGTCAAAAAATGGCCAATATCTTGGTGACCCGGGTGGAGCTTTCCTGCCCAAACGGATGAAACTTTGGATTCACGGCCAAATACGAGTACAATCTGGTTGGTGGTTTGAACCCCTCTGAAAAATATTACCCTCTGGTAATTTAACATAGCTATTGAAAATGGCTCATTAACAGTTGATTTACCTATTCCAAATGGTGATTTTCCATAGCTACGTTAAATTACCAGAGGGTAGTCAATGGGAATGATGACATCCCATAATAAAAAATGACTTGGGATGATCATTCCCACACGGAATAATCCAGCCATGTTTGAAACCACCAAGCAGCAATACCCCATATGCGAACCATGGTGCTGGAATATTTACCAACATTTGCCCGAACAAAATCACCCAGTCATGTAGGTAAATAATGGTAAATATACCATACATATCATACATGGAGCATCTGGGATACAAGGTGAAAAACAAACACATTTTACTCACCATGATTACTCACCATTAATCACCATTAAACCATATTAAACCATGTTAAACCATGTTAAACCATGGAAACTTTTTACCAGAGCTTAACCCCTGCATTTTCCCCATGAGCCCATTGAACTCTGCCTGGCGATGGCTGCCTGCCATGTCTCCTCCGTCTCGGAACGCAAGGTCAAGGGAGCTGCGAGGCCGGAGATGGCCAGGTGGGGATTTAGTGGTGCTTCACCAAGTGATTTACTGGTGATTTAATGGTGATTTACTATTGGTTATGTCAAAATAGCTATGGAAAAGGGTGATTTATTGGAAAAATATGGGACATATGGTGATTTATGGGAGATAACCTCTGGTAATTTGTTACATAGCTATTGAAAATGGCCATAGAAATAGTGGATTTACCCACTAAAAATGGTGGATCTTTCCATAGTTACGTTAGTTTACCAGAGGGTACTGGTGATTTACTGGATTCTGTTGGGGATTTCATGGTAATTTTATGGGATTGTAGTGGCTTTGATGGGCCATACCCTCTGGTATGGCCTAACACTTGGCTGTTGAACATGGCCATTTTGAAATAGTTCATTTACCCTCTGGTAATTTAACATAGCCATGGAAGATCACCATTTTTTATAGGTAAACCATCTATAAACGGGCCATTTTCCATGGCTATGTTAAATAACCAGAGGGTACCCATCAACAAATGTGATTTTCCATAGTTATGGTTTACCCGAGGGTGTTTTGGATCTCAAATCTCAAAAACCAATGGTTTCATGGGAACAAATGATGATTTCCGGTTATTTTTATGGAGGTTTACTGGGGTTAAAAAATTGTGTTATTTTGGGGGGAGATTGGAATTTCGATGGAATCTCAGCGGCATTTCTATGGGATTTCAACGGACTCACTGAATGGCAATTGACCGTTGAACGGTGAGTTGCTGAGATTTCAATCGGTTTCACTGTGGAAACCGACAAAAATGGTGTGTGTCATCAACAAAAGTAGTGATATATAATGGGATATTGGGAAGTTTTGATGGGAACATCATTAATCATGGTTCCAAAGATTGATTTATCCCAAATGAAGAACCTGGCTGATCGAGTTTTCGGGTTTGGATTTTCCCAAATTCTGGGATTAGCGCTTTACGGAGTCTTGTTTGGCAGAAATATCCATCGGAGTATTTATATTAACGTTGTATTACATATAATATATATATATATATAGTACCCATAGATAGGGGGTGTATATATATACATACATATTATAATAATTATACATAATATTATATATATATATTAAGATGTTCATTTTGGAAAGCATTGATGGTCAAATGTTGTTACATTGAGGTTGCTTGAATTGGATGATCCAGTCCAGCTTTTGGTACACATCGAAGTTTCAAAGAAATATATAATTGACATAAAAACCACATGTGTGCTAAACTTCACTTGAATTTCATATCCAAACTTAGATTGAATAGTAAAGTCTGGCATACTGGCATCGTCACATCACCTAAAAGTTGATGAGTTCAGGTGTGCTTCTGAAAAAGTGAAACCCTTGTGACAAATATGTGATGACATGTCTAGTCATTGTGCACTCTCCTCGCATTCTAGACCAGTTATCATCCATTCCAAACCAGATTTCTTGAGCATGACATTACATTATTCTTACTACCCTCTGGTAATTTAACATAACTATGGAAAATCACAAATTTTCATGGGAAAATCCACTATAAATGGTGATTTTCAATAGCTATTGTGACATAACCAGAGGGTATCCTAGTCCTTTTCGGGGCTTTGTCATTGTCATTCGTCGCTGGAAATTCTCCGAATGGATGGAATGCCAGAACTTGGAAAGCTCACAACTAACAGGGTAGCCGTGAAAAATCGGGTGGAACGATTATCGTACTATTAATAATATTGGAACAAACAACATCAAGAACTGAATCAGCAATATATACATCAAAATACGACCCAACAGTAATCATCCTAGTGGGTTTGTCTATAAATGGGCAATACCTCAACCATCAGATGTGAGGGTATCCTATGTTCAAACAACATCATATTAAATCTATATAGTTAATCTTAATCACTTCCCCATTTTTCCGAGTGAAATCCCATAGTTTCCCTTGCATTCCCTTTTAAAATCCCAAAAAACATCCGATTTTTTTCCCAAACAAACATCCACCGAATCCCATTCACTCCGCTGCCTCCCGCTTCGTAGAGACCTTTGACCTGTTGGGCATCCGCGGAGACACCGAAGATGGCGAAGTCCGACATGTAGCCCCATGCTTCCTGAGGCGGCGACTATACCAAATGATAGGATCTTCATGGGATTTCACCCACTAAAATATGGTGGATTGTCACCAGGGGATTTTCATGGGAATTCAATAGCATTCATCCAACAAATATAGAGATTTAATGGAATGTTAATGGGATGTTAATGGGACTCAGCCAAACTGGATTGAATAGGATTTAATGAGGCAAAATAAAGATTTAAATTAACGTGATATTTTATATATTGGTGTTTTTTTTGGTGTGTGTCAGTCGATCAATTTTATAGAAACAATACACAGCAAGGGGCTCCCAATCCCTAGATATGTTGGTGGAAACCACAAGGTTGTCTAGGTTTATGCTATAGATATATCGAACTATAGTTCGATGGGATTACAAACCAACTGGGGGGCCTTCAGGCAAAAAAAACTATTGTATTGTTTCAATCAACCATGCATGCGTCCTGCAAAGTTGCTCATTATTTCTGGTGACGTCTCGACATGAGGTCACTATATATATCTTTTTCAGACAATGATATCATCCAATTTTATCCATTTATATCCCATTAGCCCATATTGAAGATTCATTTCCCACAGTTCCAGCATTTATCCTGATTCTACCCAGTTAAATCATCCCATGTCCCCATTTAAATCCGCGTAATTCCCATAGTTTGTATCCTTGAACATCTTTGCCATATATAGATGACATAACCTCCGGCAATCAAAATTGGCAATGGTCAATGCTCCATTTATAGATGATTTGCCCAGTAAACCCTTCATTTATAAGGGATTGATTTTGCATTACCACGCTTGATTACTGGAGGGTATAGAGTCATTATATGCCCGTCATATGGGGTTTCTTAAAATAGGTACAATAGTTAGTCATTATCCCCAAACATTAATATAGTGTATTGAAACATATCGAGACCTATGGTTTTGGTATATCACTACCCTATAGATCACTAGCTAGTGATAACCAAAACCATAGGTTTCAATATGTTTCAATACTCAACTGATTCTCATGACTTGGGATCTGGGATGATTTTTGGGGTCCCATGACTTACGAAACCTCCATATGTCCCATAGATGTCCATGTAGAATAAATTCCATAATGTGGATATATTAAATTCCATAATATGTCCATAAAATATATTATATTGTTCATATATTGTTTCCATATCACTGATATAAAACAAGTATCCCAACTTAGTTGCGGTACTTGGATTATCATCCCACCGGATGTTACTGTGAAATTCCCTGGTCCCCATTTATAGTGGCTCCCATTTCTAAGGAGACCTTTTAACATCACCAGCCAAAATGGTAATCTAATGTATTCTAATGTAGATATAGTGGGATATCACTGATATCACCAGCACTGTGAAATGGGCGTATCCAAAACTAGGGGATTTGACCAGCAAAAAAAAAGGTAATCTAATCACTGGTTGGTGGTTTGAACCATCTTGAAAAATGATGGAGTTCGTCAATGGGAAGGATGACATCCCATATATGAAATGGAAAATAAAACATGTTCCAAACCACCAATCAAACATCTTTATAGCCCCAGTTGCTAAGCAGTTACTAAGTGGGCTGATCCTTCAAGAAATAGCTATGGGGTCGATACCTATGTAAAATATACATACCAATTTTAGTGGCATGAACATCCATTTACCAGCGATTTTGGGGTTAGCGGTACCAGGCTTGACCCATGACCCAAGGCACATGACAGGTGCGCGAGTTGCCGACCACGCCAATGGTGCCGCGGGCACGGCCACGCTTGACGCCCAGGGAACAGCCGTCCACGTAGTACCTGGCGACGTTGTTCTGTTTTGGGGGGTTAGTACAAGGTGGTACCCCCAAGAAGCTAAGTTGGGGTTCACATAACTCCAATAACTATGGTTTATAGGTGATATATATCTATATTATTCTGTAGTTAATGGGTTCAAAACCAATTTATATCCGGGGGGGGGCACCACCTGGTAGGGAAAATGGTGAACATGGAAGTGTATAGTGGGAATATAATGGTTTTAATATGTTTTAATAGGAATATGATATTGATGAACAATCCAATGCTGGGAAAATGGAGTTTTTTTATGGAGCTATCACGGGATTTTTTCATGGGAAGGATCAAGAATCCCATTCCCATCATATTTTTTACAGCCAAAAAACGATGGTCCCACTGTGGAAATTCACTACATCCACCATGGCTGGTGGTTGACCTACCCCTCCGAAAAATGATGGACTTCGTCAGTTGGGGTTACTATTCCCAATAACATCTGGCTATTTAACATAGCCATGGAAAATCACCATTTTTAATAGGTAAACAATCTATAAATGGGCAATTTTCCATGGCTATGTTAAATAACCAGAGGGTATATGGAAAAAAAAAACATGTTCCAAACCACCAACCAGATGGTTTCGATTGGGGGTGTTTAATATGAACCGACTTCTTCGAGATGAGCCTGTACTTCAGCTCCTGTGCGCCGTCCCAAAGTGTCGTAGGGGCTTCTCACTGGTTCGACCCCAGCTTCTCTTTGCTACTGTCTTTGGGGTGGCGGCCCAGCAGCTTCAGGTGGTTTTTGTGATTTTCCCTGTGGCGCAAATGAGTTGTGTTTTTTTTTCTGATGTAGGGTGTTATCATTTTATAGGTACCTACGCGAGGCTTACATTTCGCGTACGCGCGCACAGGTTTTTTGGGGGTGGCATTGTTTTTTTGGGCGGCCGGAAAGGTCATTTCTCGATTTGCTGCAGCCATACGCAGCCTGCAGAGATATCCTGCCACGACTGCGGCTAGGACGCCACACCGCGAAAGCTGTCACAGGTCGCTTCATTTTCAGCGGAAGAAGGCACCACAACAACTACGCCAAAGTCGTGAGCATGTGTTGCGAGAGCTCAGATATTCAAAATGATGAAGAACGACTTTGTCATCCCATCCACGCAAACAGGATGGTTGGACAAGTCATGACCCAAGTTGGATATAGCTGGGTATATCCCATGAAATAGCCATTCTACCTAGTAAGATCCCTAGTAATCTCCCATTAAATCCCAAAGTCAGAGGTATACCTCCTTTTCAGACCCCATAGAGGGATGTGAACTGGGCCAAAGTGTTGGTCACTCCCATGGGTTGGATTCTGGAGAATTTATGTACCCTCCAGCACACTGACATAGCTATGGAACATGGTCCATTTATAGATGATTTGGCTATTAAAGACGGTGCTTTTTGAATTACCAGAGGGTAATTGGGAAAATGATGAGGAGACCAGTAGATAGTGGACTGAGAAATACCATGAATACCATGCTTTCTGTCCCATTTAGTTTTGTAATACCATGCCGATCTGGTGGTTATTGGTGGTTTAACCTCCCGGCAAAACAGGAGCTTGTCAATGTGGATCCCCATCCCTTTCCCCCTTTATACTGGTTGGTTGATAGGATTTTCCCCATTTGAATGGTGCTACTCCCCAACATGTTGCTGAGTATCATTCCCGAACGATACTAACTAACCATCATTTATCAGGTATATCAAGTCATATCCACATGTATCTCCATATTATCTCCATATCTTATCAACTATCATTTATCAACACTATCTTATCCACATCTATATCAAGTCATGGTCTAAAACTCTTATTCACATCTATATCAAGTCATGGTCTAAAACAAAACACACACCATAAAAATGACGAACTCATCATCCACCAACAAAACCTTCTTCAACTGGGCGCACGTGGTGCAACGCCCAGAAGCCACCACGCAAATGTGGTGCCAACCAGGCGACAGGTCGCGCGCGCTAAAGCCTGGATGATTGGAGATCGTTCGTTAAAACCATGCACTGCCCGTATAAATCGGCCTGACATATCATGGAATTTTATGTATCCATATTACCCATAGGATCCATGGTGCTGGTATATATGCTAACATTTGGGGTATATTGATGGTAAATGTTACCATATATAGCATACATGGATTCTATGGGTTATGGAATAATATAATGTAATATAATATCCATATATTATTGGAATTTCTTCTACATGGACATCTATGTATGGAGATATGGAGGTTTCCATAGTCATGGAGGTACCCCAATAGCTGGATGATTTATAATGATTCATAATGGAACATCCTGCTAAAATGGATGATTTGGGGGTATCCCTATTTTAGGAAACTTCCATATATAACTCCTGCAGTTGGTTATGTATGAAATAAGCCAGTTATAACTGGCTTGAGGGCTATGACTGTGGGATAGTTCATGAGATATACAACCAAAAGTGGCTTTACGAGGGAAAATGGGCATAGACTATGGTTCAATGGATTGGTTTAAGGGAACATGTGCAGAAGATGATGGAAATGTTTAACTTGACAATCTTTGACAAGAAGGGATTCCTATACATATTATATGATTGCCATTTGGTGGTATACCCCATTGATTCCAACTATATAAATTAACAAACCCATGTACTATAAACGTATGAACTCTAAAAAACGTGACATTCAAACAACCTGGAGCAACTTTCATTTCTTTTAAAGAAATTGTGGTGCTTTCGAATGTCAAGGTGACGATCAACTTGACAGAATTGACATCAGGGCTGGTTGGTCATATATTCCCAGTGTAAACTGGCCTTTTGAAACATGCCCCTGAAATGGAACTTGAAGAATCGCAAATCCATTCGCCAAGAACTTCCTTGCAGTTTCTATAATTGATTTCAGGACATTAATGAAATTAAATAGGTGATTAAATTTCGGATCGTTCTTTCTGTTGTCATCTTCCGGAACCAGAATGTCACTACCTTCATAAACCCATGTGGTGTTTGTAGGTCAAAGTTGGCTTAAGCATAATTCGCAGCCGCATCAAGCTACAAAGATATCCAATACAAACAGAAGTAGTTAAACCATAAATCAATTATATGACTTATATAGAAATAAATCTACGTAGCAGTAGCAATAGAGGCACCACATTGAACATCATTGAACTATATTGAAGCCATCTGCAGCATTCTGTACTGGACCGCCTTCGATGAAGGAGTTGCTGTTGTAGTTCCTGAGACCCGGAAGTGGGTCCCCATGAAGGCCGAATCAATGGCTTCGCTTGGGGTCCAGTTGTTTTCGGAGGAAACGGAGCAGTTTTCATTGCTGATAATGTCAACCCTGGATTAAGAAAACCCAAACGGCTGTTTAATTGGGGGGGATACTATTTAAGTATCAGATTCCGACTATTGGGGAAGTACCCCCCTAGTTAATAAACTATGGTTTATTAGTCCGGGGTTGACATTATCAATGACATCTCCAACAAATGATATGGGCCCCTACAACAAATTGATGCTGATGATGTTTGATTTTTGGGCTTCTGCACCATTTCTTGTTGGGTTTATGCTTTGAAATATGTTGCATTTTGGGACCTGTAAGCTAGAACGAATCCAACCAACCTTGCATCTCCACACTCCCTGAAGTAACATAGAAGCAAACAACATTTCCATGGAATGCAAAGTAAAACTTTCTCCTGACCAAATTTGTTGGTTTCAATTTGTTTGATCCGTCCATGTGAGCACTGAGCACTTTCTCTTGCTAGTCCCTCTCTCATTGTTGTGTGTTTTTTGACGTGGTTGCATACGTGCCTTCTGAAAATGGAGATCTCCGAGTGAGAACGGGTTTCAAACATGATATTCAACTTAGGTATGCTGACTAATTCATCGGACAAAAACAAACAACAACATGTTTTTGGGGTATGGTTTTCAATGCCCCCAACATGGTAAAAGTGGGCAAATAGGAAATTATTGGGTTTGAGTCATTCGGATGAACTACCAAAAAATGTATAATTTCATCACGAATCCTCATGTTTGGTCTGAAAGTTTTGGCAAAGTCCAACACATGTGATGATTTATCATGATCATTTCTATGCACACTGCCAAGAATTGGCGGCATACAATCAATTCTCAGGCTCACCTAAAAATAATATTGTTGATTATCTATTTAATTTTTGTTGTTGCTCTTTAAGTCCTGACATGTTGTTAAATCCTACATTTTTTCATTGGCTAAATCATCTTCCATTTGCTCTATCAATTGGAAAATTCATTTTTCATGCTTAACCTCCATTTTGGCTCATCAAATTGCATTGAAATCTCATCAAATCACCGCTTTTATCCGTTTTTACTAGTGAAATGCCATTGAAATCCCATTTTTGCTGGTTAAATCACAATTTTTGCTGGTTCAAAATTCCATTTTTTTTTCGTTGACCGAGGCTCCCCAAGCGTCCACGTGCCAGGATCACGGCAATGAGCTCTTGGGAGTTGGGCGCATCTGCCGGTGCGGGATCGCAACACATATACCATGCATCAATCAATGGATTGGTTTAAGGGAAAATCTTAACCGGAAACCATAATTTTTCGCAGTAAATATGAGTTTTTCCTGTAAATTTTCCCGACTAAACCAATCCATTGAATCAAATGGTTGGGAAACTCTATTAGCTATATATCTGGTTGGTGGTTGACCTACCCCTCTGAAAAATGATGGACTTCGTCAGTTGGGATGATTATTCCATTCCCAATATGATGGGAAAGTCATAAAATTCATGTTATATATATATATATATGATAGGGAATATGGATGAATGTTGGGAAAGTCTCAGTTGCTCCCCATAGCAGCCCTTCGCTCCGCCTACCAGGTCTCGGTAGGTGTGGTCGGCCACATCAATGGGCGCCAGGGTCCACACCGAGATGGTCCACTCCTGGTGAGGTCCCAAAAACGCAACGAAATCGCGAGTTGGTTGAAGAAATATATATATATATATAATTTGCTAATTATATAATTATATGGTCAACTATATATATAGTTATATACTGCTAACTAAGATCTATAGAGAATATATGAGGATATATATATATATAACTTTATAGTGATACAACTGATATAACAAGTTCATGGCTTTGTAAAGCAGTGGAAAAGCCAAAGCTTCGCATGACAAGCCTTTGGATCTGCAAACACTTTAAGTAATTCCAGTCAGCAGTGGGTCTCAATGGATCTCAAAAAAAGTTTCAGGTTAACAGATTCAGTTATTATATGGGTATTATATGGTTATTATATGGTTATTATCGAAGGAAGTTTAGAAGTCAAACTTCCGACAATATGGACAGATGAAAAGCAGAGATGGGATGAGTCAGAGAGAAGAGAAGAGTAGAAGAGAGAAGATCAGAGAAGAGAAAGAGTCAGAAGAAAGAAGATGCAGGTGCGCGAAAAGGTAGGAAAGTCGTGAAACACTGTGTTTTTCCAATGATTTGTGGCTCCGGAGGCTCGAAAAGTAGGCTCGCTAAAGCGGCGGGTGCGGAGCCAGCTGCCAAGATGAGAGATGAAAAATTGCACGCCGTTGTGGCGCGAAGCACATTTCCAAGTCAAAATGCCCAAAACACACCAGGTTCGGACCACTTTTGGAAGTTTTGATGTCGAAAAAGTGCACGCCGTTGTGGCGCGAAGCACATTTCCAAGTCAAAATGTCCAAAGCACACCAGGTTCGGACCACTTTTGGAAGTTGAGATGTCGAAAAAGTGCACGCCGTTGTGGCGCGAAGCACATTTCCAAGTCAAAATGTCCAAAACACCTCAGTTTCGGACCACTTTTGGAAGTTGAGATGTCGAAAAAGTGCACGCCGTTGTGGCGAGAGGTTTCCAAGTCAAAATGTACAAGACACACCAATGTCGGAGCACTTTTGGAAGTTGAGATGTCGAAAAAGTGCACGCCGTTGTGGCGCGAAGCACATTTCCAAGTCAAAAGTGTAAAAAACTGGCGGGCTCGGACCACTTTTGGAAGTTGAGATGTCGAAAAAGTGCACGCCGTTGTGGCGCGAAGCACATTTCCAAGTCAAAATGTACAAAACACCACATGCTCGGACCACTTTTGGAAGTCAAGATGTCGAAAAAGTGCACGCCGTTGTGGCGCGAAGCACATTCTGAAGTCAAAAGTGTAAAAAAACTGAGGGTTTTGAGCCTTTTTTGACGTTAAGATGTCGAAAAAGTAGACACTGATTAACTTAACTAACTTGACTAACTTAACTAACTTAAGTACCCTAACTTCGACGACAACAGCAGCAAAAACAACAACAACAACAACAACAACAACTACAACACTACACAACTACACAACTACACAACTACACAACTACACAACTACACAACTACACAACAACACAACAACAACAACAACAACCACAACCACAGCCACAACCAACAACCAACAACAACAACAACAGCAACTACAACTACACAACAACTACAACTACACAGCAACTACAACTACAACTATATGACTGCAACTACACTACACTAATTACATTACACCACAACTATAACTCCACTACGCTACAACTACAACTACAGTTGCAGTACATCACACTACATCCAGCAGTTGTGGGTGAGGTGACCACTGCAACCATTGCAACCACTCCAGCAAACACAACTCCAACCACCTTTCGGTCAATCAGTGGCTTCGCTCTGCCATCCCTGATTCACAACAACCAACGTCTCCTATAGGTTTCCTGTTCTGAAACTTCCGCCACCGCCTTGTGCGGTACTACTGGTATGGTTAATGATGGAAAATACATGGTTATGTCAAAATAGCTATGGAAAATGGCCATTTATAGTGGATTTACCCATTGAAAATTGAAAATGGTGATTTTCAATAGCTATGTTAGTTTGCCAGAGGGTAGGTAACAGATCAATTTTATCTGGTTGGTGGTAACTTAACCATCTTGAAAAATATGAAAGTCAATGGGAAAGATGATCCCATATATTATGGAAAATAAAAAACGTTTGAAACCACCAGCCAGTTGTTTAACATCTTTAGTAGGTTATAGACCCATTGTCGGTGGTGCAATCACATTTGTTTTGGACACAAACTGTGAGAATATCGCCAAACCATTTTCTGGCTGGAATAATATAATAAGGGACACCAAAACAACAAACTCGCTGGCCCCGCCTATGTTTGATGTTTCTGAAACATTGAAATCATTGAACCTTTTGGTGGTATTCCTTATATTCCTTCACTAATATGCCCAAAACATACTGTCATTCACTTGCTGGAATTCCATCAGGTTCGAGTTCATTGAAGTATAGTCTATAGTCATAGCCTGGCCAGTATCTCTCAGGCGTTGTGCCGTTGAGTCCTCCCCTAGCTGCACAGTCTTGGGTAGGATCAAACAGCCACGGTTTGTGATGTTGACGCCAGTCCTGACAGGCTATGAATCTGGGTCATGTCAATTGGTGCTGTTTGAGGATTATGATTATATCCTAGTGCAGGTCACTTCACCCCTTTTTTGAACGGGTGAAGAAAATTGCCGCTATACAAAACAATGCTCATCTAGTTTGATCCATCCCCATACTACGATTATAGATATCATGTCATATTCCCCAAGGCCCTTGGGCCGGGGGTTGTACTGACCCGATCATCACTTGGCTCTTGTGACATAGTGATGTCGCTGGTTTAGCAAAGGACATTGAACAAAAAACCAGCAGATTTTCCTGAAATGATGTGACACACTCTGATTCTTCTTGTTAAAGCAGGGATATGAAAGAATCTATATCTCACTTGGTGGCAAGGTGTTGGTATTTTCTTTGCTTTACTCCACTTCAAGCTTAGTTGCTGCGCTCCGAATTGACCTGGAAAACTGACCTGAGCTTGATGTGTTCGACCCCCTCCCTTTTCATGGTAGGGACTCGGGCCATGGTAAGCTTTGGGCCCGAAGTTGATTGAACGCCTCGCAAAACATGGTTTGTCTGACAAATCTATAGCGATGCTACCCATCCCCAATCTACCAATCATGGTTGATCAGCCAGGCAGTGTATATGATATCCACCTACCAAAAAAAAGAAAACAATCTTGTATGACCTGCTAACCACTTAATCTGGGTAAATTATAATATTTCACAAACCTGAATTAAGGCCATTTGGGGATGATTTCCCCTACTAACCATGATTCCCAGTGAGGTCGCAGTGAGGTCGTTATAATTTACCCAGACTTAATTCCTGGCTGGGAAGGTATTTTTGTTTTCCCCATTTGCCGCAAACCTATGGTAGTATTCCCATCCATTTTGTTGCACCAGCAGTATGTCCCCATAGTTTATTCATGGCAAACGCTTAGAGTATGTGGCGATATGAAAAGTGATACCCCCTGGTTAACTAACATAGAACTATTTCTATGGGCCATTTTCTATATCGCTATGTAACAATTTACCAGAGGGTAGTAAGATGTAGTAAGTATTATATTATGTTTATATTATATTTATAAGTCTTATCCATCCAAAGTTTTCCCAGTAAAAAATAGCAATTCCCTCAACCAATGGCACCCAGCCATCTCCTTCCCATGGTGTTGACGAACTGCACATCTTCCGGATGATCCACGGAACCTGGTGGCACCCAACAAAACTCGGTTCCTGCAAAAAAAAAAGTGACTATACAAGATTATATAAGTTATTGAATACACATGTATATGTGTATATGACCTATTTATATACCTATATATATATAAATAAGTTATTAAATACTATGTAAACATATATATATATGTATACGTATAACCTTGCATGTATTGATTTGATGCTGCGAAAAAAAAAATGACATCATAATGGCGATCTCTATAGACTACGCCTCAGTTTCTTTGGTTGATGCTGGCGACACCTGGTCCCATGATCTTCAGCATACATTTTGCATGCAAATTCCGAGCTTGGTCACTGGGAATAAAACATAGAGGAAACCCACGTTTGTTTAGCTGTCAATCTGATTCTTCCTGGCACACTTTTCCATAAACCAATGCTGGGATAGAAATCTGGTTGATACACCCGGTGACAAAGTCCCCTTGTCCTGCCGTTGTCACATTTAGTAAGTTTAAGAACCATCGTCATTACAGTAAGTTATTCACCATTTGCAACCTTGGTTTTCAACCAGTTACGATTTCCGTGAGCCCTAGATTGATAACCCTGAGGTTTATTGACCAGTGGGTGGGTGTTCCAAAGTTGTTGAAGTTCCAATTTTGATTTCAATCAACAAAAATCCCAATACTTATTACTTAGTTCCATGAATATATCACAAAAAATGTGTTTTTGAAAAAATCAGCGTTTCAACACTAGTTCCGAATGATGAACATGTCCAAGGGGTTCTTCCGACGCAATGCGCAGCGCCACGCCACTGTACCTGGCCTGACAGTCCGCTGACGGACTCGTAGAGCTTGTTCTCAGCGTCCTCGAACAAGAGCCGCACCAAAGGGTTCGCCACCAAACCTCGGCAGGTTTAGGTGTGGGTGACCTCCATGGGTTCAACGTGTCGGTGGTGCCCCATGGGTTCAAGGTGAAATAACGTTTTTCAATAAAGCTGGACCATCTACTGACCATCTAATATCATCTAACCTGGTTGGTGGTTGACCTACCTCTGAAAAATATGACTTCGTCAGTTGGGATCATTATTCCCAATATATGGAAAAAGAAAAAATGTTCCAAACCACCAACCAGTAACTGTAGTTTGATATCACTCATAAACCAACATTAAAGATTGAATCAAAATAATCAAATTGGCTGAAGGCGCTGAGAAATCGCGGGGGAAATTTAAGGCGATTGGGGACAATCAATCGGATAGAAATAAAGATACTTTTTACAGGGGTAACTGCTGCTTTGGAGTGGTGGCCATGGGGCCATGGGAAAACTTCAGCTCTGAGTTTTGGTTTGGGATGGGAATGCAAAACACCAGGAATAACATACATGCCTGTACCCGAGATAGCGAACATGAGATGGCCCTCTGCTGCTTGGCATATCCGCACCAAGCTTGGACAACTCATGGAACCACACATAACATGCATCACATGGCCAGCTTCAAAGTCGATTCTCAAGCCCTGCTATGATCCTATCATCCAAAATTGGGTCATTGCCTTCATAAAACAACGGCCTCGTGGTCCAACAGACTCTTTCCTTCCTGTGGTCGCTGTTCCTACTTCGAATGTTTGAAAAAAACACAACTTGAACATATTTATCTTGGCACTTTCTCAATCGGTGTTGATGAATCATTTTCAAAACAAATGATTATTTCAGTCTTTTGATGGTGTGCCTATGTGTACCTGAAGCTCATATGAAACATGTGAATCCTTCTCAATTCATATCCCCAGTTATCACCAGGATTGTTGTTGTCATTGTACCGCACGGTCAAATGAGATATGGAACCAAAAAAAGTGGTGACCTCCCACCTGTCAACCACCTTGGCCTTTGGCCATGGCCGGCGTTCCACAACCACGCTGCTGTCAACCAAGACCAACGAGACTTCTTGATTCAAATCGTAATCCATCCTGACAACCATCGATGGTGCTGTCGGGGGTCTCTGGTGTCAGAGCCGCGTACCCAATTAAAGGATAGAAAAAGGGGAACATGGGATTAATGTTACATGCAAAATCATGCAAACCATAGATACCCTCGATTTTTTCCGGTCAATACAGTCAAGTATTATAATCACCGTTGTTTTTAACAGGTTAAAGTATGTTAAAGTAGCATCTAATGCCATCCCCAGGTCACAAAAAAGTGGTCCTGGAGCGAAAAAAAAAAGTGCCATCCGGGACTTTCCCACCTGTCATCCCACGTCTTGGTCCCTTGGGGCATCTGGTTGGTGGTTGCTGCTAACCCCTCTGAAAAATATACCCTCTGGTTATGTCAAAATAGCTATTGAAAATGGGCCATTTATAATGGATTTTCCCATTGAAAATGGTGATTTTCCATAGCTATGTTAGTTCACCAGAGGGTAAGTGAAAGTCAGTTGGGATGATGACATTCCCAACTGAATGGAAAAATAATCCAAATGTTCCAAACCACCAACCAGGCATTTTGACCATTGACAATGGTCAATGTGAATAGGAGAATCAAGGTGTATTCTGCTTTTTAGGTGTGTATCTTGCATGCCCAATCTCTCGGCCTTCAATCTTTCGGAGCAGAGCCTCTCTGCTGGGAGATTTTCCTCTAAACCATGGAACTATGTAATTATATATATAATATATATATATATATTAATGCAATTCCTTGCTGCTCATGTCCCAATCTTCCATGCACTATCTCTCTGGCTTTGTCTGAGAATATATGGTATATATCCCTCAATCCAGTGGTCAATCATCATTTTTCCTATGGCCATAATGGGGTATATCCCCCTGTATAGCCCCTCTCAGGACTGGGCCCACATGTATATCCCCCACATGGCAATGTGGTCTGGGATAAGATTACCATGTGTAAAATATACCCCATTTTCAGACACACGCATGAATATGTTTCATCCATTTCATGTTCAGGAGAAAGAAGCCAAGTTGAAAGTTTCCCTGATCTGGGTGTGGCTCTAAATTCGAATCTGACTGGATCAATTGGCTGATTTTCCGGCTGGCGTTGCGCTCCTCCAATTCCATCCATGTTGTCAAAAGGGTGTGTCTGAAAACAGGGACACTCAGCAGGAGAATATCGACAGTTGTGAAGTGGGTACGCAATGGTACACATTCTAATTGAGGTTACATTTAAAAAAGGTGGTACCCCCAATAGCTGGTTGGTTTTTAATCGAACATCTTATCTGGGTAAATTATAATATTTCACTAACCTGAATTAAGGCCATTTGGGTATGATTCCCCTTATTAATTAACCATGATTTCCAGCGAGGTCCTTATTAAAATGGATTCTCTAAGTGGGGGTACCCCCATGACTTAGGAGATCCCCATATGGCCATAGTAGCGCGAGAGATCCCTTCTGGCGCCAAGTGTCATAAGGTAATCGTCTTGCATTTCCATGACCTGTTCCTGCAAGCGAAATGGTGCCCCAATAGCATTGGAAAATTTCCCAAGTAGGGACTGGTTAGTTTCGTATAGTTTCATATCATTTCAAACTGCAAGGGTAACCCACCAGCCAACTCAATATTGCCCAAGGAAATCCCAAATCCCCTTGAATCTTTGGTGCTTTATCTAAAGTTCAGCAGCAAAGTATCGAAAAAAAACAAAAACTGGCTGGTGAACTGCATCCAGATCCAATTCTTTGTCTCATCTTCAAAGTATGAGACCGAAAAATATGTTTAATTGATAAACCCATCCAACTGTAGATATACACATTATAAACCCCACTTCACATCTTCATCTACAGTAATTCTTTCAGCTAACAGAAATCTAGTTTTTCCCGTTCCCGCGCCCTGACCTAAAACTACATTCCCTCCACAGATTTGTCGGACGCCTTTGTCAAGCACAACTTCACGACGCAACTTTGGCAGTCCTCAACAGATTTGTGGCACATCAAGTGATAGGTGGGAGTTCGGCAAGGCCCGCCCAAAGCGTGGTTTTGAAATTGTCTCAGTCTCCAAGATATTTCTTTTTAGGTTAGAAGTTGCAATCCCTCCTAACCATGACAAAAATTATTGACCCTTGCTGATGTTGCTAAACACATTTGATTTTTGTTATTCCGCCATGTTCATGTACAGTGAAGACTGAAGACCTACTCATGGCAGCGATACCCTGATATCTATCCCTCTTAGTAATTTTAAATAAGCATTGGTGAAACAAGAATCTTGTCAACAAAAATCCCGTCTTGTATTGTCAACATGTTTCGGTGTGATTTATGACAATGGGATGTAAACACTGATTTTATGTGTAATTATATATGACATTATATATATACACATATATATATAATCATATATGTATCATGTATATAATTATATATATATTCACATACATATTTATTTTCTTTTGAATATCATTATACATATATATATATATGATTTATGATTATGTATATATATATATTCCTCGTAGTCATGTATTATCCCTTTCTTGCTGCTGCAAACACGTTCCAAATATCTCTGACTCAGATTTGCCTTCTCGTCGGGAGGCCGTGGAGAGGTCATCATAATGATATAATCTATATAGATTTCAAAATATGTTCGATCCTTTCAACATATAAGAAAGAAGTACTGTACCATCTGGTAGATTAACATATCTAGCAATGGAAAAGCAGAACTTTCCCTACTGGTGCTTAGCAGGGAATGAGGGAATGATCCATAATCACTAGTAATAATCATCCCATTCCCCCATTCCCATCCATTCCCTGCTAAGCACCGGTAAGTGTTGAACTAACCAGCGAACTAAATTCGTCATCACCGGTCATTCCAAAAAACAAGGCACGTGTTGGAACCGAAGCTGCTGTTTCACCTGCGCTTGGAATGGCGTGAGTCGACTTGTTGCACTTTTTCCAGGAAACGGCAGCTACGACTGGTATAAAAAAAAAAAACATCCGGTTTTTCAACACACCAAGTTCAACTTAAAGGGATTCGTTCGTTCTGGTGGAGTGCCAAAAGTTTTGGGCGAAAACCCAACGGAAAATTCCACACTTCAACGGACTCCAATGACTCAGTGGACCTCCAAATCTGCCTCCGAATCTTCTTGTCACTTGCCACATTTCCAAATGAACAAGATATATGATATGATATGATAATGGTTTATTTCACCCAAATTAGTGGTGCAAAACCCTGTATTGTCTTTTTATACTGGTTAGCTGATAGGAATTTGCCGTTCATGGATTGCGATATTCACTAATATATTCGTCAGTACAATCCCTAAACTAATCATCAACCAACCATCATTCTTCAAACATTCTCTAACTATAACTAATGATAACTTAACTATCAATTGTACCATACTGTGGATGGTTGCAAAATCCTGCCCCAGTTGATAGATGGTAAACATTCCATGATTTATAGGGTTTCAACCATCCGTTTGGTGGTGCAGGATTTCGCAACCATTGCATGTTTCATAGCAACAACCCCCTTGATGATTACCATCTGATTATGACATTGCCAGTTCGCCAGGGAAAGATCCACCCTTTTATAGCTAGGTAAACATAGGTAAACCATCTATTTCTATGGGCCATCAACAAACCATGGCTATGTAAACGTCAAAACCAGAGGCTATGTTTTTTTGATTCATCCCTCCATGACCTCCACACCTGCTTCACAGTCTCCACCGCTGGCCGAACGTTGGACAAGGGAAATTCAAGACCCGCCATGTTCTGCGGTCGTGCCGTGGTTGATCCCATGTGGATTTCTTAAAACATTGGTACCCAAAACCATTGGTTTTCCCATTTAGAATTTAGAATAAACAAGTTTGGATGATTTGGGGGAACCCCATGTTAGGAAACCTTCATATTAACTGGGGATGTTACATATGGTGCATGATAAGAAACATCTGCAGGACCCCCCCTGATATTTACTGGGGGGAACAAACACATGGGAAAAAACCCTAGTTTCAACCGTAGATGTTTTCTTTTAAACCACCAGGACGCAACCACTCATCCTTTATTGTCGCCAGTGTCAATTTCTGGCGAAGTCATCCATGGGATTCCCATCATTCCTTTGGTGACGTCGCAACGTGAGGTTGTTTCATTTGTTGTATTGTTGTGAGAGATTATGCACATTATATCCCAATGATATCTGAATTATTTCATATAGATTTACCCTCCAGTAAATTAACATAGACCCTGGTAGATAGGAGTTGGAAGATTAGTTTCCTCTAACAATTGGTGATTTTCAGGGTCCATGTTAATTTACCAGAGGGTAGATTTAATTCATATCCCCGTGTATTGATGGTTTTATAATTCACGTTCATCTACAGATATTCTGTGGTTTAAATCACCATGAGTCATACCTCCAACAAGGGGTATGCTCTACAAATCGGACCCCCCATGTTATCTTTGTTGGTTTATAGACCCCATGAACAACCATTAACCATGGCATACTTCGCGATTCCGAACTGGGGGCCCACCTTGTAACAAGATCCCATGAAAAGTCACCGTTTGTTTTTCAACCCGTTCAAAACCCGTTAAATCACATAAAATCACCATTTTTTCTCGGTTACCCTCTGGTTATTTAACATAGCCATGGAAAATCACCATTTTTAATAGGTAAACCCAGGTAAACCATCTATAGATGGGGGGCATTTTCCATGGCTATGTTAAATAACCAGAGGGTAAATCCCATTAAAACTTATGACATCAGCATTTTTCTGTGTGAGCCCCAGCCGCTCCTTCGGCGCAAATTCACAGCTCAAGGCGCCAAGACGTTCATGGCCTCGGAGAGGATGGGATGATCATTTGGTTTGTCAATATTATATTATATATATATATATATTATATAATCATTGGAATGCACAGAGACATTCACGTACATATATGTATACATATCACACATATAAGATGTTGATAACAGCTGTATATATATACAGTAATATATACACACTATATATACTATATCATGACCATTGTTAGTATATTATTTAAGTGGTTCGATATCATTGAAAGATCATCGGTTGAACAGGCCGAATGGATCTTTTTCGATTGCAAAAAAACAGCAGAATCCAGACAGAAAAGGCACAGATGCAGTGTTCATAAAGCATTGATATAAGCAGTGAATATATATATAAAAATATATATATATATATTGATATATGTATATATATATATATACGTGTATACACATATATATATATACACGTACATATAAACATATGATATGTCAACACTTATAAATATCACAATTAATCAACACTTCATTGATGATTCAATTCAGTTTTTAACTTGAATTCCGCTTGAACTTGAGCCACCTGGCGAATCTTTATATTTATTCTGACTGTACATGCGGAGTTGAGGGAAACCTCTTGCCACTTCCGTTTTGATTTGTTCATGGACGGGTGACTGGTCATTGGATGTCATTGGTCAAAAATTTCATCAATTCTGGGCATTGAAAACCAGTTTGCACCAGTTTGAGACAGGAGTCATTGTGGACGGTGAGGTACATCATGGCAAATGGTGGTATGTCTTTTTGCGGCCTCTTTGTGCTTTCCCATTTCAGGATGTTGATTCTCTGGTTGGTGGTGCAATAACCACATTGAAAAATATGAGTTCGTCAATGGGAAGGATGACATCCCATATAATACTATGGAAAATAAAAGCCATGTTTGAAACCACCAACCAGCTATCCATGTGTATCCATTGCTTAGTCACAATTTTCATCAATTTTCCCTATCATTTGATAGCCATTCGGGGGTTAACCAGGTTGGTTTTCTAACCTCATCTTTGTGAAATCATGGGGATCCTCTGCAGTCTCCGCCCAGAGAGTCGGGGGGAATCTCAACAGGGAGATCACACACCGCCAGGAATTTTGGGTACCCTCTGGCCCTCTGGTTATGTCAAAATAGCTATTGAACATGACGATTTAGTTCGTGGATTTTCCCAGCTAGAAAGTGGTGATGTTCCATAGTTTTTTGTAGGTTTACCAGAGGGTAGATTCTGAATAATCCCATCACCCCAAATTATATGCTCCCTGGATAGCCCCAAATATGGATCAATCCCCTTGCTAAAGCATGGTGACTCTGGGAGTGTTTCATAATTTCGGAAGGGATTATTCATGCATGTCGCGACAAATTGATCTGTGTCTTGGAGTTTCTTGGCGAATGAAAAAAACATTTTTCTCCGTAAATTTGAATATGATTTCTGGTTCTATACTCGTCTTCACCATCCGACACGGAACAATGCTAAAAAACATCTTTGTTTCCACATGGTGGTTCTTAAATACTGATAACAAACAAGTTCTATTTTATCAGGATATTTATTGTTAATGGCAAACAAGAACATGGTAACCTACCATTGACCGAGGTTTGCCAATTTTTGGTAGACTAACCTTAATCAAATCTTGATGGCTACAGTGTATTCCAAACTTTGTTCTTCATCTGGTCATTCACTCAGTTTGAACAGCATCACCCTACTGACCTACCATTCAGCAAAATTTACCCATACACACTTTCATGGTGAAGTGCCCGACTCACTTGTTTCACCTCCCAATTCATGTTAGTGAACTTCCCTGCAAAAACATGAACCTGAGCACACTATAAAACATAGGATGTGTTGCTGTTTTACGATTTTTATGTTCCCATGTTTCTTCTTTGAACATAATTTAACACCCTTCAACCATATTTCAACCAACCATTCATCCATCTGGGACAACTTCCCAGGCACAGTACTCTTGCAAGTTCTCGGTGCGTTTCAACAACTCTTTCAAGATCAGCGCCGTTGCCTGTCGCTGCAGACAAAAAAAACAATGTTTCGCAGGTGGTCCCCGAGGTTTTTTGGAGGCCAATTTCTGTTACGACTATTTACGACTTAACTAATTGAGTTAGCCAACAAGAAAACCAAAACTGCCCAGCACCAAAAAAACACATCCCATGTGCCGAACTTCATCATCTGGGGATATTATAGGAACCATCTGCGATTTTTTTCGCAGTTCACAACATGATCAGGTATAGACCATGATTTATCGCCAATTATTATGATTTACCATGATTCCACTTACCAATTGGTTGTCCAACTTGGTGCTGTCCTGCACCGGCAGGAAATGGTGCCCAAAAAACCAGCTTGCCATTACAGGGGGTCACGAAAATAGGCATTGCTCAGAAAATGAATTTCCCACCGCTTCACCATCAAAACTATATCATTTTGGGGTATACCCGGAAGTATATCTCATTTCTGTCTGGACCAACTGAAGTAGGCATAGACATGAAACGTCACCTGTCTACCAGCTTGGAAATCTGGGGCTTCTGCTTTGGAGGATCATTCTAGTCGGTAAATGATTAGACACATCTTGGCCACCTAAACAGGGGTTGGGAAATGTCCCATGTTTTGGATTTTGAACATCACTTGAAAACGTATCTGTTGGAGATGATATCCCCGATATTTGGGTGACCAGTTTGGTTCCCCAAAGCAAATCTGGGTATGACCCGTTCCCCCCCATCATATATATATAACATTATAATTACTATCAGTATTACTATTATATAATATAATATATATTATATATATAATATATAGAAGTCCGTGAGGTGTGTTAATAACTTTGAAAAAACATAAAGGGCTTAATGGTAAATTTCAAACATTGTTTTATTTCTAATGGCCAATTTTATGCTCACCAATTTCTGTTCAGCGCATCCTGCACATATTTGTTGGCCCCGGCGCCGCTAAAACGCAAGAACGAACAACAAAAAAATCTGATCTCTGCCTCTTAGGGGTTCTTGGGCCCGCCTTTCATTTTATAGGCGTCATACGCACCCTTAACATCCCAAACATTTTATTTGCTGCATTTGTAAGCAAGTTTGGGCATCACCAGCTCTTACGTTGATAGATAGAAAGGGCGGCATTTTTTCTCTTGGGAATGCTTCATTGCTGCTGCTTCGACATTTGATGCCTGTTTTTGGCGTGTTTTTTTCTTGTTTTTTTTTTGCTCTTGGTGGTCTTCATTCATGGTCGTCATTTTTGGTGGTCATCATTTGGTGGTCATTCTCCAAACTATTGTCGCCCACCACTAGGTGTTTTGGATGATGACCATGGCCGTTCTTCGCCTAAGCGGGTAAACCCATGGTCATCAAAGCGTCGAAAACAGGGGTAAAATGATGACCATATGATGACCACGCGGTCATCATTTTAAAATGATGACCATGGTCGTTCTGGTGGTCATCTTATGGTCATCATATGACGACCATGGTCATCATTCCAAAATGATGACCACCAGTGGGGCTATGGTCATCATTTTGGTAGCATGCTCACCAGAACGCTCACCAGAACGCTCACCACATCCCTTTTGGTCAAGTTTGTTTTTTTTGTTCGTGCAATTTTTTGGGGGAATTTTCAAGTACACCGGCCCGGCCATGCCGACAAATACTTGGACAATTAAGATTCCCCTCACTGTTTGCGGCAGTGAGGACAAAAAACGAACTTGTGCATTATGTGGCAATTTCCTCCTGGTTTGAGTTAGTGGCGTGTTTCTGCCTATCACTACCACGCCGCGCTGCTGTAGGGAATGTTTTGAAATAAGACCTTGAGGATATGTCCATATTAACGCTCTCTGTGTATGTGCAAAACTTGCTGGTGGTCAGTGATAAGCCTGAACAGCTCATATGGGTAAATAAACAATGGTTTTTGGTTCACTACCCCCCTGGCCCGCTCACCAAAAAAACCAAGCCGTAATTAACAGGGCTCACGGACTTGTATAATATAATATAGCAAACAATTGAAGACCTGGTCGGAGTTAATGTGTTAAACTAACCATCAAGGCTTTGTACTAGAATTGATGATAAACCTCTGACCACAGTAATTCCCATCAAAATAATACGGCGGAACCCCAGATTGGAGGATAGTTTTGTTCTGGGTTGACCACGTCATTCAGGGCTTCATGTCTTGGGATGAACATTTTTTTCTGGGTTTACGGTTTACCGCATCATTTTCGGGCTTACCATGTTATTGGTGAATATGATGAGAAGTTACTACATCTATCTACTATCTACCATTGCCTATAGTCAATGAAAGATTTCGAAATTCACCACACAAGTTGCAAATCCCTTCCCCCTCATTTCAAATACCATCCAAAAAAAAACGCCTAAAATAGAAAAACAAAAAATCTCACCAGGCTCTACCTTTATTAACGTTTTTTTTTTCGAACCTCGAGGCGAGACGCGACGCGAGCAGATCCGCGCGCCTTGCAGTACTGCACCTTGGGCTGATCCAAATAGCTCCGCTGCTGCGAGAGGAGCTGAGCCACCTCTGGAGATTCCACCGGTAAAGCGACAAAGGGGAAAATGGGATGGTGAAAATAGCATCAGTAAGATGAAGGAGTATCGGAGTATAAAGTATATATTTAAGATAAAATATTATATATATAGTATTATATATATATAAATATTATACTATATATATATATACATATATCTATTACTATAGGATACTATAGGCATCAAATTGTTGCTGTTTGAACACAGGGCACCGGGCAACTGATGTCAAAGCGTGACTTCCAATAATCTTCAAACAAACCAAAGTCCACTGACCAATTTAGTGCATTGCAAAACATATGATCCTCCTTAGTAAATGGTTTGCAAGTGGGTGATGTGACCACCCCTGCAAGTCATTGATTTTGACCCGTGGGCCCGTGGGGCCTTCTTTTCACTTGATGCCGCTGTACTCCAACTGCCACGCTTGTTTGGCTGTTGATCTACAGCAGTTTTGATGCCGCACAGGCCTATAACAATGGTGTTCTGGCATCTTGTGGGCAACAAAGTATCAGTGGCAAATGGCAAAGCCGGAGTCTGTTGCTGCAGAATCCTACGAGTACTGTCAGCCTCTAGGTGCAGGACCCAAATACACACGAGATGAGGGTTGTCAACGAGAAACCTGAGGATGGAAGTCCGCCATTCGAGCTTATTTGGGCATCAGTTTTCCCTTGGTTTTTCTCTTTGCCTTTGCTTTTCACTGGGGCGTCCCAGGACTTTGTGCTGGGCACTGCGTCGGGAAGCTGTGCCACGTGGTGCCGTCAACCAGGTGTCCAGCTCGATTTCCACTGATTTCACTAGCTTCAGGTGCTAAGGCTATAAAAATTGCTATTAATGGCTATTAATGGCTATTAATGGCTATTAATGCTGCAATAAAATTTTTGCAATCGATTATGGGGCAGCTGACTTTGATTTGGGGACATCACTGATAGGTCTGAATTGAACCATGTATTTTTTCATATCCTAGTGCTCCCCATAGTGAGAACTCCCTGGAAGTAAAAACTGTATGTTATCAATTAGTACAAGATAATACAAGTGCGACATTTGTTATACAGGAGAGGCCTGCGCACACCTGGACCTGGAATCTGAAAGCAGCACTTGGACCAAAACCGTGCAAAGTTCATCAACATTATCGACGTACGAACCTAGATTTTAAATCAACATATGCTCGCCGAAGAGGTGCGTAATAATACCAATAAGAATCAAATTCCTTCACTAAGAAGTCAATTGTCCAATCATGTCCAATCTGCAGCGTCGCCCCAATACAAACATCAATTAAAATGCGCTTGGCGAGGAAGTTCCCTGATAAGCGCATTTTTTTAGTTTATATCCAACTAGCAAGGGTGTCTGGATGCTGGGCGACAAGAATCTGCTTCAAGATGTTCCGCACCAAAGTCTCAGAAGCTTTGCGCGGGTGTAGTTTCTCAGCAAATCTTGTGTCTGCCACCTGGGCATCATCGAGGAATGTGCAAGAGAGACGCAGGCGACCACAACTCTCTCCAGACAATTCCTTCAGGTAACAACCGAGCTGACTGCCAAAAAGGCACCAAACATTCGGTTTTTCGCAGCAGGTGCGCTCAGAACTGGTGGCCTTGCCCATCCTCGTCCCATCCAGCATCTCTATGAGGTCGTGTTCCTGGATGTATTGATCACGGCGATGGTTGACAATCTTTTCGAGTTCAGGGTTGACCATCACCAAATTGCCCCCATGCTCGGACAGCACGCGGATGACCCCTGCAAGGGTTAAGGAGCCTTGCGTGAGCAAAGAAGCTAGAACAGGGCGGTTCTCCTCCTGCAAGTCAAGGTCAATTACAATTTGCTGCCGAAGGGATTCCCTAATCAGGGCCAAAATACCTATATACAAAAAACTTTACATATAGTTTCACATTCACTTTGTAGCAACCTAATTTAAAGTCTCAAACACATGGCCTCTTTCAAATTTTACCATGTTACCAGCTAGGGTTAATAATCATATTAGCCAGGACTCAGTTCGAAATATGTGATGGAAAACTTGAAAATGGCAAAAAAACATTAATCACCAAAAGGAATATTTTTTTTTATGTATTAACTAACGGAATTTGAATGAAATCAATGCATAATTAAAACCACGTATAGTCATATAGATAATTCGCTCCAATAAGCCTAAAAATAAACATACAGCGACTTGCTTTATGGTCCACATATATAATTGTATCTCGGCGATTTATCTTGAACATAGCTATGTACGTTCTGTTCTGCATACATGTTCATGTACCCAGCATGCACTGTTCACATTCCAAATGCCCACGTGAGCAAGAAGCGTTCATCCATTTTCATGGTTAGGTAGACCGATTTTTAAACCCGAAGGTCCTCAAAATCAGGATCCTAGATCATTTACCATTGCGGCTAGTAACTAGTACAGGTTAAATCTCTCATTGGGAAATGAACATGCAGCAGGGAATCATGGGTAGTCATGCATCACCAGATTTATGGGTTTCCGCCGAAAAAAATCCCAGATAAGCAGAGCTCAGGCGCACATTTTGTGATGCTGAGTTCCGCCGAAAAAAATATTTTCAGCAGAAATCCTAGGGAAACGCGTTGAATCAGCAGAAGTCCACTACACAAAACCAGAAGATGAGTTCCGTCGAACCATAGGTCTGCATACTAAGTTCCGCCGAGATTTGGCTTTCAGCAGAAGTCAGGTACACAATTTCTGTAGTGGAGTTCCGCCGAAAAACAAAAAAACAAAGTCCGTAAAAAAAAAAGTGCAACCGATTCGGGGGCACGGGATCTCAATTTTATCTCAATTTTCCGCCGTTTCTTTTTTCAGCAGATCTCAGACCCCCCCATGCCCCATAATCGGCCGCAACGGAAAAAAGGTCCACAAAGTCCGCAGAGATTTGTTTGGCAAGCTAATCTGAGACTTCAATGCAAAGTTCGGAGCCCTAGGCCCTACCCTACTTATTGGCCATGGGTGGCACATGTGATCGGGAGGAACTTGCCTGGGTAACCCTTGGAAAATCGTGTAGACTTGGTGATGGACGATATAACCACCCATTACCATGGTCTGGCCCCATGCTTTTTAAAAGCTCCAGACAAAGGGTTTCATTGAAGTATTCCCTTCGCCGCCCCCTAATAAATGCTCAAATCCACCCAAATAGGCAAAAACATGTTAAAGCATGCTAAAACTAGGCCAAAAAAAGATGAAATTATAGTGGAAGTGCGACATGTGTTATACAGCAGATGTCCGCGCACACCCGGACCTGGAATCTGCTTCCAGGCAAAGTTAATCAACAATATCCACATACGAAGGTAAATCAACATGTGCTCGCCGAAGAGGTTCCTTAAAAATACTAATAAGAATCAAATTCCTTCACTAAGAAGTCAATTGTCCAATCATGTCCAGTCTGTAGCGTCGCCCCAGTACAAACATCAATGAAAATGCGCTATGCGAAGAAGTTCCCTGATAAGCGCCTTTCTTTGGAATTAGATTCAACCAAGGTCAAGCACAATTTGCTGCCTGAAGAGACACCCTAATCAGGACCAAAGTATCTACTAAAAAAATACATTTTTGATTCACATTAATTTTGTATCAACCGAACCCAAGCCTCAAACACATGGCATCTTTTATTGTTGAGGTCCAAGACCACCATTTCAATCCAGTTCGCCATTTAAGGTACATAGTAAAATTGTAGTAAATTTTATATTGAAATAATAATGGGTCAAATAGTTTCTATTAATGTCAGGAAACTTACCAAGAGCATGAAGGGGTAAAAGGGAATTACCCATTAAACCAAAATTAAATTTGGATGATCTATGACCCATGATCCAGATCCTGAGACCCCAATTCGATTGCAAAAGTTTAATAGGGCTTAACTTCTCCGTCCTGACATCCGCATCAACCTGCGCGGAATGTCTGATGCTTAAACATAAGTCAACGACGTTTAAGCATCCCAAGCAACACGAGACAACAAAACAATGAACTCATCCCTCTAATATCAAGACCCCCTAGAAACCCTGATTTACTGCAGGATCCAGTCATTTTGGGGGGCAATTTTTTTCAGGGGTCATGGAACAAATTGGCATAGAAATCACGCGGGATACCACTTCAGGATGGTTGAAGCCCCAAAAATCCTTGGATTTCCTCCAAAATGGTGGATGGATTACTGTCATCAATGGGAACATTTAGAGCAAATCCCAAGAAATCATCTAACATGTGGGGAAAAAACATGGGAACATTTTGGCCAAGTAATCTATCATGTCGAAGATCAATGGTGGATTCTTCGGCAAATCTAAGATCTCTCCACATCCGGCCCCCATTCCCGCCTGAACATTGAGCTCGGCCGCTTCGCGAAAGCTTTGCAGCTGCTCCTCTTCAATGGATGGGTTTAAGGGACGTAGGTGGGTTCCGTAGATTGTCCCATCACCCAATTCTGGGAACAATATAGGTTTATGGTTTATGGTTCACTTCCTATCAAATTGGAATAGCTTTGCAGGGTATGATCGGATGTAAGAATTGGTTTGATGCTGCTGTAAAACAAATATTGGTTTGCTTTATTAATCCAACAAGGGCATGGGATTTTGCTGATGAGACCATGTCGAGTGGCTAACCTTAAATTGCCTTCGATGTATACCCCGCAAAGAAAAACATGTGTTGTAGTGCAGTTGTTCTTTGCTAGCACAACTTGGGACACAAATAACCTAGTAGCAAATCAAACCAACATGGATGTGTCTGAAAACAGGAAATCCAATTGCATGTCATGACTGCAAACACACAGTCCGATCATGTTCCCATCATTTTTTCAAGAGAAAACAATGATCGTATTCCCCAGAAAATGAACATGCAATCTTTATTCATTTTTACTAAAACTGGTTGGTGGTTTTAACCATCTTGAAAAATGATGGACTTCGTCAGTTGGGATGATGACATTCCATTCCCAACTGAATGGAAAGTCATAAATAATCCAAATTCCATGGTTCCAAACCACCAATGAAGCAGATATTCATAGGACTTTGCTTATTTTGCTTCTCTTTTTTGCGTTTTTTTAAAGAAATCCCTCCCGTCCATGACTTTCCCGAAAAAACAGCGCTCCTCTCCCAGGATCTCTGGAGGGTCACGAGCCTAGGAGATGATCGAGTCGCGAGCCGTCGCTCACGTCTGATGGTTTTTTGGAACGGGTGGAACACAGAACATGAAATTTCTGGAGATAGAACCATCCTTATAGAATTTCAATATCTATCTATCAGTATCAATATCAATATCAATGATATTAAATTTCAAGAACCATCCTTTCTTGGAGATGGGTACATAGCTGTCCATGAAGAAATCTGATAAATAAAAAAAAACTGACAAGCATGGGAAAACCACCAACTTTCATGATCTTTCATGATCATTTCCCCTAAAGTAACCAACGACTGAGGTAACCCCCGCCATTCTCAGAACACACCACATAACATATATATATATATAATTTATAGATTGTTAAATGCAGTAATTAATGTTGAACCATGTTACATATATACGATTATATATCACAAAGCATATCCCCAAATAGTATTACCATGTTTAAAGACTTTAAAGACACAACCAGGCAATTTCCGCTCCTCATTATCTGCTTCGCCGACATCCTCCTTTGAAATGAACTCTTTCGACAGTTGCCACAACCTCAACACTTCCAACACGTCACGTGGGCGGAAAGGTCAGTCCACATTGGCTTTCTCTGAGTTTTCAGGGTTTCATGTGGGTAAAACAATGCCATAAACCCTCCCCAGTCATCACCATAAATAGGTGGTATATAGAAACCATTCCCAGTCATGGGTGATGAACATGACATGGTTTTTCCAACATAGCAACCCAAAACGATGCCGAAACGTTCCCGACCTGGAAGATGCCGAATCTTCCAGGTCTTAAATCGTTCCTGTTTTGTGCTGTTTTTTTTAAACAAAAAGGGCAAAAAACATCTGCGGATTGGCGATATATATGGTGGGTGTATCATATTCTCTGGAAAACCACCAGAGACCAACTCTTCATTTTTGGATGTTCCATCCTATCAAGGCAGTGGCTTCAGGCGTGTTTTCGGCGGATTCCGACTGCAGATTTCAGCGGAAACACAGTGGGGTATCCACTGATCAATCACTATGTCTTCCCTTTTAGAATGACATCCTGATGGGTATAATTGCTCCATATTACCCCATTTTTAGACCCAGAAGAGCATAGAAGAGCCTTATATGCAGACCTTCTGGTGACTGTGTCATCTCAGCCACGTCTAATCCCGGCTTCATCCACCGTCGCAGCCCTGCAACAAAAAGCACATAGCGGAATGTCTCAAACTTTTCCTGTAATCAATCTAGATAGATACCCTCTGGATCTCTGGTAAACTAACGTAACTATTGGAAATCACCATTTTCAATGGGTAAATCCAGTATAAAGGGCCATTTTCAATAGCAAACTGTATGTTTACCAGAGGATAGATAGATACAGTAGATGTACTCAAGTCTAAAGAGTCAAATGGTGATTATACCTTCAATACCTCAAGTAAATCGTGGTGTATATTTATTTGCATCTTGAAGTAAATGTGACACCTTGAGTCTCAGCAACTAATCCCATCCCATATACCAAAGATCCCCCAGAAACCATGGTTAGGGAATTCGCACATATTTGGAACCATCTATATAACGGGTGTTTAACTATCAAACGCTTGGGCAACTCAATTCGTAGGGAATATGGATACCCAGAGGGTTCTGAACGGCTCGCTCCTAATCACTGGAGAGTTATATAATATTACAGGGAGGAAATGTAGCATTAATATGATATTAACATATATGTATATATAAGTTATATATATATAATATTTAACTAGTATGATTTACCATGATATAATGGTTCCCTCCTAACATTAATATCTTAGGTTTTATCTTTGCCCACTGGATACTTTTCGCGGATCTAGCCATCAACTCGCGTCCGAGTCGAGGAACTGTTGCTGAAAAGCCTCCTTCTCCTGGAGGTAGGACCAATGCCACCAACAACGCACTGGAAAAAAGTAACATCTATATGCGTTGCTGGTAAACTATGGTAAACTATGGTAAACTATGGTAAACCATGGTAAACCATGGTAAACTATGGTAAACTATGGTAAACTATGGTAAACTATGGCAAACTATGGTAATTAAGCTATATACCCCTAGGGGAACCTATGGTAAACTAACACTTCGATGTGGAAACAACACAAAAAAAACACACTGTGTGTAGATCAGTTTGCCTGGGAATTTTTGGGTTTTACACATCTACGTTACTTTACCCGAGGGTACCATTTCCGTCATTGCCTGTCTAAAATCGAATATTCTAAATGAATCATAAACAAGGTTTTGCAGCTGATAGGGGGTCTTTGGAAATGGATTCTAGGGTCCTTGGTGATGTAGTTCTACCTCTGATTGTGTGATATATGTTTTCCATTATTTATTCTTTATCTATCTTATCTATCAAGGTAGGTGGCCTTGGTATATACTAATGAAAATGATCCCAAAGGAAAGATCGTCTTGGGCTAGTGTCCCTTGGATGTTTCAATATATTGTTACTTCTTATCCGCCATTCGGCAATCATGCCTAGATGGGGGTTGAGAATTCGTGTCTCCATCCATTTACCCTTCTATTCGTGGAAGTGCCAGTCAGAACAAACGATCACCATTCGATCGTAGTTCAAATATGTTTTTTTTGGGTTGGGTACTTTGATAAAATATTAAATATTATATATATATACCAATATATGCAGCAGATAGGGGGTCTTTGGAATTTGATCCTAGGGTCCTTGGTGATTTAGTTCTACCTCTGATTGTGTGATATATGTTTTCCATTATTTATTTCTTTATCTATCTTATCTATCAAGGTAGGTGGCCTTGGTAAATTCTAGTGAAAATGATCCCAAAGGAAAGATCGTCTTGGGCTAGTGTCCCTTGGATGTTTCAATATATTGTTAATTCTTATCCGCCATTCGGCAATCATGCCAAGATGGGGGTTGAGAATTAGTGTCTCCATCCATTTACCCTTCTATTCGTGGAAGTGCCAGTCAGAACAAACGATCACCATTCGATCGTAGTTCAAATAGTTTTTTTTGGTTGGGTACTTTGATAAAATATAAATATATTTTTTATATATATATATCAGATATATATGCAGCCGATAGGGGGTCTTTGGAATTTGATTCTAGGGTCCTTGGTGATTTAGTTCTACCTCTGATTGTGTGAGATATGTTTTCCATTATTTATTTCTTTATCTATCTTATCTATCAAGGTAGGTGGCCTTGGTATATACTAGTGAAAATGATCCCAAAGGAAAGATCGTCTTGGGTTAGTGTCCCTTGGATGTTTCAATATTATTAATTCTTATCCTTCTTTCGGTAGTCATGCCAAGATGGGGGTTGATAATTAGTCTCTCCATCCATCTACCCTTCTATTTGTGGAAGTGCCAGTCAGGACAAACGATCACCATTCGATCGTAGTTCAGATAGTTTTTTTTTGGGGTTGGTACTTCGATAAAATATAAAATAAAATATTGTTATGCGACGGATGTGCGGATGCGACGGATACGGGGTCCCCCAAGCCAAAAGATCGGCAATTTTTTTTCCTAAATCTCAAAATAAAGGACCCCGAATCCTCTGCGGCAAAAATCATGGTAGAATATAATAGTAGGGCTGTTTCCCAAGTCCACATGCCAATTTCTGCACCCTGAGATCGGCAATTTTTTTTTCCTAAATCCCAGGGTACAACCTCTGTATTGCCCAAGTCTAGGTGCAGATTTTTGCGACCTTACTTAGGCAATACCCCACCAAACACCTAGGATATCGTCAATTTTTTTTTTCCTAACTCAGGGTGCTGATTTCTGCGCCCTGACTTCGGCAAATTAGCTGTTGGACATTGCATTTAAAGGATATACAGTCACCGACAGAATTTTGGAAATGGAAAAAAGGTTCGACATGGGCAAGCAAACAACTGCGGCGCGCCGGGGCCGTATTTTTCCATAATTCTGTTTTACTGATAAAAATGCACACCTCAAAAATCGGTAATAGCTTGTATACCGAACCTTTTTGGAAGGGGCGTGACGTGCTGCAGTTAAATTTCCATATATTTTTTTTCCATGTGAGGGTGCTTCTTGGCACTCGACCATTTCCATAATTATTTGTTTCCTGAGAGGGGTGACAACTTCTCTATTGATATGTTTCCATAATTCTTTTGGCCATGGCTACAGTGCATGATTTATGGCAACCCTTATGACTTATGACACACTGACCATGTCCAGAATTCTGTCGACGACCAAGTTAGCCAACAAAAATGAAGAATGTTCACCAATCGAACCTGCAAAACCCGGCTGTAAACCAGGTAGTTTGGAGGATAAGGACCCCAAAACTGAATCTGGATTTAGTCACAAAATCATGCAAATTCTCTGTAAACCAGGCGGTTTGAAGGATAAGGATCCCAAAACTGAATGTGGACTTGGTCCCAAAATCATGCAAAACACTCAAGACCAGGTAGTTTAGAGGATCAGGATCCGAAAAGTAAGATTTCCAACATTAATTTTGCATCGTGGATTAGAGGCTTTTGTAGACATTTGTATACATTTGTTTTATCCTTTTTTTTGAAGGATCAGGATCCGAAAACTGAATCTAGATTTAGTCCCAAGATCATGCAAATACGCTGTAAACCAGGGGGTTTGGAGGATAAGGATCCCAAAACTGAATCTGGACTTAGTCCCAAAATCATGCAAAAAACACTCAAGACCAGGTAGTTTGGAGGATCAGGATCCGAAAAGTAAGATTTCCAAAATTAATTTTGCATTGTGGATTCGAGGCTTTTGTAGACATTCTTCTCATCCTTTTTTTTTGGAAGGATCAGGATCCGCAAATTGAATCTAGATTTAATCCCAAGATCATGCAAATACGCTGTAAACCAGCTGGTTTGGAGGATAAGGATCCCAAAACTGAATCTGGACTTACTCCCAAAATCATGCAAAAACGCTGTAAACCAGGTGGTTTGGAGGATAAGGGTCCCAAAACTGAATCTGGACTTAGTCCCAAGAACATGCAAATACGCTGTAAACCAGCTGGTTTGGAGGATAAGGATCCCAAAACTGAATCTGGATTTAGTCCCAAAATCATGCAAAAACACTCAAAACCAGATAGTTTGAAGGATCAAGATCCGAAAAGTAAGATTTCCAAAATTCATTTTGCATTGTGGATTAGAGGCTTTCGTAGACATTCGTCTCATCCTTTTTTTTGAAGGATCAGGATCCGCAAATTGAATCTAGATTTAGTCCCAAGATCATGCAAATACGCTGTAAACCAGCTGGTTTGGAGGATAAGGATCCCAAAACTGAATCTGGACTTAGTCCCAAAATCATGCAAAAACACTCAAAACCAGGTAGTTTGACGGATCAGGATGCGAAAAGTAAGATTTCCAAAATTAATTTTGCATTGTGGATTAGAGGCTTTTGTAACAAAACTTTTGTAGACATTTGTGTACATTTGTCTCATCCTTTCTTTTGAAGGATCAGGATCCGAACACTGAATCTAGATTTAGCCCCAAGATCATGCAAATACGCTGTAAACCAGGTGGTTTGGAGGATCCAAATCCAAAAATTGAATCTAGATTTAGTCCCAAGATCATGCAAATAAATTGTAAACAAGGGTAAACAAGGTGGTTTGGAGGATAAGGATCCCACAACTGAATCTGGATTTAAGCCCAAAATCATGCAAATTTGCTGTAAACCAGGTGGTTTGGAGGATAAGGATCCCAAAGCTGAATCTGGATTTAGCTGTAAACCAGATGGTTTGGAGGATAAGGATCCCAAAACTGAATCTGGACTTAGTCCCAAAATCATGCAAAAACACTCAAAACCAGGTAGTTTGAAGGATCAGGATCCGAAAAGTAAGATTTCCAAAATTAATTTTGCATTGTGGATTCGAGGCTTTTGTAGACATTCTTCTCATCCTTTTTTTTGAAGGATCAGGATCCGCAAATTGAATCTAGATTTAATCACAAGATCATGCAAATACGCTGTAAACCAGCTGGTTTGGAGGATAAGGATCCCAAAACTGAATCTGGACTTACTCCCAAAATCATGCAAAAACACTTAAAACCAGGTAGTTTGACGGATCAGGATCCGAAAAGTAAGATTTCCAAAATTAATTTTGCATTGTGGATCAGAGGCTTTTGTAGACATTCGTCTCATCCTTTTTTTGTGAAGGATCAGGATCCGAACACTGAATCTAGATTTAGTCCCAAGATCATGCAAATACGCTGTAAACCAGGTGGTTTGGAGGATAAGGATCCAAAACTGAATGTGGATTTAGTCCCAAAATCATGCAAAAACAATCAAAACCAGGTAGTTTGGAGGATCAGGATCCCAAAACTGAATCTGGACTTAGTCCCAAAATCATGCAAAAACACTCAAGACCAGGTAGTTTGGAGGATCAGGATCCGAAAAGTAAGATTTCCAAAATTAATTTTGCATTGTGGATTCGAGGCTTTTGTAGACATTCTTCTCATCCTTTTTTTTTGGAAGGATCAGGATCCGAACACTGAATCTGGATTTAGTCCCAAGATCATGCAAATTCGCTGTAAACCAGGTGGTTTGGAGGATAAGGATCCCAAAACTGAAATTGGATTTAGTTCCAAGATCATGCAAATTCGCTGAAAACCAGGTGGTTTGGAGGATAAGGATCCCAAAGCTGAAATTGGATTTAGTCCCAAAATCATGCAAATTTGCTGTAAACCAGGTGGTTTGGAGGATAAGGATCCCAAAACTGAATCTGGATTTAGTCCCAAAATCATGCAAAAACAATCAAAACCAGATAGTTTGAAGGATCAAGATCCGAAACGTAAGATTTCCAAAATTCATTTTGCATCGTGGATTAGAGGCTTTCGTAGACATTCGTCTCATCCTTTTTTTGAAGGATCAGGATCCGCACATTGAATCTAGATTTAGTCCCAAGATCATGCAAAAAACGCTGTAAACAAGCTGGTTTGGAGGATAAGGATCCCAAAACTGAATCTGGACTTACTCCCAAAATCATGCAAAAACGCTTAAAACCAGGTAGTTTGACGGATCAGGATCCGAAAAGTAAGATTTCCAAAATTAATTTTGCATTGTGGATTCGAGGCTTTTGTAGACATTCTTCTCATCCTTTTTTTTTGGAAGGATCAGGATCCGAACACTGAATCTAGATTGTCCCAAGATCATGCAAATACGCTGTAAACCAGGTGGTTTGGAGGATCCAAATCCAAAAATTGAATCTAGATTTAGTCCCAAGATCATGCAAATAAATTGTAAACAAGGGTAAACAAGGTGGTTTGGAGGATAAGGATCCCACAACTGAATCTGGATTAGTCCCAAAATCATGCAAATTTGCTGTAAACCAGGTGGTTTGGAGGATAAGGGTCCCAAAACTGAATCTGGACTTACTCCCAAAATCATGCAAAAACACTCAAAACCAGGTAGTTTGAAGGATCAGAATCCGAAAAGTAAGATTTCCAAAATTAATTTTGCATTGTGGATTCGAGGCTTTTGTAGACATTCTTCTCATCCTTTTTTTTTTGGAAGGATCAGGATCCGCAAATTGAATCTAGATTTAATCCCAAGATCATGCAAATACGCTGTTGCATGATCTTGGGACTAAATCTAGATTCAGTTTTCGGATCCTGATCCTTCAAAAAAAAAGGATGAGACAAATGTATACAAATGTCTACAAAAGCCTCTAAGCCACGATGCAAAACTAATTTTGGAAATCTTACTTTTCGGATCCTGATCCTCCAAACTACCTGGTTTTGATTGTTTTTGCATGATTTTGGGACTAAATCCACATTCAGTTTTGGATCCTTATCCTCCAAACCACCTGGTTTACAGCGTATTTGCATGATCTTGGGACTAAATCTAGATTCAGTGTTCGGATCCTGATCCTTCACAAAAAAAGGATGAGACGAATGTCTACAAAAGCCTCTGATCCACGATGCAAAATTAATTTTGGAAATCTTACTTTTCGGATCCTGATCCTCCAAACTACCTGGTTTTGATTTTGTTTGCATGATTTTCGGAACTAAATCCAGATTCAGTTTTGGAAACCTTATCCCCCAAGCCACCTGGTTTACAACGTCTTTGCATGATTTTGGGACTAAATCCAGATTCAGTCGTGGGATCCTTATCCTCCAAATACGCTGTAAACCAGCTGGTTTGGAGGATCCAGATCCAAAAATTGAATCTAGATTTAGTCCCAAGATCATGCAAATAAATTATAAACAAGGTTAAACAAGGTGGTTTGGAGGATAAGGATCCCACAACTGATTCTGGATTTAGTCCCAAGATTATGCAAATTTGCTGTAAACCAGGTGGTTTGGAGGATAATGGTCCAAAAACTGAATCTGGATTTAATCCCAAAATCATGCAAATTTGCTGTAAACCAGCTGGTTTGGAGGATAAGGGCCCGAAAATTGAACCTTGTTTTTTTCCCAAAATCATGCAAATACGCTGTAAAACCAGGTGGTTTGGAGGATAAGGGTCCCAAAACCGAACCTGGATTTTGTCCCAAGATCATGCAAAAACAATCAAAACCAGGTAGTTTGAAGGATCAGGATCCGATAAGGATGATTTCCAAAATTAATTTTGCATCGTGGATTAGAGGCTTTTGTAGAAATTTGTATACATTTGTCTCATCCTTTTTTTTTGAAGGATCAGGATCCGAAAATTGCTATTTCCAAAATTCTTTTTTTTGAAAGTCCGTAATGTCGCTAATCTTTTGTCTTGGTTTCGGTCCCCAACCTTTTCCGCTAACTGCGGCGCGCGAACCTTTTTTCATTTCCAAAATTCTGTCGGTGACCATATGATGTAGATGTAGAAATAATGGGGGAAATTTAGTACTTGAAAAAAATAATGATAATCAGGGATAACATTAACATTGGTGGCTTTATACCAAAGGTATATGGGGGCACCACCCTAGAAAAAACAAGAGCGTGGTTGATACCTTTTCCATTTTGATCCAGCAATTGGTTGGTACCCTTCAGAAATGGTAGTGGACCCCAGTTAATCCAAGGAATATAATAAAATAAAATAACCCTAACCGTTACTGGGATGATATCAATTTAGCCAACCAAGTGGTTGCCTAAGAATGAACATAATAATGCACATAAAATTTTCTATGAGTATGGTAAAAAAACAAATAGTTATATTAAATAACCAATGGTAAGATGATACCCATTTAATCAACCAATTGGTTACCTCATAGGGAAAATAATAAAGTACCTATAATACAATTCAATTCCACTATCATATATTAAATAGTTGGAAAGACCCAAGAATCCATTTCCAGAGAACCCAGATCAATTGCACAACATAGATATAATATATTCTATATTTTATCGAAGTACCCAACCCCCCATAAAAAAAAACTATTTGAACTACGATCGAATGGTGATCGTTTGTTCTGACTGGCACTTCCACAAATAGAAGGGTAAATGGATGGAGAGACTAATTATCAACCCCCATCTTGGCATGACTACCGAAAGAAGGATAAGAATTAATAATATTGAAACATCCAAGGGACACTAACCCAAGACGATCTTTCCTTTGGGATCATTTTCACTAGTATTTACCAAGGCCACCTACCTTGATAGATAAGATAGATAAAGAAATAAATAATGGAAAACATATATCACACAATCAGAGGTAGAACTAAATCACCAAGGACCCTAGAATCAAATTCCAAAGACCCCCTATCGGCTGCATATATTGATATATATATATATATAATATTTATATTTTATCAAAGTACCCAACCCAAAAAAACCTATTTGAACTACGATCGAATGGTGATCGTTTGTTCTGACTGGCACTTCCACGAATAGAAGGGTAAATGGATGGAGACACTAATTATCAATCCCCATCTTGGCATGATTACCGAATGGCGGATAAGAATTAACAATATATTGAAACATCCAAGGGACACTAGCCCAAGACGATCTTTCCTTTGGGATCATTTTCACTAGTATATACCAAGGCCACCTACCTTGATAGATAAGATAGATAAAGAAATAAATAATGGAAAACATATATCACACAATAGGAGGTAGAACTAAATCACCAAGGACCCTAGAATCCATTTCCAAAGACCCCCTATCAGCTGCAAAACCTTAAACTTTGAATTTTGTGGAGCCTTATATTTGGATAAACTCAAATCGACAGCAGGTTTGCGGTTTCAAGCCTGTCTAAATAACATGCGTGAAACTAAGAACCGAGAAACACTGCGTGAAAAGCCAACGGTTGAACCATTTACCATCGGATGTTAGCTCCATCAACGGCTGGCCAAGAATTAACCTTGCCATCCACTGAAAGGTCGTCAGTTTACCCATCATGTTACGGCGCTATCCTGATGTTTTAGTTGGCTATCCCATGTTTTATGGCAGGTTTTATCTTCATTTATGGATCAACATCTGGGGGAATTTTTCCCATTCACCATCCAAATTTAGGACCAAGTTTGACCCATGTTGGATGCTACTCCCGCTTCCAACTCAGCTTGTTTTTTTCCAATTAAACATGGTGATGGTCCACCATTTATAGTGGTTTTTTCCATTAAACATGGTGATGTTCCACCATTTATAGAGGTTTTTCCCATTGATTTTCCATCGTTTTTTGTATGTTCAGAGGGTTTACATGTCCCAACCGGTTAAAGCACACCCCTCCATAGCCAATCGATGCGATTGGCTTCACTGGGGCCCAAACTTGGTCGAATGGGCCCCATTCGAATCAGACCATGCTATCTTGTGCTATCATACCTACACGGATCTAAATGGAACTATGATGGAAAATATGATGGAAACATGATGGAAATATGATGAAATTCATATTATCATATGAAATCATATTATCTGGTTGGTGGTTTCACCCCTCTGAAAAATATTAGTCAGTTGGGATGATTATTCCCAATATATGGAAAAATAATCCAAATGTTCCAAACCACCAACCAGATATTGAATAAAACTGAATAAACCAACATAAACCAACTGTCCACTGAGGGGAACCCCCAGTTTCCCTCCACCTCAGCGCCGGTCACGGTCCTTCTGCATGGCTTCGGCATAGGCCAAGCGCACGCGACTCAGCTCCCTATCAAGGCGCTGATCAAATTCCTGCCGCCAACCCTTGGGGAAGTAGAAAAAAAAACAATAACCCTCAAAAAGATATAAAAGTAGAGGTTACTTCAAGTCATTATAGCAACTATGCTGACTGTTTCTTTGGGATTAATGAAGTACTATATAGACTATAGCAATCCTACTAAATTAGAGGTAACATTATGATGAATTCTATCATTTTTTGGATTACTACAAGTCATTCTTGTGCGATCAGCACAGCATCCGAGGCCATGGTACAATTCAGATCGGATTGCCATGTTGTGTCCCATTTTGATAGTGATTTTCATCGTGATGTTTATATAGTGTATAGAACTATACATTCACAATATCACCAGGGATTGATGTTATGTATATATATATAGTGCTGGGTAAATTATAGTATTTCACTAATCTGAATCTTGCGGCCATTTGGGGATGATTTCCCTTATTGACCATGATTCCAATGAGGTCGCAGTGAGGTCGTTATAATTTACCCAGATATAATGTATATTACATACAAAAAATATAAATAATGTAGCCGTAACCCCACGGACTTCTTTTTTCAACCCCGGGCTGTTCAACTGGGGGTAGCTTTCTGGCAGCAAAACATGTTTTTTTTTTGAGTTTCCGAGTTTATCAACCAAACTATATTAAAACGTTGGTTTTTAAGCAGTATTTTTGTTGATGCACTGTCAAAGTAATGGATCGTTTTTTGCCCTAATCATGGCACAGTAGTTCGTGTAATTGACTAAATGATCATGTGTGCAACTAACAGGAATCACTGATTCATGCATTCATAAGCCATCAAGTTGCCATCACAGCAAATTACAATAATTGCTAGATCACTACTGTTACTGCTAGCTGCTATGTCAAAAGATCGAGGTTGAACACATGTCCACTTTCAAGTACTTTTTGTCTACATGTTTTACCACTATGTGACGATCCACAAGAATCCTGGGACCCCGCAGTCCACGTTTCAGCCGAGATTCTTTTTCAAGTGCTTGCGACAACCTCAGCGAAAACATGCAAATTCACTACCATGGGGCAATCAAAAGCCTGGTGAACACCAAAATAGCTGGGAGTTACCCTCTGGTAAACATACAGTTTGCTATTGAACATGGCCATAGAAATAGTGGATTTTCCCATGAAACATGGTGATTTTCCATAGTTATGTAAGCGTTTACCAGAGGGTATGGATCTTCATCCCTCCAAACACTGTCTACATCCCCATGTCTGATTGGCGATATGCAATGGATTACCTACCACTCACCAGCTCAGACAGCATGGGTCATAAGATAACAACCAAACAGAAAATGTAGAAAGTCAAATCCTACTAGTTGAACTACTAGTGGTAAATTGCACTTTGTCGATCATATTTTGTGGGGAGGTCTATGGGAAGGGTCCCCCCTGTAAATTGGTTTACAAACGCCATCATCCCCATCTAATTAGAGAAACCAACTTCGCTAAATACGGGGGCCCTTTCCAAGTGACTACTATAGATACTTCATCACATCTCTTTGGCATAAACTCCAGTTACACTACTTATTCCAAGCGACTTAGCTATCACAAACTTAAGCTACAATATGCTGCATATGCTGCATATGCTGCATATCCATATAAAGCCCATTAACTCCATATATCTGATGCTTAAATCATCATGTTATTCTATGGTTTCAAGGGTCACAACTTCATATATTCCCAATATGGATCCCAATGGAATGCGCCACCCGCAACTGCTTCTGCTCGGCGCCCCGGAACTGCTCGGCCATCCCTCGAAAGAAGTCTCCAGTGCCGACCTACTGCTCGACTGGGGATAGTTTGAATACCAAAAATGGATGTTAGGCACATGGTTAGTTACTATGGTGATTAGTTACTCATAATCACTAGGCACATAGTTTTCCCATTATATAAAACTGGTGACTTGGGGATGATGACTATGGCTTTGGGTTTACCACGGTACTCTTAAATAGTGGAGTCAGTTGGATTCGATTTGTGGCTACAGTTTTGGACAACACAACAGGGAGTGGCTTTGAACTCAAAGCTAGAATTTGACCATCTTTCGTTTCTGGTCGTGTTTGGCATTTATCACAGATTTATGATTTCTCAAACATGAGAATTTCATAACCTTGCTGAAATCAATATTCAAGAACCATGAAATATGTGTAACTGATTGCAAATGTTACCCTCTGGTAATTTAACATAGCTATTGAAAATGGCCCATTTATAGTGGATTTACCCATTAAAAATGGTTATTTTCCATAGCTATGTTAGTTTACCAGAGGGTATGGTAATCTCATGTTCAACCAAAAGTGCCAGTACACAGCTCCCTGTGATCACGCTTTGCTCTGCCTCAAGAGCCAAGACTTGCCAGCCCCTTAAATCTGTTGGGGCAAAAACAGTCGGTGGTTTTAACTCCCAAGAATCTGCTCGCCATCTCAACCAAATCATCAATAAAAAACAATACCCTCTGGTTATTTAACATAGCCATGGGAAATGGCCCATTTATAGATGGTTTACCTATTAAAAATTGTGATTTTCCATGGCTATGTTAAATAACCAGATGGTAAATATTTGAAAGCTTCAACCAGAACAAGTAAAACACAAGTGGGGTTGGAATTTGGGGGACTCTTGGGTGATTTTTGTGGCTACAAACCCTTGGTTCCACCTGTCCAGCGCGCAACTTCCATGGCCGCCCAGAAGAGCTTGCGGCGGCGCTTCCCGCTGCGCCGCTGGCCGGGTCCTGCGTATGTTTGGGGAAAACAAAGATTGATGGTTACAATGGTTATCCTCCAGTAGTTAGAATATGGACATTTAGCATGGGGATTTGTTTTGTGGGCAATTCAGTGGGAATATATTAGCTGGTTGGTGGTTTTAAAATCCCTCTGAAAAAATATTAGTCAATGGGAAGGATTATCCTATATATTATGGAAAATAAACATGTTTGAAACCACCAACCAGTTAGGGATTTCTCGGGATTTTATGGTTTATAGTGGGGATATACCCTCCGGCAAGCTGGGACATCACTTTTCTGAAGGTCTCCAAGGGAAAATCATCGCACTTTTCTGGATTTTCTTTTGCTATGTTTGATGACCGGAGGGTAGATAGATGTAGATAAAATGTCGAAATGTCAAAAATAAGAATAATAATAAAAAAACACCGTGTATGATTATCTAACATTTCTAAACATTTCTAAACCATGTGTTATAGAATGTCGAAATTAAAAATGAACACATGGTTCAAAAACCCATATTCTATCTACTCCAGGATGATTATAGGCGGTGACTAGTTCACCGCCTGGCCTGCAACCATTGAGCAGTTCCAACCCGACGCCCTCAGTGGAGCACTTTACCACCTCGCTACAGGACACCTCTAAGTACATGGTCCAGCCGGGGATTATGTTATGCGTATCCCTAGTGACTGGTGGGTTGAAGGCTTTCCTCGACATGTGGAAATACTCATTTTGTTTTTCTTGCACCTGTAGAATTCTACAGGTTTTGATGCTACAGTTCTGCACTTAAAGATAGAAAAGGATAGCAACAGTTTCGAATTTACCGCGGTCTTATAGGATTGGTTTTATCTTTCCCGCATCTTTTTTGGGGGCACCATTAAATCATATGAAATATGAAGGTTTCCGAAAAAAAATGCGTAAGCCTCATCCCTAGACTCCTAGACCCTCCTCCTTGAGTCGCGTCAAGACATCCAGCAGTTGTTCACCTGCGCTGGAGCGGCTAGGGGCGCCCTTGGATGTTGGAGCCGGCAACTCACACTCGCAACCTCCAAAGAAAGACACGCATGTAAAATTTCAATCCAAAAATTGCACACTTGAACCATTGAACCATCTTGAACCTGTCTCAAATTCGCTGGTACAACTGATTCCTGTTTCTTTTCTGGATTCTTTTGAATCTTGTTTCACCCAAGTCACGTTGCTCCACCCCCAAAGCTCTCATCACGCCTGGCCGTTCAGTCAGCCAGGGGGGGATTGAAATCAACACGGTAGCTTAAGAGAAACCAATGGGATACCTCAAGGTGTACCATAGGGGGGGTGACCAAAAATATCTATGAATGGATTGATGACCATTCCCCAATATGGGTAAATCATGGTAAATCCAATCCAACCTTTGACCATGGCAATGTATTCCCCGCTTTGCTGAAACGAAAGAATGAGTCAAGGTCTTACTCTTAATTCATTTTCTTTTGAGTCGAGGTAAAAAAGAAAACAAAACTATGTTTCTTTTAGATTCTCGCGACATTGCATCTTCTTATCACAGGATATCAGCCCCCGAAGCTGTACTCACCAGTAATCCAACCTGAACGGTTTGATTCAGACTCTGGAGGGAAAAACTGCCGGTCATGCTCTGGGTCGGAGCAAACCACTTTGATAGGTCGCAGCAACAGGTACGCAGACTGAAGACCGCACTCGTCACCGTACGACCCGTCTTGCGCCGCACCAGTGTCATCCAGTATCAATATCGCCAAAGCGGGTCGATACTGCCAATCAAACATTGGTCTCATTTGGTTTCCTCCCCTGGTTTTTTCCAACATTTCCAAGTGTTTTTTTTCCAACAAGTGGTGATACGTAGTCCAGAAGTGTTTTTTTCCAACATTTCCAGTGCCGGTTTCTGGTCCATCCGAGGAACGTACGCGCAAGTTCTGTAAAAAACTCCCGTGCGAGGTCGGACTATGAAAGGGTATGGCTATTACCCTCTGGTAAACATACAATGTGAGGCCCCCAAGATAGCTAAGTTGGTTTATAACTCCAATAACTATGGTTTATGGTACTTATAACTATAGTTACTGGGGCATATAAACCAACTTATAACTATGGGGCACCACATTGTACAAAAAGCTATTGAAAATGGCCATTGAAATAGTGAGTTTTCCCATTAGCATGGTGGATCTGTCCATATGTTAGTCATTACCAGAGGGTAATTACTTTACCAGATGATCAACCAAATGCATCTTTGTCTTTTTCTACTCATTGACGTTGGCAACTGGGCTGCTTGATTCACCCATTTAGGCAGCAAATTATGGCAGTAAAAGCAATGTTGGCAACTTCTTGTGGCCATGTTCAGTCAATGATTACAGGTCGAGTGCCTTGTTCGGCTTAATAATTGAAGAGTGATTCCCATGTCATGGATGATGATCACCTCCAATCAGTGAGTAGATGTGTGTAGTACCCTCTGGTAATTTGTTACATCGCTATTGAAAATGGTGATTGTGGCGATTTATAGCTGATTTACCTATGAAATTGGGTGATTTCCCATAGCTATGTGAAAGTTTACCAAAGGGTAAAATCCTGGAAAAACTCATGGGCACAGCCCTAAACGTGGAGATAGTGGAGTCATGTGGAGTCGGAAAGGCCCCATATCGAGTCATATTTCAGCTGGAGAGCTGTGACCGCTTATGTAACTTTATAACTTTAGGCACCTCCAGGGATGCCGTTGCAGCGATGGCAGAAACGTAAATACATTTGGTTTAGGAAGAAATATGGCTATGCCTCAAAACCCTGGTGCCATAGGTACCAATAGTTGGTTAATGAATGTTTATTCCCCCAATATGGTAATAATAGGTTTTGACCCATCCCCATATCATTCCCCAACTAGTCATCAACCAACAGGTCTTTGAACAGTGCACAATAGTGCACAATTTTCTAAACATTGGATCTTTGGGTGCAAAAATCAACTCGTCCGACTCACAAATGTCGCTAACGTTCGGTATTTCTGGCAAGAATAATATAGTAATTTACGAACTTAAAATGAGATGATGTTGGGGCGCTGGCTGACCTTCCTTACCATCATTTCTGCTGACATATGCTGTTGTTAGTTGTTGCTATTTAGTCCGAACAGCTCAAAGTAACTCGAGCTGGCATCATTTCACAATGCATCCAGGTCATTCCTCAAAATGGTCCCATAATAACGTTCCACTGTGGCCAAATATATGCACTTGCGGAAAGTCATCATGTTGGATTCATTGAACTGTGTTAAACTCCCGTTTCTTGTCAAATCAAAAAATTGATCTAAGGTTTTTTCTCAGTTTCTAGATTGCTCATAAAATCAGTGTCCCAAAAACCATGGATTTTTGCTCCTGCCTTTTACGGTCGCTTCACAAAAACCCCCCCTTTGTCCAGGTCTTTTTCACCATCTCTCCGAGACGCCTTCGATCTCCAGAGGCTCGCAGGTCTCCATGATTTCTTGCAGCTTCTCCGAGAGCGGCTTCAGTTGCGCCATGGCTGGGGATTGATGGGGATGTACTGACGCATGAGGATTGATATATGACCTGAGGTTCCCCACAAAAAAACATGGTGAAATAATAGGCTTGATTTTTTTAATGAAATCATGACGCAACAAATTATCCAAGATTTCACTTGCAAATTGAAATAGGTCCAGTTCCAGGTGGAAAGCGGAAATCATTTCTACCTGTCTTGATGCAACGACATGCGGAAAAAATGGAGACGGTACCCAAGCACGGAAGACAAAACCTTCTGGATACCACAAGTCGCACGCACACGGTAAGCAGTGGATGCCGCATGATGAGTTTTCATTTGCAAAGCCATAGATCCTCCTGCTCATTGCTGAGATGTGTTGTCTCAACTGTTTTGAAGCCAGCATTCTTCTGGATAAATAACAACCAATACTGATGATAAAATATGATGAGTATACAGTATACAGTATATACAATAATTCACTGACTTGACATAAGGTCATTTGGGGAATATTTGGGAATAGTTGCCCCTTTTTTCGCATCCTTCCATGATTCCGGTGTCACAATGAGGTCGTTCTTATGCAACCTGTAGGGATCATGGCATTGTCTCGGCCAAATGGCTGCCAGGCAGCTGCTAAGACCACCACTAGCAGCGCCTAGGACGATATTCTCCGGGACACTGAGTAGGGTCTACGGTCATCACAACTGGGAAGTCAGCTAGTGTCAAAATATCTCCCTGGTGGTTGTAAACATCTTGAAAAATATGAGTTCGTCAAATGGGAAGGATGACATCCCATATATTCTGGAAAGTAAAATCATGTTTGAAACCACCAACCAGCTAAAAATCATCAACTTGGAAGTAGTTGGTGGTTTCAACCAACCCCTCTGAAAACTATGACTTCGTCACTTGGGAGTATGACATTCCCAATATGTGGAAAGTCATAAAAGCCATGTTCCAAACCACCAACTAGTGGAATCTCAAGAGACCTCATATGACCTAAGGTGGCCTTGATCTCAAGTTGGCATCCATGAGGTGCTATCAACATTCATCCACCTGCACTTTTTGGAAAAGCTTCCACTCCCCATTTTGCGCTGGAGGCTGGCTAACTCCATTTTTTTGGTTGCTGAATTCCCATTTTTGATTGCTGACATCTCCATTCTTCATCATTCTCGTTTCAATGCCATGTTCGATGATTTCACATGGATACCTCCAAGTTCTTGGCCAAAATCCCCAGTTTCAGTGGCTGAAACTGGCCCCCCCCCCACAAAATCCAACCTCTCGGTCACCGACGCAAAAACCCACCGCACCTAGGCCCATCAAACTGCTCTCAGGCTGCATGGGCACCAGGAAATCACCACTGGATGCAGCACCCGAGGCCTTGGGGCCGAGGATCGTCGAGGTTCATGGTGACAGATGGGGGAAAAAGCCAACCGGCCAACCGTTCACCATCAAAAATTGATAAACATGGAGGATATCCAATACAGAATTCCATGTTCCACGAAAAATTGCATATCATCATATCACATCTCATGACTGAAAACGATTGTATAGACTAGAGTAAAATCGTATATGCCGTATTAAAAGGCTATCATATGGGATATAATATGGGACTGTTATTCCTCATGTTCAGACACGCAGACATCATAATCCCCATTACCGAAAATCCCGGAAAATGAATTATAATCCCAAACACAAATTAAACGTCATAATTAACCATCAAGAACCCCACTAATATCCTAGTATAATCCCAAAAAATCAATGGAAAACCAACATTTTTCACATCCTTAAACCATCATTCAACCACCATCAACCCATATAAAACCATCCTTAAACCACCATTAAACCATCATATTTATGTATTAATATGTATTGCCCATCATATCTCATGATTTTCCCCATGATATATAATTATATATATGGGGATGGATCAAAACCTTGTACCCCTTCTGTTCACCTCAAAATAGCTGGGATTCATGGATGTGAAAAACACCCTAAAAATGGTACTTATAGGTATTGATCCATAACCATATATATATATATATGGATAAACATATATTAATGATATATTAATAATGGCCTATTGGTTTGAAAACTATATTTATTAATGGTACATATATATATATAACTATATACCATCTGGTTATTTAACATAGCCATGGAAAATCAACATTTTTAACAGGTAAACCATCTATAAATGGGCCATTTTCCACGGCTATGTTAAATAACACCGCTGGCCATGGCTGGCCGAGATGCTGAGGCGGCCTGTCCAGCTAACTGGGCCCGGAAGCTCTCAATGGCTGAAGCCTGGTCACCCAGGCCTAGTTCTTTGAAAAAAACATGGATGACACCATGGTATGTTTAATGATGTTTAATGATGTTTCATGATGTTTCATGATGTTTAATGATGTTTAATCATGTTTAATCATGTTTAATGATGTTTAATGATGTTTAATGATGTTTAATGATGTTTAATGATGTTTAATGATGTTTAATGATGTTTAATGATGTTGAATGATGTTTAATGATGTTTAATGATGTTTAATGATGATTAATGATGTTTAATGATGTTTAATGATGTTCAATGATGTTTAATGATGTTTAATGATGCTTATGATGATGACGTTTAATGACGTTTAATGACGTTTAATGACGTTTAATGACGTTTAATGACGTTTAATGACGTTTAATGACGTTTAATGACGTTTAATGACGTTTAATGACGTTTAATGACGTTTAATGACGTTTAATGACGTTTAATGACGTTTAATGACTTTTAATGACGTTTAATGACGTTTAATGACGTTTAATGACGTTTAATGACGTTTAATGACGTTTAATGACGTTTAATGACGTTTAATGACGTTTAATGACGTTTAATGACGTTTAATGACGTTTAATGACGTTTAATGACGCTTAATGACGTTTAATGACGTTTAATGACGTTTAATGACGTTTAATGACGTTTAATGATGTTTAATGATGTTTAATGATGTTTAATGATGTTTAATGATGTTATGGATGTTTAATGATGTTTAATGATGTTTAATGATGTTTAATGATGTTTAATGATGTTTAATGATGTTTAATGACGTTTAATGATGTTTAATGATGTTTAATGATGTTTAATGACGTTTAATGATGTTTAATGATGTTTAATGATGTTTAATGATGTTTAATGATGTTTAATGATGTTTAATGATGTTTAATGATGGTTAATGATGTTTAATGATGTTTAATGTTGTTTAATGATGGTTAATGATGTTTAATGATGTTTAATGATGTTTAATGATGTTCAATGATGTTTAATGATGTTTAATGATGTTTAATGATGTTTAATGATGTTTAATATAGCTTACCTACTGTGGATGGTTGCGACACCTGGGATGGGAGAAAGCCTACAATGGGATAAACCAGCCATTGTATAACTGGTGCAGGAATTCTTCCATCCAAATAATGAAGAATTTGAGGCTTGAAGTCGGTGAAACCATCAAAGAACATTCACAAGATTCGACCAACTAACAAGGGCAATATTATTGCAAAGTGACAGGGTTATAACAGGGTTGCTAAGCAAAATTGCTATCAATCATATCAATCGTCCATGGGAAAACATGTATCCTGGCTTTGGACAGAATCCCTTCCAATTTCTCGAATTTTGGGGGCTACAGTAAATAGATCCACTAGACCATCCGCAAACGTTTGCAGCCAGATTTATGTGGATCGATTCTTGGCCCTGCTTGTTGACCATGAAGCCTATCAGGAGAGATGTACACCACTTGGCAAAAAAAACAACCCCAAACCATGTCCGTGGGCCGTGGGCCCCGGTGGGCCCCCATTTCTCCCCTCCCTGAAAGGTTCGACACTGACGCGACATGTCGTGATCGAATTTCTCCAGATTCTTATCGATATTATCCCAGACTATGCTATTCTTCCAGTAAACATTATCCAGTGAGCTGCATATTAGCCAGAAATCCCAATTACTCATGCAGCTCCTGGTAAAACATGTGGATTTTCACTACAGTCACTGCTGGTTGATGATCATTATCCCCAGCAAAATCATGTAGTACCTTCGCACCTCCCAACTAATCATCATCCAACCGTCATTTAAATTTATCAGCGACATCCGCATTTATCTCCATATTTCGATGGTTAGAAGGCGCATTTATTGACTAGACAATCATCAAGTCATCAACTGACCATCAGTTCCCAAGATTTATCACCAACAAAATTACCCAAGGTTTCATAGCTACAAGGTGAGGCCCCATAGTTATAAGTTGGTTTATAAGCCCCAGTAACTATAGTTATAAGTTCCATACACCATAGTTATTGGAGTTATAAACCAACTTAGCTATCTTGGGGGCCTCACATTGTACCAACCCCTGATTCATGGTAAAATCCCATTAAAAACATATGGCCTGAAGGCACCACTGTGAAAACCACCCCCACCTGACTGGTGGGATTCAAACGATCTTCCTCTAAACGCCGTAGCACGTGGGCCAATAGCTCCTGTTTTTCTCGTTGACCACCAAATAGGGGGATTTTTTACCTAGGGAAAATGGTGATTTAACTCGGGAAAATTTGTTCTATCTATATATATATATATATATTTATAATTATATGGATATGGGGATATATTGGGGACATTGGAGTATCATGATGGTGAAGTTGCTAAAGAATGGGGCTTTGACTGTTTAGACAAAAATAAAGCCACTTTGGAAGAGTTACCCCCCACTAACCATCAGTATAAATTCATGTTTGTTATTCAGATAGACACTGGTGATTACAGCCATCAATAATGAAATGATATGACATGTATATATATATATGGGATAATAACCCACAAGAAAACGGGAGCATTGATGGATGTATTCTTTGGGACTTCACCAAGCCACTTTTGAAAGTCGAACTGAGGGTTTCACCACCATCCATGTGGAAATCATCCAGGATGTTACCATTAAATAGCTATTGAAAATGGCCATAGAAATAGTGGATTTACCCATTAAAATTGGTGATTTTCCATAGTTTTTTGTATGTTTACCAGAGGGTAATGGTTGAGTAGATGGTTGATTGCTACGAAACATGCTGATCTTCTCCGGTTGATGGTTTCAACCTACCACTCTGAAAAATGATGGACTTGGTCAGTTGGGATGATGACATTCCCAATATATGGGAAACATAAAAAATGTTCCAAACCACCAACCAGTTATGTTGATTGTTTAAGAAATGGAAGTAGTTGTAAGGGGGTAACCCACAGCATTGGTTGGAACATGATCCTTCCAAATAGAAATGAGGGGTTCTGAAGCCAGGTTTGATGGTCAAAGGGGAATGCGTAGCCATACAACTTAAAACATGAGTTTTTCCCACCTGATATTGTTCTAACCAAAACAGAGATGCTGCTAGAACAATGCTGGGACATGTTCGCAGTTTTAGCATCCGACTAGAGATGACAGCAGCAACAACGATTGAGAGTCAAGGCAAAGAATCCTTTGATGCACGTCTACAGCATATTAAAACTGTCTTTCTTTCAAAGCAAACAAACAGGTTTCTTCCGATGTTTCCTATAAATTATAAGATCTTATAACTAATTGATGGTTTCAACCCCCCTGAAAAATATGAAAGTCAGATTGGATCATCATCCCAACTATTGGGGAACATAAACTTCATGTTCCAAATCACCAACCAGATAAGATCTTTAATTTAAGCAATCTTCAACCAGGCTGAAGATCTTTTTCTCCGCGAATTGGCGACTTCTCCGCACAGGAGAGCGCAACGCAACAGCTGTCAAATTTGTGGGCAAAACAATGCCATAAACCATCCCCCAGTCATCACCATAAATACCCTCTGGTAAACTAACATAACTATTAAAAATGGCCCAGTCGAAATAGTTGATTTTCCCAGCTATAAAATGGTGATGTTCCATATTTGTGACAGTTTACCAGAGGGTAGGTGGTATGAACCATTCCCAGTCATAGGTGGTTTATGGCATTGTTTTACCCACATGACAACGGAATGTGAAACTTAAAACTCACCTTGCGAGATTTCAAAAGGATCCCCCTTGCACTTTCTGGCCACGGTTGTCAGCACTCCACCACACGGATGAAACCGCTGTCCAGCCCCACGCCGTGCCTAAGTCAGGATGGAGCTGGAAAAAAATGTGTATGTATATATATATATATATGTGGATATATATGTACAGTATGTTACTATGAATATAATTTTATATATTATATAGGAATTTCAAATTCATCCTGAATAGTGTTGATATTTCACCCAAAAATACCGGATCATAGAGACTCATCCTCATTTACTCGTTAGATGCATCCTAAATCAGTCAGGGGATCATTTAACACTAGGGGAAATCTAATTAATACATATCAATACTAAGATCTCCTGATATTATGAGGGGATGTATATAATATGAAAGACAACCCCATTCTATTGTCCCAAATATATAGTCTCATGCCCCAGTAAACCATGGTTTCTGTTTCTTTTCTTTAATAAGAACGGGTGAAAGGTTTAATGCCGTACTGCAAACTCGAATTTCTGGTACCTTCTGGTATTCTGGTAGTCTGGCGCCTTGTTTGCTTGCGAATTCTCCATGTACTTCAATGATTTTTCATTTCAAGCCCATTTACAGAGGATGTTCAATCCCTGCGGCCCTGCGGAATCTGCCGGTTGCCACAAGCAAGGCGAAGCAACCCAGGCTTTGGGTCAAAGCCGTGCAGGTCTTTGGGCCAATTGTGTCCCTAGATGTTACAAGAAACCCCAGGAATTTCTGCCAAAGATTTCTTCGAAAGTGATTGCATGTTTGCTATAAAGCAACTCATCATAAATCATTCATGTCAATCCCCAAGCCTGGCACGTATGTTAGTTTTTTTAGTGACTAATAGTATATACATTAGTATATACTATATTAATAGTGACATATAATAGTATATAATTAGTATACTAATATGATAATTAGTCACTAATATTTAGCATTTAAATGTCTAATATTAGTAGATAAATATGAGTGTACATTATCATACTAACCATGGGGAATTTAGACTAATATTAATACTAACTAGTACCCTCTGGTAAACTAACATAACTATAGAAAATCACCATTTTTAATGGGAAAATCCACTATAAATGGTCATTTTCAATAGCTACGTTAAATTACCAGAGGGTATGCTAGTTTGTCAATTCCCCATGGTTTCTTGGTGTTAAACATTTTCCCCAAAATCCCGAGCGCCGAGCAGCCCATCTTTCACACGTTCTCGCGGTTTCAGGCGCTCCTTTCGTTCCTCCGGCGCGGTGAACCGGGGTGCCATGGTGAAGTGGAACCATGGGATGAATGGGGGATGGTCATCCATACATTTAGGGAAATCTGGAAAATATATATCTATATATGAATATATCTATATATTGATATACATATATATATATATATATATCTATATATTGATATATATATATTGATACATGAGTATTATAATATATATATATATATATACATACTGTATATACATAAATCCCCTATGAAACTGGCAACTTAAGGCAACTTACCCAAGTCTTGATCATGGCATCCATGATTATACCACCATCATCCTACCGTACGTTGCACAAATCTCAGCCAGTTGCATAGCACCAGGGATCCCCAGGTCCCAGGTCGTCCTGAGGGCTCTCAGGTTGGTAGAAGGCCGCAAACTGCCGCCCGCCAGTGCTTTCACTCAAAGCCTCAGGTCATGGCCGATTTTTTTCCAGATTTCGATTGGAGTACCCTCTGGTAAACATACAACGAACTATGGAAAATCACCATTTTATAGCTGGGAAAATCCACTATTTCTATGGCCATTTTCAATAGCTATTTTGACATAACCAAAGGGTATGAAGTCAAACTTGGAGAACTTTGCGAATTTTCATGGGCCTTCTTTCAGCTTCCCCTTGCAGCTAATCTTTTGTTCACTCACGCGACTTGAAGACAGGTATCTATCTCGCCTTTGGCGCTCAAATTTCCACTTTATTCCTGAAGGAACTCCGAAAATCCCCATTATCTCCCCATATCTCCCACTTTAACCTATAGTTACTGCAAGTTCCTAGTAACTTAGTATGTCCCTATAGTTGAAATGGGCAAGAATTTACTTTTTTTTTCTACATATGTTTTGCATATCTTTACTGACTGCAAGTTCCTGGTTCAATGGGGGTAAAGTATGGTAAAGTTCCATATCTTGACCATACCCTACAGCTCCAAACACTAGTAATTTATTAGTATGGTAAAATATGGTAAAGTCCCATAACCTATAGTTACTGCAAATTCCTAGTAACTTATTAGTATGTCCTTATAGTATGTCCTTAGTAAAGTAACATTTATAGTGGATTTTCCCATCAAACATGGTGATTTTCCATAGCTATGTCCTTAGTTTCTTATGTGAGAACCAGCGCGCTATCTAGTAGGGCACCAACTGGGAGGGCAACCAATAAAAACAATTTAAAACAAATAAAAAAAAATCCTTGGAGAGCCCGAAAAAAAAATATTTTTTTATTTATTTGTTTTATGTTTTTTTTTCTTATTTTTTTTTATGTTTTTTCATTTTTTTTATTTTTTTCTTATTTTTTTTTCAGTTTTTCTTATTTTTTTTATTTTTTCTGATTTTTTTTATATATTTTTTCTTATGTTTTTATTATTTTTCTTATTTGTTTTTATTTTTATTTATGTGTTTTTAGTTGTTTTTATGTGTAATTATTTTTTCTTATTTTTTCCTATTTTTTCCCAGCCCAAATAGTCACCTACCAAATAGTGACCTCATCCTCAGAATTGATAGTTACTTCCAATTTCCGCCAAAAAAAACCGAGGCACAGAGAGTGCTTTGGGATAGCCTTGGGGCCATCCCAGGTACACGCTGTGAATGACGATGCCCAACTGCTGAGCCCAGGCGCGCTCCTGAAGTGCCAGGGACTGGATTTCATGGGATTTACTGAGTTTTTTCACCATCAAAAATGGGGATTTCATGGGATTTCATGGAAGTAAATAGGAATTTCTAATGGGAAATAAATGGGATTTCACTGTATGGTTTAACCATCAATGGGGATTCTATGCCATTTTACGAATGATTGTCGGGGATTTTACGATCAACAAAAATGGTTAAACATTATGTTACATTGTTACATTGTCCAGCACGCCATGTTTGAGTACCGGAGGATATAAGATTGGGACAAGCCACGAAGCCATGATCAACCAACACGGGGGGTTCAAACACTGCTCAGGTCTGTTGGATTCCCGAAAAAAAACATGTTCAAACAGCGTCCACTTCTATCTGTAGATGTACTGTAGATTTTTTCCAGGGTGCCAATTCCCAGAAAGTGTGAACTTACTATCACTCACCACATGTTTTCGCGTTTTTTAAGGGTTTGCAACTGGGTGTCTTTAATTGAGCTAATTTTGTTGCTAGGTACATGGAACATGGTTTCATTGATCGTGATGAGGCAAAAGAAACATCAACTGCTTTCTGTTGTGAAACTGCCCAACTGATCCCAACGGGGGCACCGAAATCCTCAAAGCCACACATCAGCAACTCAACGTGTGGAGTTCAAGATTGATAACACATGAATCCTACAGGGAACATGACCGGGTGACTCCGGTTGATATCTTTGACAGCTTGCATTACATGGTCAAACTATGTGGAACTGCTCCGCATAGACTTCAGAGTTGATCCTAGGCAAACCCCCATTTTCTGATTATAGATTATATGTGACTATAGTAATTATACATAGTTGAATTTTATAACCTTCATGAACATTTACTTCTGATTACCTAGTATAAATCATTCCATTTGCATAAATCCTTCATTTACCTAGTATTTCATTACTAGTATACATGCTTTGCAAATGAATTACCTTTATAATTACTAGTCTAAATGGTGATTTTGAGAAATTTTACTGGCCAAATCCAGCATTTTACTAGGTATCAATGGTGAATTACCTTTATCATGTAGCATTTTACGAGTATAAATCTACCATTTTACTGGCCAAATCCACCGGTCTGACCCGTTTTTTCCCCAGCGGATCCAGCGGATTCGGCGGCCTGGTGAGCCGTTGGATCCCCATGAGTAGGAACGCCATCTGTGATCAACAGCACCTGGCGAAAAGAGAAGCGAGCGAAGTGGGGATCAACCATGTTCCAAAAAGTGAGATCAACTATCCAGATTATATATATACATATACATATACAGTATATATATATATATATATTGTGTACATATATATATATACATATGTATATATATATATAGATATAGATATGTATATATATATATATTATAATTGTAATTAAATACACAATATATTTTGTATATATATATATAAATAACAATGTATATATCCAACTATCAAGGTGAGATCACGTATCTTGATTCCCCCAAGATCACCAAGTGAGATCAACTCTATCCATGTACATATTTCATCAAGTGTCCGCATACCCTCTGGTAATCAAACAGTTTGCTATTGAACATGGTGATTTAGTTCGTGGATTTACCCAGCTTTCTGAAATGGTGGATCTGCCCATAGTTTTTTGTATGTTTACCAGGTCGGGTATCTAGTCTAAGCCAGATCTGTGGGACATCCCCAGATCTGAGGGCCCAACATGAGCTTGTCCTCTCAAAGATCGATCGGTACCTTTCCTCAGGCCCGAGAAATTGGAAACTGCTGTGGAGAGTCCACCCTGGAGGTTCTGGGTAGCATGCTATTCATCTATGTATGTATATAAATATGTATAGATATATATATATATATAATCATACATACAGTTATATATACAATATTATACAATTATATATATATGAGATAGATAATTTTAAAATAATGTGTGTATATATATATGCTGTATATATATATATATTATTTGTAAATGTAAACCTACACATTGTATAAAGGTGTGATTAAAATCTAGTGATCAATACAAACCACCAGGCAGTAGTTACCTTTCAGTGTACAATCAAAAGACATAGTGCTGGTTGGTGTTTGGGAGCCCTTTAAACAATACGGGTCAATTGGGGATCCCTATCCTATGGCTATGGGAAAGAAGCATATTGGACACCATCGCTGCCCCTTCAATTTGTAAACTTGACTCATCAACTTCCATCACCACCAATCTCTTTTCTTCTCCAGGCATGCCAGTCAGTTGGGAAAATCTGGCTGAATTAGAACAAGGTGGGTACTACGGTACCACAATATTTGTCCATTGGGATCATAAAACCATAGAGTTGTCATTAATGTGGTAAACCCAACAATCAACCATCCCCCATATTCCCATAAATGGGGGGTATAAACCTCCCCAAATGGTAGTTTATTATTAAGTTTCCTACCAAGGATTCACCATCACCCGGAGTAACATTGTGATCCTGCGAATTGTCAGTTTTAAGAGGATTTCACATGGTCTTCCAAGCCGCAACTCCAGTCTATGTCTATGTAAGTTGGGAGGATAGTCCCATCCCATCCACATAGGTTGAACACGGTTGAACGTAATCACATAGGTCGCTGAGTGACACCCAAAATGGAGCAGCAACTGTTGGCTTCTTTGCATCCCCTAATAGGGGGCTGAAACACCAAGAATGCGACCTTTAAGGGGTTCCAAATGTTTTTCCTTTCACCTTTCGTTATGAAACACCCTTGAAATGCGACATAAACATACATGACATACAACCATGTCCATGTCCAAGAAAATCATCTTAAACTCCATTCAGAAGGCTTGCGTTCCAAACATTTCCAACCGTTTTGTCTCACACTTCTACATGATCCCCAAAAAAATAGAGTTTTCCCATTTATTCATCTCAAACTTCTACATGGATTGTCGTGGTTACCCCCAAACTTAGCTCCCAAAAACCAAACCGCTGAGGTGCAATGAAAAGGCCTGGAACTCCTCCAACACCTCCTGAGCCACACCAGTTGGAGCATCAAATTGGACCCGCAAAATTCGAAGTCGAACAAATTTGAAAAATGAGTCACAAACTGGAACTCAAAAAATGTTTTCTTAAACAAATAGAAATGGAAAAAGTGATTTACCGTGATTTGCCTATTAAACAGTAACGCCCTTCTGCCATCTGGAAATCAAATAATGCAAAGAACAATTCGAACTGTTGATAGGTTTTATATGAGTGAATTTCGAACGTGAAAATTGCTTTTGTGTCCACTGTTACTCATCGCAGGGGTCCTGACAAAATTAGCTATCAAGCCATACAGGAAGAGGCCCCCGAGTTATGTTTGTTGGTTTATAACCACACCGAACTAACTATATCTATATACTGTATATATATATATGTATACATATATATATATATGTATATATATATACATATATATATATACATATATATATACATATATATATATTTGTATACATATATATATATACCTTCATCTCAGAAGGCACTCCTTTCCGTGACCCTAGCCAAAATCTGAATGATGTACGCCCCTGTTCAAGAAACACGCCCCCTTCATAAAAGTACGCCCTTCCATGTTTTTCTGGTTTTTGGGGATACTTGATAATTTCCCTAATTTTCTATTTGGGGCATCCATGGACCCATCAATTGTCACCGCCTGCTCCTCGGCCGCCGAGGGCCAGTCTTCATGGCTCTCCCCAAAGTTGTGTAGGGTTGGTGTGAATGTAATAGGCCCAATACAGCATATCATAAACCATATATGTGATAGAAAGGATGGGTTATGACTAAAAAAATGAAACCAATCCCAAAATTGGAGCCATATCCTATCCATTTCTTTTCTTTGGTATGCTCTCTGCTCCACCATTTTTTATCACTGCAAACCCCGGTTGTCCATGTCTGAGGCCTCCAATGCCTCTTTGCAACAAATTAAGCTGCGCTCAATGCAGCGCAAATGAATTTGACGAATGTCAACGCGGCGACTTATTCGGCAAGGTTTGCCGATGAAATCCTCCTGAAGCTGAACGCTTTCACCCATGGGGTTAATACACCATGGTGAGCGTTCTGCTTCCCATCGCAGCCTCCAGCTGGCATGGGATATGAAATGCACCTTTGGAACCATGGCAAAGCGAGAAAGCCCAGCATCCAAGCAAAGCTTGGCGTTCAGCCCATAGGACTTCTGGAAAGTTTGAATCCATCGTGCAAGCTGCAGGCCTTGAGCACTCGGAATCCAAAAGCCAAACCGGTACATGTAAGTGACTGCGATGTTCATTGCCCTCGTGCCAGCTGCCTTGGCTGGAGCGGAAGGGTCAATAAACAAATGCCTGTGGTTAATAATGGGCTACACTGAAGGTGGAACTGTCAGCTTGAAGGACCAAAAAGGAAAAAACATACTGAACAAATTCCAGGCTGCAATCGTCAAAAGAACCCTGTCAGCGGTTTTGCCAACAACTCTTTGCCTGCAAAAGTTGTCCAGGAAACGCATAAGCTGCGTAGCAACCAGTCCTTTAGACCATCGCCCAACAGGGCAGGTTCGATTGGTGGGAAAGGACATCGTTTCCCGGCTGATTTCAGCCATGTGAGGCTTCATCTTTCTTTGCTTGCAGAACTGGAGGAACTCCGCCGTCAAGAGCTGAAAGGCTCCATCAACAGATCCGGTCTCAAATTTGTTCAGCCTCTCGATCAAGCACACAAAGCTTGATGCTAGCCAATGTTTCGCCACGCCAAGGTGCCAATTGTGCCAAAAGTCTACCTTGAAGAAGCTGGTCTTTTGGCCATGATCCAGTGGAAGACCTGACAGCACTGGCGGGATGTTGTCCCAAGGGGGCGTGGCATTCACTGTAGAGGCCCAGGAAGGTTGGTCTGACACATCCTCAAATGGAAAAAGCGAACCACCCCCTGCAACTTCAACACCTGCTTGGCATAAATGGCAAATTCCAGTGCACGGTTTCTTTGACCGTGGTTGGCGTGGAACATGGCTATGAGTTCGCTTGAAATTGCCCAACTTTGCAAGTGCTGGAAGGTCCCCCTTCGTGGCCACGTGCAGAAAGAAAACACGGGTTCCATCTTCGCCAACAATTCCTTCATGGATCAGCTTGGCCATATCCTGGGCGTAGAGGTCCATGAGCATGTCCAGCGCACCTGGGTTCTCATCCAAGACAGCGCGGAGGACGGCCACTGACATGAACTGCGTTCCCCAGGTAGAGCCTATGAAGTTTAGGCCAAGACCACGCCTTTTCAAAGGCACCTTGTGCTTCTTCCTCTCCACATAGGCACGGGTTCCTCTACCAATGCAGCCATGAGTCGACAGCACAAACAAGGGTTCATGTTTGTAGCTACGCCCCTCATCTGTATGTGAGAACAGCGGCACTGTCATGCTCAAGTCCACGCCCTCCATGCTGAACAACTCATGCCGTGGGTAAAGGCCACGGAACCTGGCCCAAAATTCCAGGAGGATGGGCTTCATTGATTCCAGTGTTGCCGCCCCGCACAATTGACGTGGGAGGCGACCACTATCCAGCAAATACTTGGCCCATGAACTGAATTTCAGCCAAGGGAGCCGTAATCGAGGGGCATCGGCGTCGGCATCTCCAAGATATGCATGTTCCATCTTGATGGGTGCAGAAAAGCCATACTTTCGAAAGATCCTGTGGCACCCTTCTTCTGCATGCTTTGCAGAAACTTCAGCAAATTCCCGAATGCCACGGCTGGGTCTGCGAGTTGCCGGGGCCTCGGCCATCCGTCCAAATCAAGAAGAAATACACCCGGTTTCAAGTTGGGAAAAAGCTTACTTAAAAATGGTGGAGCAGGAGAGGAGCGTATAGGACCTACATCCAAATATAATATTTGGTGTATTTTTTCAATAAAGGACTCATCCACAAATCCATCAAGTTCCCCCAGGTATTTTATCATTTGAAGAGTTCAAACATAATTTACACAGTTTTAGACCAACCTGTATTGTATTGATGGTTCCTTCTGATCTTTATTTGGGTGATGGGGTAAACGAACATTAAGTAACATTTACCATCTCACACCAACCCTGCTGACTACCGATGCCTTGGTTGAATGGCAAAAACTGCCATGCAGCAAGATAGGTGGGCCACCAAAGGCGGGAAATCAAATCACCTAAATCTCAAAGATTGGGATCTGACCTCTTCTAGGCAACACCAAAATTTTGAACATAGTATAGTTGCAAAAACCAAACATACGGAAACCAACTATATAACAAACACTAACCTAGCTGCTGGTTGTTTCCGGGGCATTTTCCCGGGCCATGGGCGCCCATGACCCATGTGGACAGGAGATTGGCGGGGGACACGTTGTTGATTTTTTTGATGCAAAAAACTTGAACATATCTCAGCAAATGTTTGCTAACAAATTTTGATAACGATGGTGGTCAAATTGTTTTTTGGGGGGTTCAATAGCCCAAAAAACATAGTCAAACAGTAGGTTCCTCAATTTGGGGCGTCCAACCATCATGTTTGAAGGCTTTAGGTGTCGCTGAAATCCCCGCAAAACAATTATGTTGTCAGACCCTTTTTGGAGATGATGGTGCCATTCTTTGCCAACAATCCCTTGCACCAGCAGCATTGTGCTAGGACCCCTGCTCCACGCGAGATCAGCTTTGCACAGTGCCGCAGGACTGGGCAAACATCTGGTTCAACTGCACCTGGCCATATGCAGTGGGAGTAATGGCAAGGGTTGTGAATAATATACTAATATACGCACACGTTTGGCAATAGCCACCATGCTGGTAATCGAACATGTTTTCCCCCTGGCAGATTCCAAGAAAGTCTCGGTTCAAGATTTGTTCAAGATTGTTTGCACCCTTGATGCAAAACTCACAGCTTCTTCTAAGCTGCAGAAATTCCTACCAGCGTGTGCAGTCAACACGCTGCACACGCTAAATTTGGTTCCTACATTCATGCTCAGCCAGAGCCATTTCGAAGAGATTTCAACAAGTTCCTCAGTGCCGGGCTGCTATAGGGAGAAATGGTAATAAATGTTGTGGAATCAAAATATATGTATCAACTGCGGTAGTAAGACTGGCCCCAAAGTAATAATGTGGAAACATATTCAACCAAATGATTCGAATGAACATGATATAATTTGTGTATTGAATCTGGGTAACATGAACATTTTATTAGCCAGCAAGAGTCTTGGCCGTGGTCTCAGTAGCCGTCACCTTGCTGCACCTGAGAAGTTGGCAAAAGGGTTTATACTCCAAATCTACATACCCATACATAAGTGTCATTAGTGTTGTGTTTTTTTGCGATCAAGAAACGTCACAGTTGTGTCCTTCATTTGCTTGTCAATCTTTTTCACCAGCCTTACGATGCGAATGGGAATATGTAACAAATAAGAATTTGGGAATAACTGCCATTGATATCGGGCCTTAGTCCCCCACAAATCCTTTTGATTTGCATCAAGACGTTTGTCGGTCAGCCCGGTCACTTCCACCTTGACAGAGTCACACGCCTCGTACTGACTCGTGAGGATATCAACTGCATCCTCAAGCCCTTTGATGGACCTCAGGCAGAAACACAAATGATGGGGTGAGGTCTGAGGGGTTTGGACAGCATGTTTTTGATGATGCATTTTCAGAATGACCAACTAAAAATCCATCAGCGTAGTTAACAACAATTAACTCAGCTGATGGCTTCTCAGCCCGTTTGCGATCCGCACTCGCTGTGTCTTTTGACTCAACTTCGGATTCCAACTGACTCATGAGTTCAGTCAGCTTTCCAGACTTCGACAGTAGAGAATCTGCAAACTTCTTGAATGCACGGAACTCCTGACAACATGAGAGATAAATTGTGGTTAGATGTTATGTTTATGTTTCAGCTTCGCATCAACATAAACCCAAAACTCAAAACTCCCTATCCCTAAATCTCCTCTTCAGGCTTGTTTGCCTGGGTTGCATTCTCGTCGGAGTCGGAATCTGATCCAACCCCGTCACCAGGAAGCTCGAGAACACGCCTGGTGGATCCAAGCTTCTTCAAGGTTAAAGGCCCATCCTGCACAGCATGGGCGGTGGAGTGTGGTATGACCCCAACGGATTTTTCAAAAAATATGTTTGGAAATTTGATGTTTACTGAGTGTAAGGGAAATTGTTGCAAAAACCTCATCAAAAATGATTACCAAAATCACTATATCTAGATTCCTTGAATTTCATTGATTTTGTTGGGAGGCTTGCAGTCCAGAAACCACCAATGATTGTGGTATCTCATGATATCTCATGGCAATATTCCAGGGATTCAACTAGCATTGGTATTAATGGGACCCCACCTTAGAGTCCATATGATCTGTTCGAATTTCACGTTCAATGTCATCTTCACAACTGGAATCGCCATCTTCATACTCAACGTAGTACTTGAACAGCTTCTTGTTGTACTTGTCTTTCCTCAGATAGCATTGGTAAGACATGGAAGGTATACAACATGGTGATCCAATCAATGTCCATGGTATGTTTTTTTTTGTTTCAGGCTGTGGCAAGTTACCTTTTCAACTTCTCGTTTCCCTTCCTTTCACAGTACTTGACCACACCAGCAATATAGGACCTCAGCTTTTACTTATTCAGATCTGACATGCTGTAGTCTTGTGATAAAAATGATGTGTAGTGAAGCTCAATATATACTATACAAGCTCGGGGCTTGCTCCACTTCAAGATCTTTTCCATGCCCTCTTTGGTATACCACCCACGGCGTTTCTTGGACGAAGTCTTGGAGATCTTCTCATGGACCCGGGTCACAGTCTGGATGAAAGCATCCTCCCGAAGCAACCCACAATCCCCGAAAATTAAATTTTACCCTTGGGATGACATATCACATATTATATGACCTCATCTGCTATAATTAGCATGGTAAGTACTTGGTCCTTGTCATAGTTAGAAGCTTCCAAGGCTTCTAACAACTCATCACGGTCACGTCCCTTCTTTTCCCACTTCAACCCGATCTCTTCTGGGACATTCCTCTTTCCTGAGGGCTTTTTCTCACACAACCTTCTCAGACGGTTGCGCTTTGCAGCTTCACTTAGATCCTCATTGCCATCACTGGCACCATCCGAACCATCATCCCTGTCACCAGTCTCCGGTTCAGGCTCCTGCCTGGGGCGCGCCTTCTGCTTGGAGGCTGGCGTTGGGGCACGGCGAGTCGCTGGCGGGGTGGTACTACTGGAGCCCGGGGTCTGGGACGCTTTGAGACTTTCAAGCTCGGCAAGCATTTTGGCATTGGCCTGCCAGGGAATAAAAAACACTATCAATTAATATACCCTCAAATGTTTTCAGCAGTTTTCTTTGCGTTGTCGCTATGGCTATGAACCCTAAACATGACACTCAGATTCCCACCTCCTTCAAAAGTCGAATTTGTTCCCCAGAATCCGGGTCTTTGGTCTTCGAGCGGTATCGCTTTGGTACAACAACTGTAGCTTCCGGGGTATCTTCAGGTGGGTCCTGGTCAACCACCTTCTTGCACCTCTTACCATCTTTCATGGGGGTATCAGTCAAGGGCCCATCGGTTTTTTGGAAACCTTTGGCTTGGGGACAGCTTTGCAAGCAGTCTTCTTCTTTGGCTTCACAGTCGTTGGGGCTGCGGCAGCTGCTGCTGCTAGTTCTTCTTCACTAGCCTTGTTTCCATGGGAGAAAAAAAATGTTTTGACATTTGTTTTGTGGGGATGGAGATAGTGTTGAACTGTCCATTTTATTAATATTTGGGACCCTATAACTTTTACCCAAAAGTTGTAATATATGGTCACATGTGACAAAGGGATTGGGGTCTTATCTTCAATTATTTATTCTAAAATATGTACAGTAGACCTTCAGACCCACTGGTGATTTGCACCCTGTTGCAAGGCGAGCAGCGGGAATGGTATCCTGCGTTATCGACGCCTCAGATGCGAGTGGAAGGCTGGGCCAAGAAATGGGCAAAACCTGCAGGCATTATTGGTTCTAGAAACATCTTCAAACGTCAATAACTACATTGGTTGAGCAAAGACATGAAAGTTATTCTAATTCTAACTCAAGGTTTGCATCCTTAAGGTCTACACTCAGAAGGCCCATGATTTGAAGATGTTGGAAGTAAGACCCCAGTCCCTATCAGCAGTTCATTGGTGCAAAAAAGGCACAGGCGAGTCATGCGCTTTGCGTAGTTCTTGGATTTCCCTTTCATACTCCTCCCCAGGTTTAGGATGGAAACCAAGAAAATGCTTGAGTGTAAACAACATGTCACCACTATCACCTACAAATTACCCAATGGTTCTTATTCTCCTGAACTTTGCGTAGAAGATCCTGTTCCTTCTCAGCTTCCTTCTTTACCTTCAACATTCCCTTGTTACCCTTCTCAAGCTCAGAGCAGCTCCACTGTTTGGATGGCATGGGCCTAGTCTTGCCATTTTTGTCACGCCCCATGCTATCAGCAAGCCGGGTGGCACCGAATTTCCCCCACGGCACCGAACTGGAGGCCAAATGCCTTCAAAGAGAATATGTCAAGGACCTGCTTGCTGGAGTAGAGGTTGTCAGCAAAGAAAAGTTGCAATGTTGCTGACAAAGAATAGATTCCCCATCAATAATTTAACTAAAATCATCAAAAATCAGGATATTCAAAAAACGGTGGAATTACGTATTTTGTACGTACTTTAGTACGGAAAAGTACGCCCCTTGTTCGCAAAAGTATGCCCCTTGTACGGGTACGTTTTAGGGTATCGGGTGAAATACGTAATTTGTACGTACTTTGCACGTACTTTGCACGTATTTTGGGGTACGGGTGAAATAACCATGTGTTGGTAATAAAAACCATTCAGGGAAGAGTTCATAATGGAATCCAATCATGATTATGAACATGAAATATAATGGCAATAGTGGCTGCATGCAGAACCACTGACCAGAAGCCCCCCAGCATGCCAGTTGCTACCTGAGTGAAACTTCCAATGCTTTGACGGGCGAACCAAACTTTTTCACCACGGTTCAGCGTAGCAAACGGTTTCAGATTTGAATTAGGATTTTTTCTGAATTAGAAAAGGTCCATGTGAATTTCTTTGAATTTGTCAATCCAGTCTAACAACACTGGTTATCATCTCAAAATCACAGCCTCGTGGGAAATAATTCTCTCCATTCACCAAGCTGGAGATGCTTATTGCCACGGATCCACTGAAGGATTTCCACAGCCCCAGCATCTTCCCAAAGATCACCCCATTCAAGGATGTGGAAAATAGTGTGGGCAGACATTTCTAAAATACTATCACAAGGCTCTGGTATCACCCTGTTTCTGCAGAAAGCATCATGTAGACGGACGAGTCGAAATCCAAATCGAGGAGGGTAGGTCCTTAGCTGAGCCGTTGATGGCATTCGAGGCTGTCATCATGTTTACTGTAGTGATTGAGTGTATGCTGACGTGACTTGAGCAATTTCAGACATAATGCGTGCAAATGATAGAACTGAGACAAAGACTGGGTGCTACGTAGGAATTTCGACCCAACAAACCTCTTCCTACCTCGAGATTCATAGGTTGTAGCTGACCTTTTCCCGGATTTTGCCAACATCTTCATGACACTTCGGCATAGGGTTCCGAGATCCAGTTTTCCAACCGTAGGAGAATTTGACCATGCAATGTGCCGTTTGGGAAACTTGCTCATGTAATGGGCCATCCACCAACATGCTGTCCACACCTTGAAGGGATCAGCGTTTATATTTTTGTTCTTTGGGACCCTCTCATAGCAACATGAAACATTTATTACAAATGAAAGTACAAAAATTAGCCCCTGACCCTTGTTCATTGGTGATTCCTACAAACCACCTCACCTTTTCCTGCATCCGGGAAAACGCCCGAAATCTTGGCATCCATCCAAACATCGAGCTCCTGCTCTGCTCCAGGACCCAACATCCTCCCATAGCGCAGATGGCGTGCAGCAGGAGAACACACCTGGGCAGTGGCAAGGGTTGGAATAAGGCATGGAATTGTGCCAGGGACCCAAAAGAGGATCACAAATTTGGAAGGTCCTTTGTAGAAGTAAATTCTGTTAGGGAGGGTTAGGGCTTCAGAACCACAGGTTGGGTTATCTTCTTGACATGTATAAGCAATTCGAAACTACCTGGGAATTGCCAAATTTCAACCCCGGGGGGGTTGAAATTTGGCAAGTTTGGCAGATTCAGCATGGTTAGACTAGACCCGTTTTTATTTATTTGATAAATTGGTTTGGGTTCGAGGTAAGCCTTCATCAAATCAACATCAAATCAATAACCTAAGAGAAATACGCCAGGGCACCGGTTAGCCAATAAATTTCCAATTTTCACTGAAGGGCAAGAAGTGTCACCTTCTGGAGACCATGGGTATCTCTTGTTGGTTCCCTTGTTTATAGTGACAAAGCTTCCGCAAACCATAGCAACAAGGTAGAGGCATTCATCCATTTTGCCGTTGAGTACCGTCGCCAGTGCTAGCCTAAGATTCAGGAACTTGGCCAGTCACCTTTTTGATATGATGATGTGGTTCAACGACAAACACAACATAAACAATTTAACATGTTATTTGGGATGCACTACTTGCAGAGCAAGCAACAAAAATCCCGACTCTGTAAGCAAATCCATTTCGTTTTGATTGCTACTCTTCCGTTCTGGGTCAGACAAGCACAGGTCCATTTGTGCAGTGGGATGGCCAGCACACCGCATGCACCTAGAGCACCACCCTGCTCCACAGAACATCTCCACGAACGTGTAGGCCTGGCAAATAGCTTCACAGATGACATATCATTGATACATTGGGCCCTAAGCAATTTTTTCTGGATAGAAAAGCTTGAGCTCCTTGATCAATAGCCACTACCAATCGTTGCAACAAGATAAAACAGTATATATTGATGATTCTCTTGTGGCCAGGTGATTAGGTTGGTATTGTCAGACCATTCAAACCTACAATCACTCTGATTAGATCCAAGAATAACGCCACAACCATAAACAAATCACCCCTTTCAAGCCTCGGTGAACACTGGGATGTTCTCGGATTGGTGCAGGAGGATGACCAGGGCCATCAGTATCTGTGCCGGAAGGACGGCTGGGGGAACCTGGGAAAAGTAAAAATAGATGTGGTAGCAGGCCAGGCAAACACCATATCATTCTTGTCATGTGGTTGCTGAACAATTTTGACAAAATGGAGGGGGTTGAAATGTTCATGAACATATGATTGAAAAGGTCAAACATATTTCAGTATATGCAACCCCTTCAATAACTGTATTGAAATAATTTGAAGGTTCAATTTGATAATCCTTATGCTCCAAGCTTGAACCCCCCATGGGTTTTCTTTGTGAAGTTTTTGCACCTTGGGAGAACCATTGGCGTAAAGCCTCCGCAGTACGATGTCCAGCTTTGATGACGCCATCGCTTTGCCAAGCAGGGGCTACAAATCTTTGGGCCCTGGGGCCAAAAATTGCCACCCATGGTTGGTTTCAGAAAATCTGTCCATCAATCCCTTCAACACCACGAGACCCCAAATCACCCCAAATCATCCGCATAATTATCCCAAATATTCCCAAATCATATCAATTACACCCATACAAGTCCCTTCCAGGAGATTGGATGAAGCTGCAACATGTCGGAGCCACGATCATTTTGCAGGAGACGGAGGCGCCAAACCTCCCCATGGGACCTGGGCCGGGCCAGGCTGAACAACTGAGATGCCCAAAAGGTGGGAGAGTTGGAATCTATTTAGGGTATATAGAGGAAGTACTTCAAATCTTTTCAGGAGTATTTCATTTTTTGGATACACATTGCGGGCCTTGTTTGAAAGTGTTTTTTCCCTATTTCTTGGGTACTTAAAGGGTTTTAAAAGTACTCTAAATTTAAGGGTACTTTTGGGGTACAAAAAAGGCACTTTCAAAAAAGGCCCACAAGATCGACGAACCAGCAACCTAATTGAATGGGGAATTCAGACATCACATATTTTTATACCGATAAATGATGATTGTCCCCAATTTAGCAAACCAATCCTCACTAGTCCCCATTGCATTCTGTGGTAAAACTATCTCATAACATTTTGAAAGTTGGCCAACATCCCGACCCCCAAGTCTTGTTTTGTCCGCCATGTCCTTAGATGGAGGCAGGTTCACAATTGACTGCTGCTAAGATCTAGGGGCACCGTTGGTACTTTGTACTTTGCTGTTCATCCCAATAAATCATTGTCAGAGTGGAATGACTTGAATCAGGGTAAGATCAAACACTAGCTCCATTCAATACCAACTGGAAGGTCGATATGAGAGAACAGCGCAAGCCAACGCTAAGCCCCAGAGTTGAAGCCAATTTCCCGCCAATCTAGATGGCAACTCGACTACCCCCAGCTGAAATACCGAACTGACCATCCATCGGGTCATCAGTAGTAAACCCCAAGTTTCTATATTTTGATCTCAAGGATCTTTGACCACGCCCACACACTCAGAAACAGTCTGAGACTTGAGGTGTGAAAAACATATTAACACTGGAAACTTGACATGTTTGTTTGTGTGTGGGAAAAGTGTCTTCGCAAATTGTGCATCCCTGACGCGAGGATACTCTACAATGTCATCTACTGGTCTCCCAGCACTTCTGGATCTGCCAGGTACTCAGTAGCACAGATCCGGGCCTTAACTGGATAGTTTTCAACGCTGATGGCCTTTTCCTTCCAGGACTTGGCGCAATAGTCCCAGAAAGCTGCCTGCGGGCAAGAATAGATTCGTATTTGGTGATAGTGGGGAAGTTTATATAAACAATTTTAAACTGTTGGGAGGTTTGATGAAAAATCATCTATGCTTATTTATTTATCATCCATGACTTTAAATAAAGGAGACAATGTACTTGTAGGTAAACATACCTGAACCCAACCGGCTCCTCATGGTAAGAAGGTAAGCCCACGTGAGGGCGGATCAACTCATTGAAGGCGCCCTTGATAGCATCCCATTTTGCAATAGCACCAGGCACGGACTTGGGACGGACCCTTCGAGCAAAGCTTTTGGCCGCCTTTCTCTCACCATCAGCAACATGTTCGGGACCCCCTTCAGGCACAGGATTTCCCCCTTTGGGTTCAGCCTTCTCCTTCTTCGATCCCTTGCTCACCCGTGTTCTCTTTTCTGATGGAGGGTTGGCCATAGTTGAGGAACATGAGGATGAGCTAGCTCTTCGAGGCTTGGTCTTGGAGACTGAAGGCTTGACCGATTTTTTCTCATCAGCTTTCTTTGCCAATGGCGGGTCGGCTTCCATGGGTGCTTCTGGCTGTGGAGGATCCGGAAGAGGTTGCTGCTCTGCCAACGGTGGGTCTGCTTCCATGGCTGCAACTGGTGCAACTTCATGCTCAGGCGACTTTTTCTTGCCACCCTTTGATGCTGCTCGTTTCGCTCTCTTGGCTGTGGGTTCTCCTTCGCCTTTGCTCTCAGGTTCTGGGTCAGCCAAAGGAGTTTCGGATGCCTTTCCTTTGGATTTGGCACTGGCTTTTGCTTTCCCTTTTCCTTTTCCTTTTCCCTTGGCCCTGGCCTTGGCTTTTGCTTTTGCTTTGCCAGCAGGCTTGCCATCCCCCTTCCCCGTCTCATTGTTGGCACCCTCTTCATCTTCAATGCCACGCTTCAATGCAAGCTGATCACGACGTAGGACGACCTGTGTCGGCAATAAATGGTCAGGTACGGTGGGGACATGATGGAGGAACCTAGTTCTATGATACCTATCATAGGTCCTGTGGGAGATACATAGTAGACAAGAATAAGGAAACAAAACCAGAATAACTGGGTGAAAATTGTAAGTGTAGCCAAAGAACGTTATTTTCAGCAATTTCATCACTCTCACCCACATGAGGAACTTCTTCATTGAACTCATCCATGAAATCACCTAGCATGTCAGGCATTGGGAGGGTGTCCATCTCGGCTTCTCCATAGGGCAGGCTGTCATCAGGTATGGCGATAGCATTGAAGTGATTTCCTCTTCGTAGTTCGCGGCTTCCCTGTCTTGCAATCCTGGGCTGTCCAGAAAGGGTGTTTGGGGATGTTTGGGAAAATAAAAGAACGAATTATGTTGCCCCTTCAAAAGAATAAGGAAACTACTTCAACACCTGCTTAGAGTCAAGGCTGACCGTTCCTTCTTAAGGTTGGCGACCAGAGCTACTAATTTTTTGATCTCTTCCTCCTTGTTTTTGCATTTCTTTGGTGGTGATCTGGGTACCCACTCATAAGGAATTGCTTTGTCCTCAGGTCGGTACTTGTCATACTCACACTCGGATTCAGAGGGTTGTGTAGCTGGAGGTTCCAACTCATCATCAGAAACTGGCTGTGAGTCTGGTGGGTTGACGCTTGAAGACGGTTCATCAATGGTAGGTTCCATGGAGTCAATTGGAACCCCTGGCTCTTCAGGAAGAGGCTGTGAATCAGGTTCTTCAGGGATAAAGTCCAATGTAGGGTCCATTGAATCCCGATCATGATCATCTTCATCATCACTTATGGACACCATGCGGCCATCACTGCCCCCCAAATCGAATGATCCACCTGTGGGGACAACAGAGGCTGACCCACTCCCACCATCCGAGCCATCTGGACGGTTATCATCTGAGGCCTGGCCAGATGATCCCTCAATCTCGGTGTCGCTGCAAGGGGAGTCGAAGTCCTAGATGGGGCGATGGTTGGTCAGATGGGCAGGTTTTGGATAAACCATTATAAACCCAGTGGAATACTTTTAAGGGACCTTAAACCATGAAAATATTATAGCTCTTGTAAACGATCCTTATGATGACGGTGTACCCAACTTTCTAAACAAATTGGGCGTAAGAAGTCACACAATCTCCTGGTCAGGGAAGACAGCAGCTAGGAGTTGCCTAAATGCGAAGAGCCGTGGGTATTGGCCGCGCTGAAGCTTGCGCTTCACCAAAACACACATCTTCTTCGCAATCCAGCAATCCAACTTGATCTGCCGTTTGGAGGGCTGAGTTTTCAGTAGCTCATGCAAACCGCGAATCCTGATCAATGGTTTTTGAAGGCCCTACGGAAATTGATGGAAATTGTAAACATTGAGGGCTGAAACATATAAGGTATAAATCAACAATATCTAAAGCAATCTAAAACCTATTTGATACATATAAGGTATAAATCAATATCTTTAAAGCAATCTAAAACCTATTTGATAAGTAGAAATCACAATGACTAGCGTGTGCCTAGGTTCTCAGCTTCAAGGTCTGGAATGCAAACCATATTGACATTCCCCTGTGGATCAGCTAAGCGTTGCATCAGCGGGATCAAAGTAGGAACATTCAAAGCTGCCCCAGCAACGTTGGGACTCACAGGCTGGCCATCGGATTTGGTTTTGAAGATAGAACCCGTATTCAGCACAAGTTGCCGAACATCTTGGGTGGACTCCCAAACAATCCCAAGTCCGGCAATGTCAGCTACACCAGGTTTTGGCGACATCAAACCCCGGTTCAAGTAGACAGGGCACTGCTAGGTATATCAGGGGCACAAGGCGGAACACAAATGGCTGAAGCAAATATTGCAACCTCAAATTTTGTGTTTATCACACCTTCTACATTGAGGGATGATGTCAGTTGATATAGCCTTACAACTTCCAGACATGTCAATCAAGATATTACCTTGTGGAGTTTATATTATCTGATCATCACCCTCTCGCTCCCAGATAAGCCGCAGCACTCTGAGGCCCCTGGCATTCTGGATACCACATCGGCACCCAGGGTTGGAAAAAGAGACCTGCGCCTGTTGCGCCTTCTGGTCAGAGATGGCCACAGGATGTGTCAGGGTGAAACAGGTGATGATTGATTATCTGATAGATCTTAAAATAGATGATAATATATGATATATTGTTGTGGGTTAATCCAGCAAAACAGGTTATACCAAAAGTACGGCCCTATCAGAAAGTACGGCCCTCTCACCAAAAGGGCAGTGCATATATACAAGAACCAGGTTCTTTTGAAAGACATTCAAATACAAAGGTCGTTGGAGACCAAGGTAAATATATATATATACCCTCTAGTAGTTTAACATTGTGGAAAACCCCTCCATTCAAGCACATAGTTTCCCAGGAAAACCCCATGGATTTCCATATTTCTATGTTAGTTTACTATATACATATATTCTATATTCTATATCTATGTTAGTTTACTATAGATATCCCATGAATTTCCATAGCTGTTTGTATGTTTACTATTGATATATGGTGGTTTCCTGAAATAGGCGTGGTTTATAATGGAGCATTCTCTGGTTGGTGGTATACCTACCCCTCTGAAAAATATGAGTTCGTCAGTTGCGATGATGACATTCCCAACTGAATGGAAAGTCATTAGACATCCATGGTTCCAGTCACCACCAAGCAGTTCTCCTATGGTTGATCCCTCTGGTTAGTAAACGAATTAACAGTTTGCGAACTGGAATATGGCCATTTAATTATAATGGATCTATCTATCAAAAGTGGTGATTTTAACCAACAAAAAAAACATGTTCCAGTCACCACCAACCAGTTCTCCTAAAATGGATGATGACTGGGGGTACCCATATTTTAGGAAATCTCCGCCAAGCACAACCCCCCAACCCAGCCTGTAGCGGCTTGGAATAGTTGGTCCATCCATTGCACTGGAGCCGCATGGCCAAGCTGCACAGGGCCTCGTAGTCCGTGCCTGGAGAGGTTGACACCAAAAAGCTTGGTTAGCTGTGGGGTTTCAGGGGAATATAACATGATGATACATGATGTAGCTAGAAGAAACAATTCTTTAGAAAAAAAGTCATCCTGTCTGAGATAGCTAAGTGTTGTATATCATTATAACCCTGATAAACCCATGATGTAGCTATGAAAACGATGCTTTATAAGTGTTGGAGATAGCTAAGCTGGTTTATAACCATAATCATGCCATAATCAGTAGGGTTTATGAGAAATATATGGAAACATAACGAACTAGTCAAAGGAAGTTTAGTGGGAGAAACTTCCGTGTTACGGACTTTTAAAATGTAAAGAAAGAGTTAGTCAAAGAAACAGTTTGTCAAAGAAAGAGTTAGTCAAAGAAAGAGTTAGTCAAAGAAAGAGTTAGTCAAAGAAAGAGTTAGTCAAAGAAACAGTTAGTCAGGGAAAGAGTTAGTCAAAGAAAGAGTTAGTCAAAGAAACAGTTAGTCAAAGAAAGAGTTAGTCAAAGAAACAGTTAGTCAGGGAAAGAGTTAGTCAAAGAAAGAGTTAGTCAAAGAAAGAGTTAGTCAAAGAGTTAGTCAAAGAAAGAGTTAGTCAGGAAGAAGAGTGAGTAACGAAACAGTGAGTCAGGGAGAAAGGAAAAGAGTTAGTTCAAAGAAAGAGGTAGTGTGTAGTCAAAGAAAGAGTTTAGTCAAAGGAAAGGCGGTTAGGTCAACGAAAGAGTTAGTCAAAGAAACAGTTAGTTCAAAGAAAAGGTTAGTCCGGGAAGAGTTAGTCAAAGGAAAACAGAGTTAGTCAAAGAAAGAGTTAGTGAGGGAAAGAGTTAGTCAAAGAAAGAGTTAGCAAAGGAACAGTTAGTCAGGGAAAGAGTTAGTCAAAGAAAGAGTTAGTGAGGGAAAGAGTTAGTCAAAGAAAGAGTTAGCAAAGAAAAAGAGTTAGTCAAAGAAAGAGTTAGCAAAGAAAGAGTTAGTCAAAGAAAGAGTTAGCAAAGAAAAAGAGTTAGTCAAAGAAAGAGTTAGTGAGGGAAAGAGTTAGTCAAAGAAAGAGTTAGCAAAGAAAGAGTTCGTCAGGGAAAGAGTTAGTCAAAGAAAGAGTTAGTCAAAGAAATAGTTAGTGAGGGAAAGAGTTAGTCAAAGAAAGAGTTAGTGAGGGAAAGAGTTAGTCAAAGAAAGAGTTAGTGAGGGAAAGAGTTAGTCAAAGAAAGAGTTAGTGAGGGAAAGAGTTAGTCAGGGAAAGAGTTAGTCAAGAAACAGTTAGTCAGGGAAAGAGTTAAAGAGTTAGTGAGGGAAAGAGTTAGTCACAGAAAGAGTTAGCAAAGAAAGAGTTCGTCAGGGAAAGAGTTAGTCAAAGAAAGAGTTAGTCAAAGAAAGAGTTAGTGAGGGAAAGAGTTAGTCAAAGAAAGAGTTAGCAAAGAAACAGTTAGTCAGGGAAAGAGGTAGTCAAAGAAAGAGTTCGTCAAAGAAAGAGTTCGTCAAAGAAAAGAAAGAGTTAGTCAAAGAAACAGTTAGTCAGGGAAAAAGGTAGTCAAAGAAAGAGTTAGTCAGGATATATGAGGTAGTCAAAGAAAGAGTTAGTCAGGATATATGAGGTAGTCAAGGAAAGAGTTAGTCAAAGAAAGAGTTCGTCAGGGAAAGGGTTAGTCACAGAAAGAGTTAGTTAGGGCATTGATTGTTCCCGCAATGCAAATGGGATTGCAAGTGGTGCTGGTGGATGAGTTGCCGATGGAGTTGTGAAGGAAGTCTCGCACGAAATGCGTTTTTGAGAGATAGCAGATGCACGAAACCCTATGTTTTTTCATACAAAGTCCGTCCCCGAACCTCGATGATCTACCTCTGCGGTGCGACGGGTGCGAGACGGTCTCGTGTGTGGTCGGATCATGCTCGGATCATGGTCGGATCATGGGCGGATCATTCTCGGATCGGTTCCGCATTGAAATGGGGTTTTCAAAACTGTTTTCGTGCATGTGTGGTCGACAGAATCCATTTGTGATTTGCAACTGTAGGATCGTTCCCCGCAATGTAAAGGGATTGCAAGTGTGCGGTGGATGAGTGTTGCGATGAATTCCATTGTGATTTGCAACTCTAGGAATCGTTCCCTCACCTGTAAATGGGATTGCAAGTGGTGCAAGTGGAGGAGTTGCCGATGGAGTTTTGGAGGAAGTCTCGCACGAAATGCGTTTTTGAGAGATAGCAGATGCACGAAACCCTATGTTTTTCCATACAAAGTCCGTCCCCGAACCTCGATGATCTACCTCTGCGGTGCGACGGGTGCGAGACGGTCTCGTGTGTGGTCGGATCATGTTCGGATCATGTTCGGATCGGTCTCGGATCATGCTCGGATCGGTTCCGCATTGTAAATGGGGTTTCAACTGTTTTTCGTGCATGTGTGATCGACAGAATTCCATTGTGATTTGCAACTGTAGGATCGTTCCCGCAATGTAAATGGGATTGCAAGTGGTGCTGGTGGATGAGTTGCAGATGGAATTCCATTGTGATTTGCAACTGTAGGATCGTTCCCGCAATGCAAATGGCATTGCAAGTGGTGCTGCCGGATGAGTTGCCGATGGAGTTTTGAAGGAAGTCTCGCACGAAATGCGTTTTTGAGAGATAGCAGATGCACGAAAGCCTATGTTTTTCCATACAAAGTGTGTCCACGAACTTCGATGATTTACCTCTGCGGTGCGACGGGTGCGAGACGGTCTCGTGTGTGGTCGGATCATCCTCGGATCATCCTCGGATCATGGTCGGATCGGTCTCGGATCGGTTCCGCATTGTAAATGGGGTTTCAACTGTGTTTCGTCTATGTGCGGTCGACAGAATTCCATTGTGAATTGCAACTGTAGGATCGTTCCCGCAATGTAAATGGGATTGCAAGTGGCGCTGGTGGATGAGTTGCCAATGGAATTCCATTTTGATTTGCAACTGTAGTATCCTTCCCGCAATGTAAATGGGATTGCAAGGTTGCTTCCTGCTTTGGCTGCATACGTAATACTATTGTCTTTTGCAGCTGGACTTCGTAAATCGTATTGGAGTGGCTGCATGAAGGCTGCCACAGTGATTTGTCAGCAGATTTTCTCCATTTTGGCGCTAGTGATTTTCCTTCTAAAAATCCCTTTAAAAAGTGTTTCAAAATCGTCTTTTTTTCGCTCTGGCGTCGAGATCCGGTTTTGGAGCTACAATTTCCGACGCCGTTGCGCGTAGTTCTATTGTGTTTTGCAACTCAGTCTCTGCAGATCGCATTGTAATGGCTGCGTCAAGGTTGCTTCCTGCTTTGGCTGCATACGTAATACTATTGTCTTTTGCAGCTGGACTTCGTAAATCGTATTGGAGTGGCTGCATGAAGGCTGCCACAGTGATTTGTTGGCAGATTTTCTCCATTTTGGCGCTAGTGAATTTCCTTCTAAAAATTCTTTTAAAAAGTGCTTCAAAATCGTCTTTTTTTTCGCTCTGGCGTCGAGATCCGGTTTTGGAGCTACAATTTCCGACGCCGTTGCGCGTAGTTCTATTGTGTTTTGCAACTCTGACTCTGCAGATCGCATTGTAATGGCTGTGTCAAGGTTGCTTCGTGCTGTGGCTGCATGCGTAATGTCTTTCGCAGCTGGATCTCGTAAATCGTCTTGGACTGGCTGCATGAAGGCTGCGAAATGGATTTGTTAGCAGATTTTCTCCATTTTGGCGCTAGTGTTTTTTTGTTGCACGTAGGTTTAGAGCAGTGTGAAGTGTGGGGCGTGAAGAGTGCAGTGTGAAGTGTGCAGTGTGAAGGAAGCAGTGGGAAGTGGGAAGTGTGAAGTGTGGAGTGTGAAGTTTAAGTTTGGAGTGCGAAGAGCGCAGTGTGAAGTGTGAAGTGTGAGGTTTGGAGTGTGAAGGAAGCAGTGAGAAGTGTGAAGTGTGGACTGTGAAGTGTGAAGTGTGAAGTGTGAGTGAAGTGTGGAGTGTGAAGTGCGAAGTGAGAAGTGTGAAGTGTGAAGTTTGGAGTGTGAAGTTTGGAGTAGGAAGGAAGCAGTGAGAAGTGAGAAGTGTGAAGTGTGGACTGTGAAGTGTGGAGTGTGAAGTGCGAAGTGAGAAGTGTGAAGTTTGGAGTGTGAAGGAAGCAGTGAGAAGTGAGAAGTGTGAAGTGAGAAGTGTGAAGTGTGGACTGTGAAGTGTGGAGTGCGAAGAGCGCAGCGTGAAGGGTGAAGTGTGAAGTGTGAGGTTTGGAGTGTGAAGGAAGCAGTGAGAAGTGTGAAGTGTGGACTGTGAAGTGTGAAGTGTGAGTGAAGTGTGAGTGAAGTGTGGAGTGTGAAGTGCGAAGTGAGAAGTGTGAAGTGTGAAGTTTGGAGTGTGAAGTTTGGAGTGGGAAGGAAGCAGTGAGAAGTGAGAAGTGTGAAGTGTGGACTGTGAAGTGTGGAGTGTGAAGTGCGAAGTGAGAAGTGTGAATTTTGGAGTGTGAAGGAAGCAGTGAGAAGTGAGAAGTGTGAAGTGAGAAGTGTGAAGTGTGGACTGGGAAGTGTGGAGTGCGAAGAGCGCAGCGTGAAGTGTGAAGTGTGAAGTGTGAGGTTTGGAGTGTGAAGGAAGCAGTGAGAAGTGTGAAGTGTGGACTGTGAAGTGTGAAGTGTGAGTGAAGTATGGAGTGCGAAGTGCGAAGTGAGAAGTGTGAAGTGTGAGTTTTGGAGTGTGAAGTTTGGAGTGGGAAGGAAGCAGTGAGAAGTGAGAAGTGTGAAGTGTGGAGTGTGAAGTGTGGAGTGTGAAGTGCGAAGTGAGAAGTGTGAAGTTAGGAGTGTGAAGGAAGCAGTGAGAAGTGAGAAGTGAGAAGTGTGAAGTGCGAAGTGAGAAGTGTGAAGTGTGAAGTTTGGAGTGTGAAGGAAGCAGTGAGAAGTGAGAAGTGTGAAATGTGGAGTGTGAAGTGTGAAATGCGAAGTGAGAAGTGTGGACTGTGAAGTGTGAAGTGTGGACTGTGAAGTACGAAGTGTGAAGTGTGGACTGTGAAGTGTGAAGTGTGGACTGTGAAGTGTGAAGTGTGAAGTGTGGACCGTGAAGTGTGAAGTGTGCAGTGTGAAGTCTGAAGTGTGAAGTGTGAAGTGTGAGGTTTGGAGTGTGAAGGAAGCAGTGAGAAGTGAGAAGTGTGGAGTGTGAAGTGTGGAGTGTGAAGTTTGAAGTTTGGAGTGCGAAGAGTGCAGTGTGCAGTGTGAGGTGTGGAGTGTCGAGGGAAGGACACGGTCGGGACAGGGTGTCTTTGAACTATAGGTCATTTATGTTTGGGAAACTTCCGCCGCCGGCTTGCCCGGGTCTATGTTATTCATGGGTTTATAAACCACAAACATAGCTCCGGGGCTTCACCTTGTACAATTTGCGGTTCATCCTACGAATGGCAGGCACCTGTTTTTTGAAGCCCAGCCGAAGTGGACCAATTCCCTGTGACCTAAAACCCCTCGACGGATAAGTCACATGGCAACAAAAGATTCGATGGGATGGAACGGAAACATCAAGAAATAAAGCTGGCAATTTGAAGCAACAAGATCAATGGTCTATGGAGGTACCTACCATATATAAGGCCTATTTTTTAAGCCTATGTAAGGGAATATCCCCACAAAATATGGCCAAAAATATGGTACTAACGTACCTCCATTTTAGGATCCTGAAATTCCCATTGAAGAGCGGGGTATTCCAAAAATAAACCAGATCCAGTTCACAGCTATGCTGAGGGACTGAAGAAGGATCCATCTGCACCACGGAATTTCTTCGAGTGATGATTGAACCTGGCTTCATCGGAGCGTTGCTGGCTAAAGAAATGTCACTTGCTGCAGTCACGTACCGAATGTAGTAAAAAGCCTCCATTGGCGGCCAGTAGCACAATGATCTATGGCTTTATAATTTTATAACTTTATGTTATTTCTCCGTCTCTAGTTTGCTTGTTCAGAGTGTCCGTAAGCAGGTTTTTGGCCCATTAGTGCGGTCTGTTACAGACAGTACGTAGTTAGCATCCTGGTTGGGGAATAATTGTCCATCCCCACTTTGTTGATGGATTAATAACCCACTATGTGTATGATATAGTGATTCAGGTTGATGTCGGTACACGCACCGTACTTAAGTCACATCAGGTGGGAAAAGTCACATCATCCCCATGTCACAGCGGCGATACAGACAAGTCACATCAGGTAGTGGAAAGTCACATCAGGGAAGAAGAATCACAATGGCACAGCCTGTTTCATCTAATTGGAGATTTAGTTGGAAGTAGCCGAAGCATTGCGCACGGTGACGATTTTGAAGGGCACAAGTCAATACAAACAAATTCTTGGCAGCAAATCCTATTGGCATGCAGCAGCAGCAGCAGCAGCAGCAGCAGCAGCAGCAGGCAACCGAGCAGCAGGCAAGCAAGCAGCAGCCAGCAAGCAGCAGCAAGGAAGCAGCAGCAAGGAAGCAGCAGCAAGGAAGCAGCAGCAAGCAGTCAGCAGCAAGCAAGCAGCAGCCAGCAAGCAGCCAGCAAGCAGCAAGCAAGCAGCAAGTAATTAGCAAGCAAGCAGCAGCAAGCAGCAGCAACCAGTGTATGCCCCTTGTATGAATGATGAATTATACGTACAAGTACTAAAAGTTGCTGCAATACAAACATTGAAACACACATTGAACTTTTTCCAAGCGCACAGGTCCAAAGCAATGAAATTATTCAATTTACTAAAAGTTGTGGTGACGCCAAACTTGAACTTTTTGCAGGCGCACGACCTCCGATACGACTTTAACGAGCTGATACGACTTAACCCTAGCGCTTGTAGCTATAAGCCAATCCATTGAGGAAATCTATCAATCTGTGAGAATTAATCTTTGGGTTTCTGCGGTTGCTTTAAACCACATACCCTGTGGTAAACTAACATAACTAGTAACTATGAAAAATCACCATTCTTAATGGGTAAAGCCACTATGTCTATGGCCATTTTCAATAGCTTTTTGTATGTTTACCAGGCCGGGTATTTGAGTAAGCCGTGAAAAATATGCCCATCCTACCCAAGATATTGGTTGGACTATCATGATCGACCAATTGTGGTCACATCATGTCATATCTTTGAGAATAGAATCCTCTTAATACCCTCTGGTAAACTAACATATATAGCTATTGACAATGGCCATTTATAGTTGATTTACCCATTAAAAATGGTAATTTTCAATAGCTGTGTTAAATTACCAGAGGGCACCCTTTATGATGGATGCTTACATACTATCATTAAACCATGCGTATAACTTCCAACATGCACCTCGCAAAAAGATGCTGAACAGTTTATCCAAAACAAACTGATTACTTATAGATGATGCTTTCCCTATGATTTCCACATGTCCTGAAAACTGTTTGATCATTGCTAGAAAGGCAATGATTGCCCACATCTACCACTCCATGACGGATCCATGGTGCTGCTATATTAATGGTAACATATGGTGCTCCATGGATCCCATCAACAAAAACCCCAGTCATGGTGCTGCATTTTTCTACCAGCACCGTTAGGATCCGTCATGGGCACCATGTACCAGTGCCCATAGTAAGCGGTTAATAGCCCTGAGTCTCGGAGAGTCCCATTGGTGAAGCCCCCAGTGACCACACCATGGACGGGCCGCTAGCCGACATGGTAAAGGTTGCCACAGAACGATGGAACGATCCACCAAGATCCCCCGAAAAATGGGAAAATCCACGAAATTTCGACTGGGCCATTTTCCAGTTCGTAAATGCTGTAAGTTCGTTGACCAGAGGGTATGGCCCATGAAATCCATGACAATCCCATAAAACTACCATGAAATCCAAGAAAATCCATGAAATCACCAGTAAACCACCTGGGATCCGTAAGGAAAGTCCAAGGAACTCGATGTAGCCGAAGGACATGTCGCGCTCGCGACAAGCCTCCAGTAGGCCCAAGGTCACACGAGATCCCCAGGTGGCGTTCACGCCAGCCATGCCTCAGACGAGGTCTCCCGTGGTCAACGGCAACGGGGGCTGGTGGTTGCCCATTCTTTTCTCGTTGGTTTATATATGTTTATATGTTGCTATAGGTATATATATATATACACACTAGTATATATACATGATCATACATGATCATCCATGGGGATATGGATAAATGATCATTCAAACTAGAAGATAAACTTTGAAGTATTGGATGATATGTTTGCCTGTTGTTCGTCTTCCCATCCGAAACGAGCTGCTCATGGAGACGTCTCGCAACAAGGCCACCAGTCCTATGGCGGAGAACGCGGAGAACTGGGCGGTGGAGTTGCCATTCCACTGGCCGTTGAGAACATGAGGAATATGAAGTGGAATGGCAACTAGTTTATATGATAAAGTTATCATATGTGGAATGGAATGGCAACATTAATCTAACATTTATGATAAGACACTTAAGATCATGGATCGACTTTGAAAATGAGCATATACCGTGGTTCAATGGATGAGAACATGTTGAACATCTTAACCGGAAACCATGTTTTTTTTTAACAATAAAAATGTAGAGTTATCCTGTAAAATGTCCCTTCAACCGATCCAATGAAACACTTAAGATAATGAATCTACTACGGTCTACTATCAATGAAGATTGGATGAATACACAGTTGATAAGTACAAGACAACGTTATTCATGAATGTGTTCTCCATCGACAATAAATCCACATACCTGTACATATTATATATATATACACATATGCGTGTATTGACACTAGCATTAATGATTGATGGCCGGAGTGGAACTATAACCCACCATACCGGCATGGCTCACACCCCAGGTACCCTTGTTGACTTATCCAGGTTCAACTCTTTTCACCGGTTAAATCTTAATGCTGAAATGCCATGATTCAATCTCTGCAAATCATTTTCATTGGGAAACCACACGTTGCAAACCATTTCTCGCAACCTACCAAAAAACAGAAAGTCAAAGTAAGTTGTCGCTAATTCCATCGTAGGAATTGACTTTTCTGTCTCTTTTGGAGGTTGCTATGTGGCATTTTCCTAAAATGGGGGTATCCCCATTTAATCGGATTTTAAATCATTAAACCATCCAGCTGGATGGTACCCCCATGTTTATGTAGAAACCATTCCCAGGAAAATTGGGTGGTAAACATGACATTGTATGAAAAACCACATAAAAATCACTAAAAATCATCAATTTTCATAGGATTTTCCATGATAAACCATCCAGCTATTGGGGATTCATGTATGGCCAAACCCGGCCACCCACCGCCGCGTGGCACCTCCCTTGCAGCGCTTCAATCGCTGGCGGCAGCGGGGCCACACTGCGGGCGAGGGGTTCAAGGACCTGAGCCCATGTCGGTACCCTAAGTCATAGCCGGTGAATGCTGATTCAGTAATTCCATGTAATTCCCCCAGTCATATGGGAAGTTCATAGGTTTTGACATGTTTTGAGCCATTCCCATATATCGACCATAAACCATGGTGAATTTAACGGTTAAATATGGGAGACCGCCTAAGGATGTTGGCCAAGGTATGGGAGTGCATATATCCAGGTGTTGATATATGCACAAGTTGTGTTTTGTGATTGATTGATATTTCACGTGTTATGATATAATATATATATAGAATTACGAATTGATACATACATATATATATATATATATACATGATATATATATATATATATATATATAATTGATACCAGTATATACCATATATATCCCAGTGGATCGAATGTCTGAAATTATTCCTTACATTCAACGATGTCAGAAATATTTGCTACATTGCCCTGCGTATAGCCTGAGAAACGACATTCATTTATGACTTTTGTCTGGTGCCCATTTATGGGTTCCCCCCCTCTCACAACTCACCAATCCCAATTCCAACTCTTCATTTTTCACACTTTTCGGCTTCCGCCTGTAAGCACCAAGGCGAATCATCCATCTGCCCAGGACTCTCAACTCCAGCATCCTTCGATGTACACGTCGACAGAGCCCTTTTATAAAGCCTATGCAATCCTTATCCACAAAGCAATGGTACTTACGGCAATTGTACCGCTCCCATCGCATGAACCAGGCCAGCTCCTGGAACGCCTGAGATGTTTTAAGACTCAAAGAAGGTCATTATTCCAGAGAAGACCCTTCAAAAAATCACCCCTTCAGGTAGCTGAAAAGAAGAAAGATGCCACTAGTTCAAAGCAAATCCAGGGCACATGGTGCTTCGGCTTGAACGGCCATCGAAGGGAACCCATACGTTGATGATTCTGTGCCAGAACAGTGTAGGCTAGATGTTGATTTGCTGTAATTTGGATAGCCACAACAAAAATGAATAGAGTCAGAACACAGGATCATTTTCATCCAGCCCCCCTGGAACATCTTCATTAAACCCTGTTAAAGCCACATATATATATATATACAAAAACACGTACAGAAACACTTTACCAGGTCACTTCATACTGCAAGCCCAAATTTCATCCGCTTGCTGCTGACTCAGATAGAGCATTCATAGCCTAAGAAGGCATGGTGCAGAAGGCTGACAACTTCAAACACGACAATCGAAGCAATTTGCTAGTGTTTTCTGACAGAAACAGTGGTCTACAACTTCCTGAAAGAGCTGTGGCAATGGCCATGCAAATATCTACTGGCTGCTTCAGCCTAGAAACACCCAGCAGAGCATCCTCTTCAAGGGAATCAGCTGGCCATGAAGCCATCAGCGGTAGATTGGGATCAACTAAGCCCAGCTTGCACCCCCTTCCTACGGCCAAATGCCTCGATTTCAAGCATAAGGATATCAATTCACGCTAATTCACGCTAATTCACGCTAATTCACGCCAAACCCCAAAGTCATAAATGAATGTCTGTTCTGAGAGCTGACATTGGGCCCAATGTATGGTCTCATATATGACATTATAAATGGTTTTCACGCTAATTCACGCTATGAGATCCCCAGAAATCCCCATATAACCACTGTTTCTGTCAGAAAACACTAGCAAATTGCTTCGATTGTCGTGTTTGAAGTTGTCAGCCTTCTGCACCATGCCTTCTTAGGCTATGAATGCTGCTATGTCTGGTGCTGCCCGGCGCAATCATCAGCCATCCCAGTCGTTCACAGTCACCCTATGATAATATTAATATATATATATATACATAACATATAATATATATATATACATAACATAATATATATATATATATAATAATACAATAATATAATGCATATCTGCTGGCATGGGCTTGGGGGGGTGATGGCACCTTCTGAAGCTTCAACGGAAACACCACAAAAGGTGTCAAAGCGACATGTTGCAGCTGCTCGCTGCATTCAGAGATGGAAAAACTGCAGGTTTTTTGGTCATGATGGATCATTGATTGGATACAACAGGTTTATCGATGGATCTCATGAACATATCATGTTGATCATGACAGTTGAAAGATCTGAGCATGATGATATGAGTTCAATTCTAGTAATATCACGTGAATAAATTACGAATCTCACATAAAATTCCATTTATGACTTTTTTGGGGTAGTCATTAATGAACGTCTGCTCTGAGAGCTGACATGCTGAATGTAGCGCCTCAGGTGCGACATTGGCCATGTAGTGAATAATGTGCTACAGGGATCCCCAGGGTATATATACATTAAAATCAACCCACGTTTTTTGGATTCTTAAACCACTCCGATAACTGCCCTAGCGAGATACTCGCCCCCCACGATGTCGCCACGTGGCCAGTTGTGCATCTCCCAAGGGTCGACTTCTGCAAAGTCCTCGAAGCCAAGGTGGTCGCTGAAATCCAAACTTTTCGAACGGAACAATATTAGTCTCTATATCCATATTAACTGTATCATTCTGTATCATATATATATAATAGTATATTATGTGTATATATATATATTTACTATTGTAGAAATGTATCATGTATCATTTAATAATAGTGTGTGTATATATATAATGAACAATTTAATATTATACATATATATATATATACAGTAAGTAACTATCTGTGGAAATTCAGTACTGTACTATACCTATACTCACATCATGATTGTGACTATCAAACTGAGATGCACATTCAAGTCAACATTTCTGCCAAGCAGTTACTTGAAAATTCAGCGTGCGGGATCCTTACCATATATGGTAACAATGCAAAAAAACAAAAAAAAAACAAACATGGGGAGTTTTGACCAACTACAGTAAATAATAGGGATTCAACATTGAACCAACTATCAGTAACACTAAGTTGATCTAGAATAGATCCTGTTTACACCATCAACAATTACAAGGGATTCCTGCATCTTCTTCCGTAGACCAAGTCTGGAGTTGCGCGGGATCAGAAACAAGAACTGGGGGGTTGAATTCATGGGAGTGAACCACTGGGTGATGAAATCCTTTTGGAACCCAGTGACGTCACAAATCTGTTTTCCGAGCGCCGAGCGCAGATTGTTGAGAGAATAATTCGGAGATATTTCACATGTCCTAGACATCAGAGCCGCAATCTAGATCCGCCTGGCCCTTCAGGAGGAAGGCCCACTTCCACTTATAACTTACAGTATGTTGTACTGGGGGTCCTTCCTGTAATGTTCATGTTCTATTTTTGAAATGGTTCACCCGGACGTTTGCTCTGCATCCTCCGTCCTGTGGACAGACCCCATCATTTCCAGACCTCTGAAACTCCTCCCAAGTTTCACTCATGTCCCGAAAATCCCAGCGCTTGTAGCGCCTGGCGCTACAGTTGGGGTTGAACAGCAACTATGTCTATATATATATATATATGTCTGAGTATAGGTCAACCTGGTCACCTTGGTACACTGCTGTCACACAAAACGATAATTCACCAGAAAAAATCAGGTGGTGCCCCCCAACTTTGCAAGTTGGCTAAAAAAACAGGCTGACTTCAGATATACCTCCCATAAGTCCTAGTTGACCAACTTATAAACCAACTTAGGCAACTACAGGGCACCACCTTGAATTGATCATGTTCGAATGTACAACATTTCCATGCAGTGGAGGTTGACGGTGCCAAGCCTGCAATGATATCAACACAGACCAGTGCAACACAGCACATGTGTTTCTTTTTCTGATCGTGTCTTGATGTATATGGGGTTTGACAGAAGATTGGGTACCATATTCCATCCTATGTGTTTTGACCATGTTCCATATCCAAATTGGAATCTGTGGGATAGACCCCATGATCAAATTAATCAAACCAATATACGAAAATAGTTTCCACCTTTAGCACTTTTCGTTGGAACATCACCATTTTCTTGCTCGTGCTTAGCAGGGAATGAGGGAATGATCCATAATCACTAGTAATAATCATCCCATTCCCCCAGCAACCCATCCATACCCTACTAAGCACCAGTAAGTTTTTGAGAGTGGACAATCATACCTCCCGGTAAACATACAAAAAGCATCAAAAAGAAAATGGCCCAGTCGAAATAGTGAGTTTTCCCATGAAAAATGGTGGATCTTTGTGATTTTCCATAGTTTGTTGATGTTTTTTGTATGTTTACCAAAGGGTAAAACCATAAGGGGGAACTCTCCACGTCGACATAAAATGGGGCACCGTCCACATCTGGTGGCCTTAAGCATTCCAAATGCTGGTTTTTAAGCATCTAAAACAACTGGTTGGTGGTGCAATGTGCCCATCTTGAAAAATGATGGAGTGAAAGTCAATGGGAAGAATTATCCCATGTATGAAATGGAACATAAAAAATGTTTGAAACTACCAATCAGTTGATCTTGTTTTGTATACAGGAGGGTGTATCATGAAAGACCTGGAAACATAGACGTCAATTTGGTCGGAATCTAAGCCACGTCAAATGGTTGGATGAGTCACCGCGTTTCGCTGCTTCCACCATATTTTCATATATGTTCATCACATGACACAAGTTTGGTGGATTCATGTCAATCCCCATTGTTGCTGATAAACCCCAGTACTTTAGGTGACAAAACATCAAGGAATCATTCTAGTTGATTAAATCAACATTTGTTTAATAGGTGTATTGCAGATTTAAATGATGTTAATTGATATTATATGATATATATATATACATGTAAATGTAGATAAACATTATCAAACATCTTGACATCCAAGGTGATTGAGCCCTTGCCAATCCACACAAATTCTCGTTCTTGGAAGCAACAACCTTGTAATCAAACCCAGAACTTTGGTAACGCAACCATGTGAAACTGGTCAAACCCATATTATATCACTGGGTATCTCTTTTTTGCGACCATTACACGGATTCATGCATCGTCTACAACAATGTAACCAAATCAAGATCAACAAATCCATCAACAAGGAGGCCCCCCAGTTACTATAGCTTGGTTCATGAACCCATATAACCCATCATCTGTAGGTAAACCATGGTATATCTACCAAAAACAATTCGCTCACCTCGTTCTGGATCCCCACTTTGTGAAATCTGGAAAATTCAATGAACTCATCATTTTCGACACCTCAAATCCCTGGTTAAATCCCCTAGTTAAAATCCCTAAGAAATCACCCAATTTGCATCTCAAATCCATGCTAGTAAGTAGGTTATAACCCTAGTTAAAAGTGGATTCACCCTACGTATCCCATTGATAGGGATAGAACACAAACTAAGTGTTCTATCCACCAAAAGGAAATCTGTGAAATCCCCAGAGGAAATCCTATAAACTCACCATGTTTGGTACCTATATAAACTCCATTCATAGAAGAATTGGATCATGGGAAAAATTCAACCGGAAACCCCGATCTATTTCATGGGAATTAAACCCATGGGGGTTTCCGGTTTTTCGATTTTCCCCAACAAAACCAATCCATTACCCTCTGGTAATTTAACATAACTATGGAAAATCACAATTTTAAATGGGAAAATCCACTATTTCTATGGCCATTTTCAATAGCTATGTTAGTTTACCAGAGGGTAAAATCCCATGGGAATCACCATGTTCGGCACCTCGGAGAGCCCCCAGGATGCTCCGCGAGCTCCGTGCGTCCGCGGTCGATGGAGCCACAGACGCAGTCCAGGAGCTGCTCGATGTTTGCGACGCTCAGGGCGTCCACGTCCAAGAGTCCTGGGATCTTTCGGCCCCCGGCCGGCCACGAACGCGTGAGTTCAGTTGGGGTGAACACATAACATAACATAACTCACTATGGTAAACATGGTAATTGCTTATAAAAAACGATGGTTTATAGTAGATATAATATGATACATATAACAAGTACCATGTTATACTTATAAAAAACTATAATCGTAGATATAACATGATATAACTATAGTACTTCTAAAAAAAACTATATAGTTACTGGGGCGAATCTAAACCAACGTTCACATCACGTTTGGGGGCACCACATTGTGGGATGTTTCAGCTGATTTCGGAAAAATATTGAGAATTTGCCATGATTTATCCTGGTAAACGTTTACATAACTGATGGGAAAATCTCCCATTTTCAAGAGGGAAATCAACTAGAAATAGGATATTTTCAATAGCAAACTCTTACAAATTAGCATGATTTACCTGATTTTTTAACTTACCATGGTAATTTCATGGGATTCTCGGCTGATTTTTCCAGGAAATTCATGTGGATTGAACGGATTAAAGCTTGAAACATGGTGACTTTGTGGGATTGTCATGGGCTTTTATGTACCCTCCGGTTATTTAACATAGCCATGGAAAATCACCATTTTTAATAGGTAAACCATCTATAAATGGACCATTTTCCATGGCAATGTTAAATAACCAGAGGGTAACATTATGGAATGTTGTTTCGTCTTGGCTTTTTTTATATATTTTTTTCTGAAAAATTGGGGCCTATGAATCAACCGATCAATCATCATTATCCCGGTTAAAACGGTCACAATTTGGGGGTATACGGTATACCCTATTTTCAGACAAACCCATACTTCTGTTTGGGATCATCAATGGTTGGAACAGAGAAATTGAAATCTTTGATTTTGTGTGTGTTATTATTTGTTTGACAAAAAGGCATTTGTTTTAGGAATTGTTAGTGGTTGAGAAGAGAACAATTATCAGTGGTTACGATTATCAGTCTTTGGTTTTTCCAGTTTTTGTTTGAACCAAGTTATTTTGGTGAAGAGAAATCTACAGGAAGCGATAGATTCATAACAACGAAATATGACACTCAATGGATTGGTTTAAGTTTACCCCCCTTGAGTGTCATAAACCACGCAGCATTGGTTTGGTTTGAAAGGAAATCTACCAGAAACCATGGATTTAAGAGCCAAATATGGTGTGTCCCGTGTCTACAACTCTTGCCTTGAACCAATTTTGAGAGGTTGATCAGCAGTACCGAGATCTTACGGGATTTCTTAAAATGGGGGATTCCCAAAACCATGGCTTTCAATACTACCCGTCTTTTGGTGCAACAATTTGAATGGCTTGACTGGTTGTTCTCCTGCACTATGCAAGCACAATGCGACTAGAATGATGCATGCTACAATGAAGCAACAAACATAGCATATTTAACAGCCTATACAGGGGATTTACCAAGTCTTGGTAATGAACTGAGGATTTAATGAATCAGATCAGACACAGAGGTTACCCTCCAGGAATAAAAAATGGGAATGGAACATCTTCCGTATATAGAATCCTACAGAATCCTACATATATATATATATATACGGTGGATGGTTGCGAAATCCTGCACCAGTTGATAGGTGGTAAACATCCCATTATTTATAGGGTTTCAACCATCCGTTTAAGGTGATGCAGGATTTCGCTGGCCCATCCACAGTATGATGTTCCCATTTCAAAGCCCAAAAAAGCTCAGAGATTTCCAGCCACATTTGATTGCTGAATGGCAATGAACCAGTACTGATCATTAAGAACCATTATTAACCATTACGGTAGAACGATGTATATATATATATAAATGATATTAAACATATAATATTATATAATTATACATATCATATACATATCATATATATATATATATAGAGCAACCATTACATCATCATTTATCAGGGCATTTCCCATGCATCGCCGTGTGAAAAAACGCGGTAATGGGCTAACCCTTCAATCACATGTCACGGAGTCACGGTGCCGAGAGACCCATCTTCGTCGCTAACAAATCTTCCGGCACCAGCAGCCCAGCAGCTTCAGCGGCGCCAGCGTTCTGGCCCTGTCCAGAACCGCTCCTCGGGGCCAACGAGGTAGTACGCCGTAGTTGGGCTAAGGTGCTGAAAAAAAAAAGATTAGCTAGGAGTTATTGCAAATATGATATAGCTTGACATACATCTACAGTTAAACCTGGGTCATAAACGAACAAACACAACTATAAAAGGGGTTCCAGCTTGCAAGGAACGAGGAAAGGCTACGAGAAATATGTTCGCTGCAAACCCTAGGTTTGCCCGCGGCGAATCCCGCATATCCTTTGACATGCTCAAATCCCTGCTAGCGTTTAAGTTTTTTACTGTACAAACAACAAACCCTAAAACCTAAAACCCTAAATCCAGAAAATTTAAAGTCAAAAACACTGCGTATTAGCTAGTGTTTTCATTCATCCTCTGGTGATCAGTGATAAGTAATTATATCATATATTGTTTGGATGTGTTGTTTGAGTGTGGGCGAACCCGGGCTTTGGATGGAACATGTTTTTTCATAAAGCACTTCGGAAGATGTTCATATTTGAAAATTCTGAAAAATCTGCTTCTACACCTAAGACGATATCTCTATTTAAAGAAAGAGCATGTTAGATGTAGATGATGTATCAGAAAACAATTGTTACAGTAGTTTCTGATGTTTCCTGGGTCTTGAAATCAATAGCCAAAGGTTCACATCATTTCTGTCACATCCACGTTTACCCATATCAACATATCCAACCTACTTCGAGAGTTAGGGGACTGCCGACGTTTGTCATTTAAATGGTTCCAATTAAGCCAACCCAGGTCCCACGACACATTAGGTCATTATCAATGGCCCAATTTTCACCCACATCTGCAATCAAGTTGCAGCTCATCAAGGTCATGCTGATGCGATGTCACTTCATCTTGCCTTCTCTGGAAGTTGTCCTCAGTCCACAGCCAGCGGCGATTGAAAAAAAACGGCGATTTGCGCGCCACGGCGGAAACGTCTTTCCGGGGGAAACTCCACGTTGTAGGGCCGTAGGGATAATCTTCGAAAGGGTCAAAGTTGGACGTGGAACTGAAAGCCACAAACATCGCAGGTCATCTTTACTGCGCATTTTTGGTGCAAAGGATGGTCTCTTGCAGCCAATTCTTGAAGCATCATGAAGCATCTGCCTGCATGATGACGTGTCTAACAGATCAACATGGCGAGAGGCAACTCGCGTTGAGATACAATGTCCAACAGTGATGTTGATGCACACATGGGATATATATATATATATAAATACATATATTATTATATGTGTTATTTATTTGTTACCATCCCTCTGAAAAAAAAAACTCCTCTGAATTCAATTGAAATCGTGTCCCAGTCTATGCTGTTGTGCAGTCCCTTCTATTTTTGTGTCATGGTCAAATCCCGTCATTTTTCCACGGAAAACCAGCCAAACACAAATGACCGGACCATCCCAACCAACTGATACAAGATGGTGCCCCATAGTTAGCTAAGTTGGTTTATAATTCCAATAACTATGGTTTATGGTAGATATAACTATAGTTAATGGGGTTTATAAACCAACTTATAACTATGGGGCACCAACTGATACCAACTGCGACTGAGGGGAACCAACCAGCCACTCTGACTGGGCAGGCGTCTGTTGCGTCTCTTCCAGATGTGGTTTCTCCTTCACCTGGCTGTTGATTCCAGATGTTTTTGATGTTTAACAAAAACGAAACTATAGGAAAACTGCTGTTTCAGGCAAAACAAATATGCAATTAATGGGATTTGTATGGATATCATATATTGTAAAAACATGTATATATGTATATATAAATATATGTTATGTATGTATGTATATATATATACCGGTGATATGCGATAGCTAAGTTGGTGGAAACAACACATATTTCAAGTAGGGTTTATTGTAATAATTGAAGTTAATATTATAACATATTATAACATATGATAAATCATATATAGTCTCTAGAACGCCAGTTGGACCTGTGGACCACTGATTCAACAAAAATCACAACATTCAACACTTTTCCTGACGACCCTTCTGCGCGCAGGTTGCTCGAAATGATGCGTTTTGACTTTAAAACCCAATATACCCTAAAAATCCCAAAACCCCAAGACCTCGTGAAATTTAACAATGGAAAATCGACACTTTTTTAGCGGGCAAATCATCCAAGCATTTTCCATAGCTATGTTCGGCTACATCAAAGTACTAGAGGGTAGGCACAATGGAGGCCCATTGCACCCTAGAAGTGACACAACACAATTTAAGGGATATACTTCAGGCAATAAGCGACAATAAGATGCAATAAGGCTGCTTTTTGTAGGCCGGTGTTAGCTTGCAAATGGAAGAAGGCCCCCAGCTACTTGTAAGATATGATATATCCACCATCAACCCCAGTTAATGAATCTAGTTATAAAGCAATTGGTTTTTCACAGATCAACTATTCTCAACTATAAATCGCAATTTTTGCTGCTTAAACTTTACGTTTTTGCATGTTTTTGCTGGTCAGTTCCCTTGGTTCCCATATCACCTGTTTGGTCGCCACTTTGTCGACCACTTTGTCCACTACCTCCAGAATCCCCTCCTTCGCCCTCAGTCGCCTCAAAAGTCTTTTTTGGGGGCTGAAGTTTGGGCATGGTCAAGTGTAAGAAGTTCAGTTTTTCGAAACATATGTGTCTTGATTCGAAGGAAATTCCAATGTAATTCAGGTTGGTGCCATGTTTGGTGCTCCAAAGAACTTCCTGATCCCAAAACAATTTCTTCTGCCAAGTCACATCTACACTCTCACCTCCTGCGTCTTTTCCTTCGATCTGCTCAGACTGAACCCCATCCTGAGGAGAGGCACCCTATAAGGATTGTAATGATTTGCAAGGGTTGGTCTGAAGCATATCTGCAGGAAAAATACCATGGTATCACTCAAAGTAACAAGAATAAAACAGAAGACGCGGAACCACCCAACCTTAGCTGACCTGCTCAAAAATGTCATCCACCAACCAAAACCCATGCTTCAGGAAGGCCCCAGTTGCAAGTGAGTAATATGGCCAACCAACCTAGTTTGGATTGGGGGCCCCAATCTTACGGATCAAGAATCAACTACTCTTATCTATAAGTCTCCATGAATCCTGCGGTTTGGTTATCAGGTTAGTTGAAGACCCAATTAACTATGGTTGTAATCACCAATACTGACTATGTCCACCACCTTCACGATTCCGAACTGGGGCCCACCTTGTAACCAGATCCCAGAGTAAATCCCATTTAAACTTATTTGAATCACCACTTCCCCGAGTGAAACCACCATTTTTCTGGCTTACATCCCAGCCCCACAGTAAGGGCCAGGAAAACAGTACTATAAATCGGGGGCATAACTCCTGCAACTAGTTGGTTATATATATATATATATCATTCTAAGCCGCTTTTAACTGTTAAAGGCACATATATATATGTATACAATGTGTATAATTGTATATATATATATACATATATATATAATTATATTATATATATATAATTATATTATATATATAATTATATTATATATATATATATATCATTCTAATCTGCTTATAACTGTTAAAGGCTAGAATTGCAAATTTTGCATGGCTGTATAATTTCCAAACCACCATTACTTAAAATCATCTTAAATCACCATTTTTTCTGGCCATTTCTCCCAACCCCAAGTGGCGAATCCCTCCGCCCCGGCCTCCCACGGTCGCGGCATGGCCGTCTCCTCCAATCCCTCGACTGGCGTCGTCGCCCAATCCCCGCGCGCTTCTTTGGGCTCAGCGGACTCAAGGACGCTACGGATGATCTCCTGCTGCTGTTGGAAAGATGGTGATTTTTCACTGTGGAAAATGGATGAAAATTGTGATTTAGTTGGGGAAAATGGTGATTCTGCAGGGGACAGAAAGTGATTTGACGAATGAACACTGTGATTTTGCTCTGCTAGGGAAATTGGGGATTTACCTGAGCACAATCACATTTCCTGCTGCTGTTGACTGGGTTCCAATCGATCAACATGATATTTTATTGAAGATGTACTGTACGCGATATCAATCATATATATAATCATAAGATATGTCAATGGGATTTTCAGGATCCTAAATTGGAGGTACCTACCACATATAAGGCCTATAGTACCTACATTTTAGGATCCTGAAATTCCCATTGAATATGGAAGAGGACATGTTTGAAATGTTCAATTTCAATCGAACATTCATCAACAAATTGCATTCAACGCATGGGGACACAAGGGATAAAACGGGGCCTGAAACATGCACATTTAACTAACAAACATGACAAGTTCATACAACATTTGTGATTCGACTAAGTATGACAAAATGCAGCTACAGCACAAACAAACAAACAAACAAACAAAAAAAATAAAAAAACAAAAAAAAAACAAAAAAAAACAAACAAACAAACAAACACACAAACAAACAAACAAACAAACAAACAAACAAACACAAACACACAAGCACACAAGCACACAACACACAAGCACACAAACACACAAACACGCAAACACACACACGCACACACATGTTTTTGCGACTGCATATTATGGGTTTGCCTGAAATTTGGGAACCTCTAAATCCCCTGGTTCATGACACACAAACTCATTGGCTTACTCTAGAAACTGGTTGTTAAACTAATCTGGTTGGTGGTATACCTACCCCTCTGAAAAATATGAGTTCGTCAGTTGGGATTATTATTCTTAATACAGTACATGGAAAAATAAAATTCATGTTCCAAACCACCAAGCAGATGATGTTAAGCTACTTGGGAAGCTTCTAAACCAGTCACACAATCCAGCAGTCCCCAGCACTCCATCACTCGCTGGTGCACGGCCCAGGGCACGCGGAAGGCGGTGAGGAATCGCAAGGCATAGAGGTCAGCGGCCTCTTTGGGGCTGGGTCAAGGGTTGACGAAGGACACCCCAAATGCGAAAAAGGAAGGGGCCCCAAACTATGGCAAATAGTTGGTTTATAAGCGAGTTAATTGTTGAGGTTATGTAGATATATCATGATCATATATGATCTGTCTATAGGTAATGAATGGGAATAGGGTTTGTAAACCAACATCAAACGATTAACCAGCATGAACTGTAATGGTTTGTCAATAAAGATAAGTTCAGTCTCCTTCTCGTCTTTTGTGGATGTGCCTTATGTGTTTCAAACTGTAGCATTCCCATCTTTGAAAAAAAACCAGAGGCAGGGTTAGTGAGCTCAATAATTACCCTCTGGTTATGACTAACATAGCCATGGAAAATCACCATTTTAAGTTCGGTAAACCTCTATTTCTATGGGCCATCTATACCATTGCGATGTTAGTCATAACCAGAGGGTATACTCAATCCTACCCTTGCCCCACCATCGAGGGAAATCATGGCCCACATAGGATTGATGAACAAATCTCCTCCCCGGAAACATTCCATCTGGATATGGGTCAAAACTATAATCAATGGGAGATCTCCAGGATCCTAAAATAGAGGTACGTTAGTACCAAAAAAAAGGCCATGTTTGGGCCATTGATATAACCAGCAAATGAAAATGCTGGTTAAGCAGTATCAGGCTTGTTCCCAACAGCCCAAATACTGTCTGGCAATTGGCCCCCCAAAAAAGATGTATACCCTCTGGTAAACTAACATAACTATGGAAAATCACCATGTTTAATGGGAAATTTCACTATAAATGGCCATGTTCAATAGCTATGTTAAATTACCAGAGGGTAATTACACCACCAAGCTTCTGCCTGACAATGACTTACCGTAATTAACAAACTTGGAGCAACCCTTCTGGTTTTCTACTCAAAAAATGCATCTATTTACCGGGCCGATGGTGACCCCCATGACTTCATAGAAATCGAGACTTTCGATGGCAAACAAAACATCCGTAGCGATCTTGGTATCTAATATAGATTTATATTAATTACAGTACAACAAGTCGGTACATATGGTAAATCTTTATTTTCCTGTTAAAAAATGAGACATTTTTACATCGTCAAAAACTTGCAAAGCAAAGCAGTTCTGGTAGATTGAAAAAGGGATTCCCATGAAACTTGATCCAACAAAATCCCATCAATCAGGGGTTTAGTCCAGTCACTGCTCACCTACCATGGCTATCAAAACCTATGAAATCCCATGGGATTTTTGGGTTGGGGGATTGGGATTCGCATCCATATATATGCCAGCTATATATCACTGGTTGGTGGTTGACCTACCCCTCTGAAACATATGAAAGTCAGTTGGGATTATTATTCCCAACTGAATGGAAAAATAAAACATGTTCCAAACCACCAATCAGATCAGCCATCCAGCTGCGCCCCCTCCTGGCACTCCTTCCGGCCCTCCGACAGCGCGTGGGCGCGGACCAGCTTCAAGGCCTTCCTGGGTGACCGAACGGTGGCCCAACCGTGCAAAAAACCATGGGTGTTTTACCGACACAAATGCGCTAGGTGCATGCAACAAACACTGGTTGGTGGTCTTAACCATCTTGATAGATATGAAAGTCAATGGGAAGGATTATCCTGAATCATATGACTAATGGCGGGATAATTCCCTAACCATGATTCCAGTGAGGTCACAGAGAATATAATTTGCCAAGATAAAATGTAGATCACCAACCGAAATCATCAAATCGACCGAGCACAAAAAAATGACAGATATTGAGATTCAAACAAGAAGAAATTGGAATTCATGGCGGATCTATCGCTGGGTTTTTATGAACACCATTTCAGAACTCATCGGAACGTGACTTCGGAAGTAAAACATCTATTTCACCAGGTACAATCATTAAGATACTGTGGATGGTTGCGAAATCCTACACCAGTTGATAGATGGTCTATCCCATTATTATATTATTTATAGGGTCTCGACCATCCAAGGTGGTGCAGGATTTCTTCCATCGAAAGAACATGATTTTGACGAACCTGAATGGGAACAAGGCAACATTGGCGTAGCAAACAGGTCTAACCATGCCAAAAGCGAAGAATTCTTGCCACAAAAACTAAGAATAATATAATTAATGTAAGAATGAGGTCACCATCAGCAACCCCCTTCGAGGGTTTTGCAAACAAACCTGGTTTCGCAAGTCGGCTGTCAGGTCTCTCCAGGGTTTCACAAGGCCAACTCAACCAATGTTTTCCTAATCAGGGCTCCCTTCCAACAAGAAATGGGAATATCAACCATACCCATTGGCTCTAGAATATTTTTTGTTCACTTATATAATATACATGTTTGCAGTTTGCATAACAGTGAATTGAACCCCATCCAAGCTTGCACTAAACTAGCTACAAGGTGGTGCCCCAGTTCGTTGGCAAAATTGGTTTACAACTAATATGTCCCCAGAATTTCTGATAATTATATTATACATGTAATTATTTTTGGGATTTACACACTAATGAATATACTCAGTGGGTTCTATAAAGTAACAACCATAGCTTGGAAAACACGTTGCAGTAGCACCACGGTCCTGGCGACCTGGTTTTCTCCACGCCAGGTTTCACCAGAAATCGATCCGACAGCTCCCAGTTGGCACCTGCCAATCGGCAGGCGTGCACCAACGCTTGCATCACCTTCAGCAACAGCCGCCGCACCTCTCCTGCGAG